TTTCAAGTAGCCCCAATCTGGCCAGGAAAGAATTTCTTTAAGGACCTTACTAAAATAACAACAAAATTTATTTGGAATGGGAAAAGGGCCAGAATTAAAATAAAATGTATGCAAGATACCCGGGAAAAAGGAGGCCTAGGCCTACCGGACTGGGAGCTATATTATAAAGCAGCGTCGCTAAACTGGATAAGGGACTGGATAGATCTTAAGAATAAAAGAATGTTATCACTAGAAGGCTTTGATCTACATCGCGGATGGCATGCCTTTCTCTGGGAGGGAAAGGATAAGCACCATGGGTATTTTCAGCAACATATCATTAGAGAAGCATTGTACAAATCATGGCAAGAGGTTAGGAAACATTACACCAAGATCCCACGATGGCTATCGACAATGGAAGCACAAATATACCCCAATGCTATGGACATAGCGAAAATGAGGACTTATAAAGAACTACTGAACAGTGAAGGAGAATTACAAACAAGACAAGAATTACAAAATCAGGGTATAGACATTGATTGGTGGCCATACATGCAAATAGAATCAAGATACAAAACTGATCGGGCACAATTCGGATTCCAAAATGAACCAAATGAATTGGATAAAATATTACAAAGTGCAGATGAGAAAATGATTACCAAAATTTATAAGTACCTATTACAATACAAATTGGAAGAGGAGGTTGTCAAAGAAAGCATGATAACATGGGCCAAAAACATAGGATATACTATTGAATTGGATAAGTGGGAGAATTTGTGGAAGATAAATTATAAGATGACATTGTCCATACCCTACAAAGAAAACCTTTACAAAATGTTCTACCGATGGCACCTCCCACCGGCGCGTCTAGCCAAGATGTTCCCAAATACATCTCCGATGTGCTGGAAATGTAAATCACAGAAAGGGACATATTACCATCTCTGGTGGCTATGCCGAAGGGCAAAACAATACTGGCAACAAATCAAAACAATGATTGAAGAAATTACGAAACAAAAACTTGAAATGAGACCGGAAACCTTTTTATTGGGAATCATCACAGCAAATTATACCAAAGAAATAAAATATCTAATCATTCATATCCTCACAGCAGCACGTATACTCTTTGCCCAACATTGGAAATCTGAACAGTTACCTACAGAAGACAAAATAATAGCTAAAATTACAGAATGCGCAGAATTGGATAAGCTTACAAAAGAAATACAAGAGAAAGATGATACTGATTACTATTTAGTATGGCAAAGATGGTACGGCTGGCTGGAGGCAAAAATAGGAATACAAAGATAATTTATGACTAATCAATAGAAATGTATAGTAGTAAATAAGGAATCAATTATATATATATATATATAACCATGTAAACAGATGATTATAGACATTGACATAAATAGAAAAATGGAAAATACCCCACCGTTATAGTAACTTCTAAGAGTCAGTCATTGGACTGAATCGATGTTTGTTAGTTTTGTATGTCATTTTATGTATTTATGTTGGTTTTGTTTTTTCTTTTTATTATTAATAAAAATTTATTAAAAAAAAAAAAAAGAAATGTAAAGTTTACGCAAAATTTAAGAGAGAATTTTTATAAAATGTTTTATTGGTGGCATCTGGATCCTAAAAAGCTAGCCTGTATGTATCCAAGTTTGCAACCTAAGTGTTGGAGATGCGAATGTGATGATGCCATGTATTACCATATATGGTGGACATGTAAAAAAATTAAGGCATTTTGGATAAAAATATGGTGGATTATTCAAAACATTCTCAAAAAGAAGATAAAATTCACTCCACAGTTCTTTTTGTTAGGTATAATTACAGACTGTACGGTCATAGAGTCTAAATTGATTTTAAATTTAAAAACAGCAGCCAGGCTTTTGGTGGCGCTGTATTGGAAGAAGGAAGACTTACCTACTATTGAAGAATGGACATTAAAAGTAGTGAATTTAGAAGAGATGGCAAAAATTTCGGCATATTTGAAGGACCACTCAAATGAAAGATATATATCGGAATGAAGAAGATGGGTTGACTATGTTCAAAACAAATATCGGACTAAAAAGTTTCAAATAGCTTATGAATGAAACCAACTTTTTCTTTTTGAATTATGTTTTGTTAGTTGAAAGGGGAGTTAAAGAGTAAGACGGAGTTTGGAGCCTACAGAAAGTTAGCATATTTTAGTTTATGTTTGTTTGGGAAGTCTGGGGTGGGTGGGTGGGGGGAGGGGGGTTGGAGGGAGAGAGGGAATGAGAGGTGGGGGGTGGGTGGAGGAGGGAAGGGGGATGAGGAGGGATGGGGAAAAATTGTTGTAATACTTGATAAAACTTTTTAATAAAAACAAAAAATAAATAAAAAAATAAAAAAAGAGAAACGGCTTCTGATCTTCTGAAAAGTGGTTATATAACTGCATTTACATTTTACCCTCTCATAATTTCCTTCTTTCCATAAACTAACCTTTTTCATCTTCACATCCATAAAACACAAGTTCATTTTTTTTCTTTTTTCAGCAAAAAGTTCATAAGCCATCTCCAGTCCATAATAAACGTACTGATCCTTCTCTAATCAAACAAGATCGTCTCACCATCTTTTGTAACCATTCTTCATAGGGGACTAACTCTAGCATGCAGATCACTTCAATAGTCTTTTTCTGCCTCTTCTCCAACTCTTGATAGCTTTTCTGAGGCTTCCCCTTGGAGGACCCTTTTAGTTTATAGAGTCTCTGAAATACACATCAACCTGATCTCTGCAGGAGACAAAGCTCCCCATTTTTTAATGAGTCTTATACATAAAGAAGAGAGCTAGGAACGATTCCAAGATCTGATTGACTTGAATAGGGCTTACACTGAACATTCAGGCAAACTCCATGGAAATAAGTGGGAATTATATCAGTTTGGGAGAACAGTGGCTTTTAGAAAGAACTCACAAGGAAAGTTATAGCTATAGTAATAGCAATTGCATGTAGACTTATATACCGCTTCATAGTGCTTTACAGCCCTCTCTAAGTGGTTTACAGAGTCAGCATATTGCCCCCAATAATCAGCTCCTCATTTTACCAACCTTGGAATGATGGAAGGCTCAGTCAACCTTGAGCATGTCAGGATCAAACTCCTGGCTGTGGACAGAGTTAGCCTGCAATACTTATATCTTGACTTTGACTGAGTTTCTACCCTGTGTTATGGTCTACTTAACTGTACTTTGCTGAAAAGCTACAATTCTCTGGGTTTATGCAGCATACTAAGCTAAAATCAAACTTTGTGATTTAGTGTGATGTGTCAATTACACCATTACGTGTAAACTAATCATTGGGAAGGATCACTGAAAAACTGTCAGATTTCAGTATATTCAACTTAATTCAACTCTTTCATGTCTTGGCAAAGAAAGAGATCCTCCCAGGTTAACAACTGCCATGCTTAGTGGCCATTCAAAGTTATAGTGGCACTGAAAAAGCAACTTTTCAATTGGTTCTTGAACCTGTGACTATTGTATTGTCTCAGAATTACATCATTACTATTTGTAAGCTTTGTAGCTGGCTTCCAATAAGCAAAGTCAATGGAGATGCCAGCAATAAAATCTCAAGTTGCAGTCACATTATGTCCCACTTAACAACTGCAGGTGATTTGCCTAACATCGCAAGGAGCAGCTTTTTGGAGCACATGTGCCAATCTCCTGTCCTTTCCTTAGCTAGAGAGTTTCCAAGGAACTGATTTACTCACTAGTTCCTTGATCTTTGTTGCAGTTGTCAATTCCACTTTCATGAAGATATTTTCCGTTCACCATATCTCCCCCAGAAATCCTGAGCAGTTGTTAATTCTCAACAAATCTTTGTTAGACATTACTGCTATTGTTTTAAAATCCAATTATGGCAGGTAAGAAAATGTGCTATGGGCCAGAGCAGGGGTGAAATCCAGCAGGTTCTGACAGGTTTTGGAGAACCGGTAGCGGAAATTTTGAGTAGTGGAGAACCGGCAAATACCACCTTTGGCTGGCCCCAGAGTGGGGTGGGAATGGAGATTTTGCAATATCCTTCCCCTGGAGCGGGGAGGGAATGGGGATTTTGCAGTATCCTTCCCCTACCATGCCCAAGCCACTCCCACCAAGCCACACCATGCCCACTAAGCTACACCCACAGAACCGGTAGTAAAAAAAATTGGATTTCACCACTGGGTCAGAGGGTTATATTCCCAACTATGTAAATACTAAACAAATACAATATGCCAACAGAAAGCCTGAACATTCTTTATTGAACCTGTTTGAACTGAAGGCATGTAGTGAGTTGCTCAAGAGCCAGCAAAAAATATCAGGACACCTACTACTTATCCTCTAAGCAGGGTACGACAACTGCCATAAGAAACTAATTTTAGATGTCTAAGTAATGCAGATCTAGAAGATTTAGGAACTGAAGGCAGAAAATCCTAGATCTGTCTCTTCTTATTCCTGTGAATAAATATGCAATATATTCTATTGTTATGCTTATTCCCAGGTAAGGGGAAAGGCATTTATTTCTTCCCTCAAATTAAATGGATTGCTTTTTATCTCTCTGCTATGACTTCTCATCCCCATTAATATACAGTGTATACTAATATATACTATACTCTATTAGTATACTATTACTATACTCTATTAGTATACTCTATATACTAATATATAGAGAATTTATACATTCTATAAACATAAAAGTTTAATGTTACCCAGAGTTTTCTCTGAATAACCAGGAGGGAAGAATACTTGGTAAAAAAAACAACAATAAATATCACAATAATCAGAAGTGCTGATTCCAGACATTAGAAGGATTTTCAGACCAAAAAAGATGTGAATAAATATGTAGGCATACATGCATCAAGCTTTCGTGTCTAGCTAAAGTTATAAGACTATATGACTGTCACTGGGATGAAACAAATTATGTCCACTCGGAATATTGCAAATTTATATTAGGAGTGGGGGAAAAAGTGTTTTAAACCAATTAGAACTAGAATGTGAACTATTTAATCAGTTTCCTTCTTTATTTTATTTTGCAGGTCCAATATACCCTTCACTGAACGTAAGTATTTTTAACTATTTCATATGTGCATTGACTCACTTTCGGTGTAAATATGTTTGCTTGAGAGTTTGCAGAAAATGTGAAATAAATGTACAAACAAATCCAGAAATGAAAGTAAGCAGTAATAGTTGCTGTTAAAAATTGGATTTATTGGGGATAAGCTTGCTGCAGTTATATCAGTCAATTCATAGTCTATATATGGGCAGAAAAGTGATTATGTGGATATGTTTCAGCATGCACCAAAATGACATCCACACAGGAGATATTAACAGACTGAAATGTTTTGCAGACTTAGGGAAAAAAATAATTGAGAGAGGGGAAGAAACACGAGCCTGTTTCAAAAACACAGCTCACACTGACAGAAAGGAAGTTCAAAAGTAATATTAGAAAGTATTACTTCACATCAAGCAGGGGTGTCAAACTCACGTCATCACGGCGGTGTCACATAATGTATCAGGACTTTTCCTCCCTTCGTTAAACCGGGCATGGGTGTGGCCAGCACGTGACCAGCATGCATCCGGCCTGAGAGCTGGGAGTTTGACAGCCCTGACATAAAGAGTAGGGAAGCTTGGTACCAACTTCTAGCAGAGGTAGTGAATCAATCAACCATAAGTGAATTTAAGCATACTTGGAATAAACACATGTCCATCATCTGACAAAAATTAAAAAGGAAATAAATAAAAAATTAAAATAAGAATTAAAATAATAAACTAATTAAAAAGAAAAAAGAAACTTAAAAGCTAGACTTGATGGACCACTAGGTCTTTTTCTGCTGCCAGTTTTCTATGTTTTCTATGTTTCACTCAACTTATATTAAGTGAAAATTGGAAACTGGAAAGAAGAAAGAACAAAATGGAGTAGCTTGAAAAGAGATCTGTCTTCTTGATAAGTTTGCTGTCCCTGATAGTGAAATGGCATCTCTATGTTCAAAGGAATATATGTCAGAATACAAACTGCTAGAATTAACTCAACCAAGGAACAGTTCTTGCGTTTTGTGGCTTCCTAGAAGCTTCTGAGTCTAGCTTCATACAATGACATTTAATTTGGTGCATCCTTTAATCTTAATTCAATTTGTAAATGCAAGTAGGAAACCAATCACAAAAGCTAATTGCTTCCTGAATTAAAATCCTAGCTTGTTCGAATGTCATGATGTGTTTTACCTGCCCGCACAAATAAATGAGTTGCATACAAACCATCCCCTTTTTGTGTGTGCAAGAAGAGGTTGACAAAAATCTTCTCTTACTCAGTTAGAAATAAGGGATACTTTTTCCATTTTGGAGAAAACAGCAGATGGATTGTGAAGAACTGCTCTGTCTGAACAAAGAAAGTATGGCTGGATCTTCCAAAGAAGAGTTGTCTCTTGTGAAGCTTACCCTACTGTTTTTATCCAACTCAGAGATTATGGCTGGCTCTTGAATCAGATTCAGTTCCCCATCCCTGTCCTTGAATATGCAGTATCTACTACTGATATAGATAATGCTCAGGCTCAATGTGCTGATTTTTTCCCCTTCAGTTTAAAAGGAATATTGGTTAACAACTCAATGGCTATGCTACTTTGGTAGAAAGAGATAGGCCAGTATTGAAAATAGTGAAGGAAACATACATTATAATTGTATTCATTAATTGTCAGAGATAATAATATTCCTCTTACAATAAAACAATCAATGTAGCTCTGGAACCAAATAAACATACCCCTAATTTTTTTGCTGAAGAGCTTTAATGGGAAAAACTAACTCAGCTGTTGACCAACCAGTTAACGGTAAGGAAGATGCTTTATGGAAATCTTATTTAGATTATTTTTAGATTATGTTTACAAGGCTATAAAAACAACAGGAGAAATAGGGATCTCGGGGCTGGAGGGATTTTGAATTCTTATAACTACTTCTATTAGCTTAGCTCTCCTGTCTTTCCTCCATTTCTAGAATTTGATGGAGAATCGGTCGGATGACAGCAGGAACTGTTGTCATCACTGGCGGAATACTAGCAACTGTCATCTTACTGTGTATCATTGCAGTTCTTTGCTATTGTAGGTTACAGGTAAGACTCCTTTCAATGTATGAGACATATACTTCCTTTTGTATTCAAGGACAATAGAACATTATATGTAACAAGCATATATATTATATTATATGTTTCATGTTAGCAAATTGAATAGTCAACCATTATAAAAAGAATTTAAAAAACAAAGTGCCAGGAGCCCTGATATAGAAAGAAAGCATAGCTATTATCTACAAAGCAATAAAATGCCTTTAGAGTTTAAAACATTTCTAAGATATCCCCAGGAGTGTGTATGGCATTTAGTACACTATAGTGAAGATGAATAGCAGAGCATTAAAACTAGAACATAAGTGCTTAAACTGAAATGACGACATTAATTAAGCCATAACTAGATATAGGTCCTAAAATCCAAGGAAATCAAACTAGTTTGTGAACCAAGTGCTGCTTTGGAATATAGCAAGGTGCTTCAAACAGCCCTCTTAAGAATTTGGTCTGTATTCTATATTTAGGGACATTAAGTTATTGTGGATGAGTGAGTAAATGATATAGTTACCTGTATAATATTTGGGAGGTAGGTTAACTTTAGAAGAAAGGCTGTCAAACTCCTGGCCCACGGGCCGAATGCATCACGCACTGGCCACGCCTGGCAAAGGGGAAAAAGTCCCGATATGTCATGTGACACTGCAGTGATGACATGAGTTTGATACCCCTGCTTTAGAAGATCTTATGGTGACAGGTATGTTCTTCTCTGCTCTGATATAAAGCACTATTACTGACCTTTCAGAAATAAATTTAATTTGTTCCCACCAGTTTCCTCAGTGTTTTTTTTTTAATTCATGTTTTATTTGCAGTTTTCCTTTTGCACCATACATATTTTGTGTATTGACACAGTGTATTGACTGGGTCAATGTCCTTTTTAAACAATGCTAACAATAATAATACAAATAAGTATGCATAATCCTAATCTTCTAACTTCAACAATACCATTCTCTCTTTATAATTTTTTATCATTTTTCCCATTAATTCATTTAAACCTAAATAACATTTCTTTGCACCATGTATTTGTTATCCCCTACTAAGTCACTAATATTTAATATTGTAAAAATTACTCATTATTCCATCACAATGTCAATATCCCAAATGTCTAGGACTACTAATAAGGCCAAATATTAACAAAATTTAATCAATCCCAGAATTATATCTTAAAGTCCCCACAATTTCTAATCCTTAAAAGTTTAAGTTAAGCGATCCCATTGTGAACCCGTAGTAAAGGTAAGTAGAACCCCCCCTGGTTTGGTGTGCAGGAAAACATGGTACATGAACCATTTGTTAATCTGACAAAAAAAAAAATGGTTGCATCCGTTTCACATAAAACTCAGACTGATGGAAAATTTTGTGAAAGAAATGAACAAGGAAGTTTAAAGAATTTTTGTGGTCTACAGATCAGCTATGTCATCAGTGACAAGTGATTCAAAGATCTGTTACTGGGGCCAGAGAAAATTGCCTAGAAAGCATTCAAGGATGTCCTTGAGAATTTTCTTGGTAATTATAAAGTATCTAAACTACATTCAGCTGGTTGACAAATTTCTCACAGTATATAAGACCATGAAGTGCAACAGGTCTCTGAGGATTCATTTTCTGCATTCACACTTGGACTTCTTTCCCAAAAATCTAGGTGCAATTGGTGATGAGATGGTGAAACATTTCACCGGGACATTGCCACAATGAAAAAATGGTATCATGGCAACTGGAATCCATCAATGCTGGCTGACTTTGTTGGACACTGCTGCGAGAGGCAAACAAAAATCAGCAGCAAAACACTTTTAGTCTTGTTGAACTCACGCAGCATGTCAGAAACATGTGATTAAATATATTATTAAACATTAATTACATATTTCTCAAGATTCCTATGTGGTACAGTCACTCTGAAATTATATTTGTGTTCAGTTTGAAGGGATCTGTCATAATCACCAAAGATTTTTCAGGAAGCAAAACTTTTGAAAAAAATGTGTTGTCCAGTGATTATTACAGCTTCACCCAAAGCCTTTCTCCAGGTATAGAATTGAATGCAGACTTTAGATCAATAAAGGCAACACATAAAGAGAGTGCATGGACAACATTTATTTCTCTGCCCCAAACTGCAGGAGAGCAGATACAATATAAAGATAAAGGTTCCCCTCGCACATATGTGCTAGTCATTCCCAACTCTAGGAGGTGGTGCTCATCTACATTTCAAAGCTGAAGAGCTAGCACTGTCTGAAGATGTCTCCTTGGTCATGTGGCCAGCATGACTAAACACCAAAGGTGCACGAAACGCTGTTCCCTTCCCACCAAAGGTGGTCCCTATTTTTCTACTTGCATTTTTTATGTGTTTTCGAACTGCTAGGTTGGCAGAAGCTGGGACAAGTAACGGGAGCTCACCCCATTACGCAGCACTAGGGATTTGAACCACTGAACTGCCAACCGCCGACAAGCTCAGCGTCTTAGCCACGGAGCCACCACGTCCCTAGATACAGTATATCCCTAGTCAATGTGCCTTTCTCCTTGTCTAACTAGTTTAGAAGCTTAGGAAATAAGAAGTGTCCATCTAGTTTACTAGGAAAGCTGAGGAAACTAATAGAGCAATAATTAGATGGGCCCATGCTATTACCTTTTTAAAAGAGAGGAACAGTAATAGAACAGTTTCATTCTTTAGGCATATGGAAAGTATTATTGATGTGGGTGAGTAAGGAGGTCAGAAGAAAGATCGACCAATCAATGTTACTTTTTAACAATTCAGCAGGTACCAAATTACTACCTGGTTTTTCAGAAGGCTGATGGCCAAGGGAGAATATTATTGGGGGGTGGGCTTAACTGAGATGAAAGACTGGTAAGCTGAGGACTGTATAATTGGCTATAAAACTTCCCCCACATCTTTGCTAGACTCTTAGCTTTAGGACAGCCCAACTTCTTGGCTAAAATGCTTGTAATTATCTTCTAAACTAGAGTAAAGGTCAGTCCTTCTGGGCAGACCAGATCAGGAAACAGACTCTAGTCTAGAGGAAGACTAGAATGATACTTAATTGAGATAGGCTGTAATTATAGAATCTTGCAAGCTTGACTGCTTCACCTTCCCAGTGAATTAGGGAGGGCTCTCTGCCTGAGTTTCTTCTGAATGCTTATTTCCCAGCCCTTAAGGCACAGGTATCAAACTTGCTGCGTCACGTTGCCGTCACGTAACGTTTTGTGACTTTTTCCCATTCACAGAGCTAGGGTTGGCGTGGCCTATGCATGACACATCCGGCCTCAGAGGCCGCCAGTTTGACACCCCTGCCTTAAGGAATGTTTCAGTCCTCTTTGCCTATTTCCATCTATTTCCCTGATTCTCTGCAGTAGAGATTTTTTCTCTTGTGGCTTGGAAAAGTTGTTCCCAGATATGTTTCTTCCTTTTTATTAACTGCTTATACTGTAACTTCTTTTAAGATCTAGAAATTGATTCCTAGTATCAAGATGGGGTTGGAACAAAAGAAGAAGTATTGTAGGTGAGAAACCAGGAGATGGAATCATTAGGTCAGATTAGACGATGAATTGTAGAAGGCAGAGGGAATGGCCTTGAGGGGCAAGAGAAATTGTTGCTACCAAGGCAATGTTCATATAAAAGAGAAGTGTTTCCAAGTTAGGAATGTAATCAAAATAAATTAAGGTAAAGGGAGGAAGTTCTTTCTGGCTTGCAAGATTCTGTCAACTCAAGCTTTATGATAAAATTGTTTCTGATGTACATAACATTGGATTCCTAGTTTGATCAGCCTTGAAGGACTGACAGAATGTTACCTGAAGGATTCTCAGTAAAAGTCAGGTTGAAGGTTGAGGCTAGTATCACTTTGTTTGGAACTGCAATTCATTGTACTTGAGGGATGCCTTATAATGCTGAACTGTAGATGATTACCAGTACTTTTTACATATTCACAGACACATTTGTACCATTGATGGGTGCCATGGGCTATTTGTCTTGCTTTTCAAGGGCTTCAAGAGGAGAGGGGCAGCCATCTTATATACAGGAGTTAGATAGAATGTCTATTAGGGCATCTTCTTCAAGATTCCTGCTGTAGATAAAAAAGTCATAATTGTCTTTTGGCTTATCTCTGTTGTTTTGATTAGTATTTCGTAGTGTGGACAGAATTAAAGTCTTCATTTAAATGTCAAGAAGCTTTGCTGTTTCCTAGGTTTGGTAGCCCCTCACTTTTAAAGGGAATGATCTCTTTGGCCAATGCACTGTACGAGTTAATCAATTCACTTTGAAATGGGCAAAGGAATGTTTTCCTCATGTAAGTGACACATTTAAATACACTCCTTGCTGTCAAGGTTAGCGATAAGATTAGATTAAATATGACAACTGTCCAAGTTGGGCAGCATTTCAGAGTGAATGAGCTGATGTAATATTGCCTAAAAGGGGATTCAAGGATTAAATCATTGAACATTCAAATGGGATAAATTCCAAAATGTTCCAGAAAGGACTTCATTTTTAGGAGCACTGATGGAATTAATGAACTCCTGAAAAACAATTGGATCCTTTTCATGCATATGGAGGAGCCAGTTAATATGGACAGGATCAACAGTATAAGGCTGGCAACCCATCCTTTTGCATTAATAGCATTAAGAGTAGATGGAACTAATTGATTGGTTTGATAAGTGATGGGAAAATCTTTTTGGGGTGGGGTGGGGGGGTCTGGGCTTCTGGGTTTGCAACTGTCAGACAGTCTGTCTATCAAGGAAACTCACTAAGATACAATAATGTGAGCATCAAATGTTTTTCTTAGATCATCTATTTTAACAGAAATAGCTGTTGTTCCTCAAATAGACTTATAACAGTGTGAGCTGCTAAAAGACAATTCAGGTAATCTCCGGGTTACGAGCATTCCCTTAGCAAATGTTTGAAGTTATGCAGTAAGCGCCCACTAGTGTTTACGAACAAGTCCCGAAACTACGAATCTTGCAGCGCCGTGACAGTTGTTCACTCTTAGGAAAAAGCACAGAGGCTCTGCAACGTTTGTCCTGCACTTTGCTGGCCAAAACGGAGCTCCATTTGGCCTGCGCAGGCCTCACCCAGCACTTTGATAGTCAAAACAGAGCTTTGAGGGAAGCAGGCCCACCCCTCCAAACCGCAATTTTTGGCCTGCAAAGTGGCTGGCTCTTGTTACTCATGCATTGCATTGTTTAAATTTCCTGTTCTACTGTCAACTTTTTCTTCTTATCCCAACTACGGGTAGTCCTCGTTTAACAACACTAAATGGAACCAGAATTTCCATCTCTAAGCAAAGCGGTCGTTTTGGCAATATAACATGCAATCATACTGCTTAGTGACAGAAATTCTGATAATCTCAATTATGGTTGTTAAGCAAGGACTTCATGTTTCTCCTGCCCTGCTGGGCTCGCCTCTGCTTCAACTTTTCCCACCTGCCTATCTGCCCCTCCTCTCTGCCCTTTTGGCCATCCTGAGCTTGGTGTCTCCCATGAGCCTCAGTTGACCATTGGTGTCTTCTTCCTTATGCTGCTAGCAAATTGTGCCTGGCCTGTAGAAGGAGGTCTAGAAAAATACAGGCCTTTAATGTTTCTTCACAGCAAATAAGTTTATTAGAAAAAAATATTGAATATATTCATAGATAATATTATCAGTGGTTATTACTTATGATGGCAGTAAATTGTCTATGATGTCCCAGGAATATGCTGCTCAATACCAGTTGCTAGAGAAAGTACTTTTGAACTCTGGTGCTGCTTGCGAAAATCCTACTGGCCAGCATGGAAGCAAAATTCTGCAACGGAGTCTTTTGGTTTGATCCAGCCAGTAGTTCAGGTGTGTCTCAGTGTGTCTGAAAGTTGGCAATTTTAAGCTGTGTGGACTTCAACTCCCAGAATTCCACAGACAGCAATATTCAGAAATACTGATATATCTGGTGTACCTCATAACCTGATGTGAAAATTGTTGAATTTAATGCATGTCAATATTCTGAACTCTCAGAGCATTACTCTATTTATGAAACAAACTTTTTGTGTGCTAATAAAAATATTCCTCTCCTGCTTTAGTATTATTGCTGCAAGAAAAATGAATCTCAGGAAGCCGAAGAAGAAGAAGAGGAGGAAGAGGAGGAGGAAGAAGTCAATCTTCCCCTGCACTCACACTACATTATGTGCAATGCTTGCAACTGTCGTATCATGGACGGGCAGGGCAACTCCTCTTTCCCACCCTGTGAGCTTAACAAACAGAGTAACCGGAACTATGGCCCAGTCTGTTCCCCCTGTGGAGCTCCCTTTTATATACAGACCGCTGACATGGTACGGAATGGGGGTGAGAGTGTCACCTACACACCCATATGCTGCAAGGATATGGGGCTGCCTGCCAAACTGGCAACCCACCAAAATTACCCGGTGATCCATCACTGCGCCATCCACGGGACCTTTCCAAATCTGAGGGCTTTCAGTACGGAAGTATGATCACTGTCTATCACTATCACAGGTGCTTCAGTATAATCCTCTTGTTGGGTGGGGATTTTAACGTTATGTGTTTCAGCCAAAATGGAACATGTGTCCAAGACCCACCATTGTTCCTGATCTTTGCAGCAAAAGATTTATAACTTTGTAACCAAGGGGGTGGGAGGGGGGAGTTGTGCAAATTTCAATCCGCAAAGTGATAATGTTGTTTCCACTGACGGTTCTTGTCTAAAGAGGGCTATCTATAATACAAAACTATCTTGCATTTCAAGGTTTTTGGAAACCACTTTACAATTCCACCCCCCCACTAAGAGATTTGGTATCTACCATTAGGCATTCCCATTTGTCTCTCTCTTCAAAGCAATACCAATCACTTCCTTTGATTAGTAGAGTAAGCTCCCGATGGTCAGTTCGAGAACTTTTTAGGGGACATCATAATTCCCAACCAGGATGGGGACAACCAGTGAGAAGGGTGACAACATGTTTGCTGAATTAGTGTTCATTAGAAGTGGAACAAGAACAAGAAACAAGAAATGAAATGTTCTGATTATTTCTATAACCCATTAGTTTATGAACTGAATGCTTTATTTGTACTAGAATGTAAAATAGGCCAGCCAAAATGTACCGTATTTATTACACACATGAACACGCATACACAAGCATTTAGTAATGGTAAGAAACTGGGAGTTGAAGAACTGGAGAAATTACCAAATTTCTTCTGAAAGCTGATTATTTTTTACATGGCAAAAACATCCTGTTCTCCCCAAATTCTCAATTCTGAACAGGCTTTCTTAACAATTCATCCGGACACTTAAAGGCCACCCCCCCACCCCACCCCACACTTTGATAAGTCTTTTTTTCTAACTTGCCATCCTTGTGTAATTAAAGTTGGTAGAACTGCAAAAGGTAATGTTTTTATCATCAAGCCACGGCAAGGAAAGATTGAAGTGCATATAATGGTCAGTGCCAAATTCAACAGTTTTATGACTTTTGTAAAATAATACCTTCTAAAGTAGAACTGGTCAAATAACAAAGAAAAGTGTACTGGATTGGTTTCAAATGTTGATTGATAACTTCCGCAAGCCTATCCTTTGCTATGTGTGAAATGTGGTTCATGTGTTTGAAATTCTGATGGTTTGATCTTCTAAGAATGGTACGTAAGGCTATTTTGGAAACTATTTGGTCTATTCTTTTGAACAAGCACAAGGGTCATTCTCTGAAGTATCAGTAAGCAGTCAGTCTTGCATACTCTTCTCTATTTATATGAATTGAATGTTTTATCAGAGATGAAATTTAAGACCTTCGCCTAAAATGGTAAACATCTCAAGAACACAAGGATGCTGATGCGATAAAGGAATCGGTGTATGTACAGGAATACAGACTTGATTCATTTCAATTATATTTTGAACAAACTGAGTTTAATCTGGATTGTGCCCATTTATCCCAGTCCACAGTTCCATTGGAGCTGCATTTGAGTAAAACCAGAGCTCCCTCCACAAAATAGAATCTTAATTCTAGATGGGGGGAAAGCTGCGGTGGGGGAGGGGAAACTTCATGTATTCTTGCACAGAGGTAACATATATCCAGGGGTGGGATCCTACCAGTTGAACAACTGGTTAGCTGAGCGAGCGAGCGCCAGACGTGCGTGCAGTTTCCATAAAATTGAACTTCCCTGTTGCAAACAAGGAAAGGAGAAAGGAAAACAGCTGAGGAGGGCCAATTCAATCTGCTGCCCTTGATCAGCTGTGCTTCAGAAGCAGAAATAAAGGTCAGTATAACCCGGGGGTGGGTGGGTGGTCCCACTTTCACAGCAACAGAGAACTGGTTCGCTCTCGGCAGGAAGTGGGACTACCAGTTCAGCCGAATCGGTCCGAACCGGTAGAATCCCACCACTGCATATATCTCTAAACTGGAAGAGATGTGACAAATGTGTGCCTGCAGTTCTTTGAGATAGGACAAGCAACAATACAATTGTATATTGCCAGCACCACCCTTCTCGTGTTCATGAATAACTCTTATGCTGAGCACACAGAAAGCTATATTTCCAGCTTCTTGGTCCTGTACATGCCTGGAAACTCTCAGTATTCAGGGAATAAAATATTTGGGGTCAATGAACAGGATGAAGTTAAGTCAAATGTGTGCAGATAACTATTTCTTGTATGAAGCTTTCCTCCCTCCCTCCCTCCTCCCTCCTTCTCTCTCCCTCCCTTCCTCTTTCTCTCTCTTCTTTCATGCCTTCTTCAGATACTCAAGACAGCATACATAATGCTCCCTTTCCCCATTTTCCTGAGATGAATTGACTGGCTGAGTGGTGATTTTAAAAAGGGTCCTGAAGTTATCACAGCCTTCCAACCTATGAGAAAGCAGTGCGTGTGTGGTTCAGGTCATTTAATTATAGTAACAAAGTGCCTTATAAGGTATATAGAGCCACCAAAGTAAGCTCAGAAGACTTTCCATTTAAAAAAAATTATGAAAAATCTAACAGCCAGCTTCATCAGTTGCTGTGAAAGCTACCTGTATGATCGGTAGTGAAAGCAATACAGGTTACAAAGATTGGTTTTTCAAACTATTCTTTTTTAAAAAAGAAAAAACCCAAAGTTAAGGAGATTATACAGGGCATTTGAAAGCTGGAGGCATGAATGTTATTAATAGAAGAGAATATATGTAGCTCAGGGTTGAACTGTGAAGTCCTTGGTGCTCTTTGAGCTTGGTTGTTTTCTTGCAGACATTTCAAACAACCAAGCTCAGAGAACAAGAGAACAAACACTCCATAGGGATAAAAAGTATTACTGTTATATGCTTGTTTTCTTACGTTTTGTCTATACATTAGAAAGGAGCAGATTTCCAGTGACAAATCTGAAAGAAAGGAGAAAAACTTCATTGGGCATAGAAAAATTCTTAGAAGTCACTAAGGTGCAGTAAAACAGCCTTCAGAAGGTTCCAGATTATTATCAGAGGAAGACCTGGAATTTAGGGCGGCAAGGATACACACAACTAGAGTTCTAAAAAGTTTTACACATAAAATGGTTGCCATAGCTCTGAAGCACATCCCTAATTCCAGATCACATAGCCTGCATGCTTCTACTCTGCTTAAGTTGGCAGCCCATGATTTACATTTTGTGTAAATTTCATTGTTCTTCAAGCTGGGGGGGGGAAATATCTTGTTTTGTTAACTCAGCCCAACAGGTTTCTGCCTTGCTTTGCATTTCTTTGGAACGGTTTGGTTGATGTTCCTAAATGACAGATTGTCATTTGTGTGTGTGATGTTTCCACACCTTTCAGTTGAACCCTTCTTTGAACACCTTCTTTGTTCTTTTGGTGAGATGTGCTGTTTATTTCTCCGGGATTCAGATAACGCTGGATATCCTTAATTTAGGAGGTAGCAATACAATCCAATGCAATGAAAACTCCTGTCTTTTTTCTTTTCTTTTTTGTGCCTTTGAGTCAGTTTTTGGCTTCATCCTACATTTTTCTTGGCAAAATTTTTCAGAAGTTTGCCCTTCCCTGCTTTCTAGGGTTTAGAGAGAGGGTCTGGCTCAAAGGTACCCAGTTGGCTTTATACCTAAAACGGGATTAGAACTCAGTCTCCTGTTTGTTTGATGCCTAACCACTACGTCACACTGGCTCACTTGTATTCCTTTCTAGCAAGTGGCTAATTGCCCAAACTAACTTAATTTTGCTAATGACACTTGACTGTATGATAGAATTATAGTCAACACATGGTTTTAGATGTTGTTGCTTATAAACCATCTAGGAATGCACTCAGTTTCCTATATGGATGTTTTCGCCCAAATTATACCTTTCTACATAGTAGTTGTAATCTTATTTTACACCTGTGGTTTTCTGAGATTTCAAAATGATTTAGACATTCCAAAACAGAGCTAAATACCATCACCAGGTACAAATACCCATAATTTTAAGTTTGCACTAGGGGTTATTCCTCGCTGAACTTTTCATGCTGAAGGTTGGCTGTAGCTAATCTTTATAGCAGGGGTGAAATGCTACGGTTCGCTCTGGTTTGGGTAAAAAGTAAATCACATGACCCCCACCAAGCCACACCCACAGAACCGGTAGCAAAAAAAATTGCATTTCACCTCTGCTTTATAGAGCTGATTTAGTCCATAACACCATATTCAAATTATCAAAAGCTCACTAACACATAGGAATCCAGATTATTTTGACTACAGTAGTTCCTTCTTTTTGCAGGTTAGCTGAATATATATATAGAAACCCGCTAATCCTATATTTATTGGGAAAGGGATTAAGATAGCAAGGAAACAGACTTGTGTTTCATCATATCTATGCTGCTGTTTATTCTTTTAATGAGGATAGGTTTTTTTGGTACAAGTGGGAAAACTTACTTCTCACCTTCAGTTTGAAGTATGTAACCTCCTCTTCTGCATCTTAGATTCAGCCTAAATCACTTGAAAATGATGGAAAGGGACTGACAGCCCTTCCAAAGATGACCCTGAATGGAAAGCAAGCTGGAAAAATTCTGGATCATCTTCCTTTAGACTGCAGCAGGAGGAGCATCTTTTTAACAACTTGCACACTGGCAACCAACTGATTCTAGACATAGCTCAAAATCCTTAAATTCTCCCACTCCCCAGCTACAAATGGTCTGGGACCACAGAGGCTAAAGCATTGCCTTTTCCCATACAATCCAGTTTGTCACCTCACAACGGGTGGTTCTGCTCTAAATGCTTTTATTTTTTAAAAGGTGAATTGGCAAGGAAGCTCTGGTTTTCTCAGCAATGTCTTTGTGGCGCTAGACGAAAAGAAAGTGGCAAATTAACATTTAGTCAATGGAGAGAAAAATAAAACACTATTATTTATTTTTTACTTTTTTGCCATTGTTCTTTTAACCATAATCCTCTATTTTTCTGATGTTTAATTTATGATACACTACGGTAGTTGCCTTAAATTCTTATAGTGCTTTAACTTCTCTTATCCTATCCAATTGAGAAAAAAAAGATTTAACATAGTCCTTTTCCATGGCATATTTATTTAGTACACAGAGGAAAGTTTATGTTTTTTATTTAATCTGGAAAAGAACTGAATAGAACTTCCTGGCTGTCTCTTCCTACAAACCTGGTACTTTCTCTGTCCATCCATCCATCCATTTTTTAAGGTTACTCAGTCATTGACTCTGGCAATGGCATCATCATGGCAAGGTCAGGAAAATTGCTGCAAATACTGGGATGCCACGAGGAACCCAATGTCAAGCCTTCAAGGTAGGTTAGATCAAGAAAAAAGCAGGAATTCAACAAAAGCTCTTTATTGGAGTCAAGGTTGAGTGACAGAAAATATGTCCAAGTTTCTCTTTGTCCTATCTTATACAAGTTCAAGGAAACTATTTTGAGTTTCTTTCTTGCACTTCCCTTTCTCATCTTTTCTTCAGGCCCTCCTTAATGGCACTCATTCCTTCCAATCTCTTAAGATCAGTTTTACCCCAAAACTCATACAGGAAAACCCAAAGCAGGTTTCCCCATTATTATTACTCCAGTTTCCAGAGATCTAGTGCTAATGCCCAGGCAAGCCAGAACAGAAAAGAGAGGCACCATGGAGCCTTCACTATAATACAATAACTACTCTTGTGGTAGTTTTTTTCACTGTCCAAAAAAACAACAACCCCAAGACATGCATTATAAAAAGTCAGCACAGGTTTTCATGAAATGTACCCACTGCACTTTTAGAATGAGTGAAATGTAAAAAAACCCCCAACCTTCCTCCATAGTGGGGAAAACTATGAACAAGTGATGGGTATGCTACTCAGCCTGTTCTTGATAGGTCAAATGAAGGTCCCTACACTCTCCTCAAAGTCCTTTAGCTTTCAACCAGATTTGGTTTCCCAAAAAAGAACTGTCACATGTAAAGTATGAAAGAAGGCCATTGTGTTTGACTGCTTTTGACACAAGAGAATTCCAGGAAGCCTATGTATCATCTGATCTAATTGCATAAGGTGTTTTTCAACTTTTTAGCTCAGATCATTGACAACTGTAACTGCCTGACCTCTGAGTTAACCAAAAAGTGGCAAAAATGACTTTGTATGATGCAATGATGCTACCAACTTTAAAGGAGGCAAGGATCCACCCGTCCTCATGAAGGCAAAGGCTGTTTGCCACCCTTTTCCAACTACCACCTGGCTAGAAAGTTTTCTTTGGTAGCAAGATAAATGAAGTTGTGTCTGCCACTGTACATGTTTTTAGAAGGCCCAGATTATCATCCTAATCTTATTCTGATTTTAGAAGGCCATTGGAAATTTCCCCTCCTCTCACATTCTAATGTTAGTCTCTTTACCATTTAAAATCCACTTGGATTTTTTAAAAAAATCCTTATATAAAGAAGACTATCTCTGGAAATGGATTGTGCAGGGGCAATCTATCCAACTGGCCAATCTAGAAAAGCTACTGTCAGTCCTTGGATGGAAGACTATCGAGGAGTACTAAGGCTGTAGGATAGATTGAGAAATTGGAAAAATTCTCAGAAAAAGACAATGGTGAACCCACTTGGCAAGAAAACGGCAAAGTTGTGCCTATGAAGTCAGCAGGAAACAAAAGAGCATTTTACCTTTTATTGTCTTTATATTTGACACGGGGCTCCCCTACAGCCATTTAGTTGCACAATCAGAAACTAGGTTGGACCAGATTAGATTGACCACTGCTGGATTTCATGTTATGTCTAAATGTAAGAGAATGTTCTAAAATTATGTATGGAGCTTTTGGTACAAAGTGTGGATGTAAAGCTCAACCTAAAGAAGCAATGCATAAAAGGAAATACAGTATTTCTCAACCTCAGCAACTTTTAATATGTGTAGACTTCAACTCCCATGCTGGCTGTGGGATTCTACATGTCTTAAAATTGCCAAGGATGAGAAACACTCTCTAAAATATGACATACCCGTTAAGAGTGGAATTCACCTAGATATATAAGGATGAAAGAGCAGCATCATTATGGGGCTGATGATGCAACACTAGTGATTTGCACATCGCAAGCTGTATGTAGTTTTCAAACAGTCTCAGATGATGCCACTGAAATCCAGACTCAATCAGGGACGCATCCAGTCCCAGGAATTCAAGGAAGTGAGAAGCAGAGATTTTAATATTACTTAGAATGACAAAATGCCTGTGAATAGCATCATGGAGCCTGATTATTAGATCACCTGCACAATATATAGGAGCAGGCCTCCTAATGAAAAGGCCTGTAATTGGAGTCATTTTTACAGCAACATTCTAATAAGTGGACCGATGTTCTGGACTGTCCATAAGGATCAGGCACTTTCTGGTCAAGAAGGCAGGCCTCCATCAAGTTTCTCTCTTGAGGCTTCTTATTCTGAAGTGGAAAAAGGAGGGGCCAAATCACGGTGTTTTGCCCTTACAAGATCTGCAGCAAGCCTTTCTGTAATACCAGTGTGAGCAGAGCTTTACTTTCAGCACCAACACACAGTTAGCTGTTGCTTTGTCATCACAGTCTTCGTCTGTAGAGGGGAAACAAAGCACAAAGGTTAAATAGAGGGTGGGTTACCTGAATCCTCTTGCGATTAGGCTACCTCACCAGAATATTTGTATTTCAAAAACACTGCTGGCTTCAGATGACAGGGTGCATGCAACTTTCCTTAGGTCTGCAATTCCAAGTGTGCAGATACTTTCATCTTTTCTCTTTCTCCACTTCTTCCTTTTATCTTCCTCCTGTGAGAGCTAGCCTCTTCTTTAAGCCTCTTGGCATGGTGGTCTTTGCTATCTCTTTCTTTGTGCCAGCCAGTCCTTCTGGATTCAGAAATTGGCAGCTCCAATGTCTTCTGCTTGGCCACCATTTCTATTACTCACATACTGGGTTCCCCATTGCGCTAAGTTTCAAACTAACCAGATAGGCACATCATGCCTTAGCATCACAAGTGATCATAGCACTGATTGCTTGGGTTTATGCCCCTGTCCGCTTCTTCACAGCACCCTCCCCGAGGGCTCTGTTGGCTCAAGAGCTGCAATACTCTCTACTTCCTTAAGCTAGAGCCCCTGACATGTTGCTTTTTACCTGGAGCATCAGTGGGACATGGCTGTAGTTGGCAAGCTTGCCTGGCTTCAGGTTTAGATGTTGACTCACAGCCTTGGCCTAAGGTTTCTCCTTGGTAGCACTTCACTTCACGGAAACGCAGGCCAGTGCCACAGGTCTTGCTGCACTGCAAGGGATGGGAGGAAAAAAAGTTTTCTCCTTTGGTACAAAGTATGGATGTACAACTCAACCAAAAGAAGAAGGACATGAAAAGAAATCCCATGGGGCAGCTTCATAATTATCCTCAAGAATGGTATCACTTTGGGCAACCATGGATACCAAAGTTAAATTAGAAAGTGATAGCAATGCTTCATTTGCCAGTTTGATTTCATACTTTAAATTTTTAATAATAATAATTTATTAAATATGTATGCCACCCAACTCTCAGTGGCTTTGGGTGGCTCCCAACAATCAAAGACTTTACATTAAAATCAATAAAGAAAAAAGATTGCAAGTGCAATGAAATGAAACGAAGCCAAAGGAATTAAATTAATTTACTACTGGGACCACATCTATAGGCATAGCAAGGTCAAGAATGTTTGCACATTGCTGCATCTCCAAGTAGCAGCAGTGGCAAGTTATAGCTTTGTCCAATTATGTTTATCTTTCCTGATCCAGCAAGGGTTACCTCTGTCCTGGTCATCTCTTTAGATGATTGCATCCAGCTCTGGATACAGATACCTTTCAGCTCATTTAATCAGAGCACAGTACAATTTGCCAGGTGCAAATGAAAGAGCTGCCTTGTGCCTCACAACCAAATGAGAGGGTGTGCCCCCTTTTACAGTTGCAGTCAAGCACCAGGTGTTTTTACAAAAGCATAAAGTCACATTTTTGAATCTTGGCGTTCTATAAATGTTTATTGTATTTTGTGGTGGTTTTTAAAAAAATGTTCTATGATCATCTGTTTGAATGTTGCACACTGCCATAATGGTTTTCAGAAAGGTGGTATCTATAAAATCAAAATAAACAGGGATTTGGAAAGCAATGCTGGGAATCTCAATGGATGAAACAGAGACAAACACCCTTTCCCTTATTTTCTCCTATTAAAGAGTTGTTCAGGGGGAATCTTCCCTGCCATTTTCCTCCAATCCTTTTCCAAACTCCAGCAGCTCTCTCCCCTCTCCAGATTGCTGTAGCTTCTCCATCTACCTGAGACCAAGAGGTTGAAAACCATGTGGAACAAGGTCTCTGGAAACATGGGGCTTGTATTTCTGGCTTTGGAGAAGCCTCGCAGCGCTTCCCAGGATACTCCTTGTACAGGCCATTTTCTAATCCCACACACAGCACTGTCCGCATCTTGACACCTCGGCCACATGTGGCATTGCACTGCAATGGAGAAAGCGAAACACAATTTTCCAATTGCATTAAAAAGCAACAGCCTCTGCATGACAAATCCATAGTGGGCTCATTCTTTTCATTTGGAAGGCAGCCAATAATTAATACAAAATACAATATGTTTGGGCTTAACAATGGAAGAATTTTGCTAAGATAAAGTTAATGTTTTAAATAGACAATAATAATAACCCTAATATAGATAGTCCTTGACTTAGGACCACAATTGAGCCCAAAATCTGAAACCAAATTAAATTGAAGTTGCTAAGTGAGAAATTCGTTAAGTGAGTTTTGCCCCATTTCACACTTTTCTTGCCACATTTGTTAAGTGAATCAATGCAGGTGTTAAATTAGTAACACGGTTGTTAAGTGAAATTGGCTTCCTCATTGACTTTGCTTGTCAGAAGGTCGCAAAAGATGGGACACACTGAAACCGTCATAAACACGAGTCCGTTATCAAGCATTTGAATGTAAATCATGTGACCATGGGGATGCTGCAATGGTCGTAAGTGTGAAAAATGGTCGTAAGTCACTTTTTTCAGTGCTGTTGTAACTTTGAACGATCACTAAATGAATTGTTGTAAATCGAGGACTACCTGTATAGTCCAAATTCCAATACTGTTAGACCAGAGTTATATTTACTATACATTTGGGCGTGGCTAACCACTGATCAGGATGGTGTACTGAATGTTCCTCTCTTCCTCTGATCCAGCTAGTTTCTCAAATATAGCCACATTCCCTTATTTTATCAGATAGTGAGATAAGTAAGGCAAGATGTTCAGGAAAGATAATCTGCTCAACGGAAAGGGGTTTAAAGCTTCTCTGGAAGTCCTGAAGATGGTTGAGATGGTTCTCCGTCATGAAGAAGCAGCAATGGGGGAAAGCAAAGGGAAAGTGATCAAGGACGGACATCTGATATGGACATCACTGGACAGTTAATAAAACAATTTTAAAAAAGAACTGAAGCCAGAATAGAACTTACATGCTGTAGTAGTATCTAAAGACAGTTATATCAGAACAAATGAATAAATAATTTAAGAAAATGCAAATAGCAGATATTGCTCTGAAAGCCAGCAATGTTTATGATATGGCTACAAATAATACTCTTGAGATAGAAAAAGGCTCCAAAGAATATTTCTGAAATAAAGATTGAGTTGGCAGATTTACAGGATCGTGGCAGGAGAAATAATTTAAGGATTAAAGGAATGGCGGAGAAAAGCAGAACAAACAAATTTGACTACTTATCTCTAAAATTAATTACCGGAGCTCCAATATGAACTTAATGGATAAAGACATTGAATGTTCTCATCCGGTTTACTCTCCTAGGAACACACAGAAGAGAACCTAGAGGCATTTTTTTTTTTGATTTGTGAACCCAAATATAAAAGATAAAATTATGAGAAAAATACGTGGACTGGAGAATACTTTTTCTCCAAGATATCAATGTAAGTGCACTACAGCAAGGAAAGGAATTAAAACTATTTAGAGAAAAATTTATGCAGGCTAACTACAAATGGGACTCACCTCTTAAATGAATTGTTTTTATATTACAAGGACAGAAAGTTATTTCAACTGAGATGCAGAACTTATTGACAAAGCTTTCCAAGAAGAGAGGAAGAAAGTCATCTATGGTTTGTCCTTAGAAGTGTGGAAAGCAGGTTGAACTACAAGTGGAAGACTAAGTTATAGAGCAATAGAAATTATATATATTGTTTTCCTTTTTTAAAATGTTCAGTTTTAGAGTAAGGGGAAAAATGAGAGAGTTAAATAAATAAGGGAAAACAACTATATCAAATACTGACATAGGTAAAACTATAGTTAAGGAATTATGGTAATTAAAGTTGGGAACTTATAGGCTGATGAGGGGAAGAAGGAATATCAGTAAGACACCCCCCCCCACCCTCCCCTTAGACTGTATAGAGCAGAGGTCCACAACTCCCGGGCCACACCCCATTACCAGGCCTTGAGCAGTTCGAAACCAGGCCACAGAGGTGGCAAGCGAGCGAGTGCATTCCTATTTGTGTGAGTAGCAGAAGGGTGCCTGTGCGTGCACTCCCTTTGCACAAGCAGCAAGTGTGCGTGCCCCCCCTCCCAATTGTGGAAATAGGACTGTGCGTGTGCTGCCTGCCTGCCGCTCGCAGGGAACCATCCTCTCTCTGTCCCCCTCCACCCCGCCAGTCCGCAAAGCCAGAAAGGTTTGAGAACTCTGGTACAGAGGATTCTTTCAGGAAAACTGTAAAACTGTAGATAATATATAAACTGAATTATGAATTAGTAAAGCCTCTCTAACTGTCACATTAGAAAAAATAATGACAGAATCAAAATTAAAGTAATGAGATTTCAGAAGCAGGAACTACAATTTTATCAAATTTGTTTAAATTTTATAATTTACCTGAATAGCAATGAATTATAACCTGGTGTACTGCTTGTTTATTACAAATTTTCACGTGTATGGTACCTGACATTTTATTTACACAGTAGTAGGGTTTTTTTGTATTTTCTATATATTTTTTGTATATATGTATCTTGAAATTATGTTTAATGCAGATACCTGATATTGCAAAAGAAAAAAAATAAAGTACTGTTCCTTAAAATAATATTACCTCTTCCTGCCGTTCAAAAAGCTAAAGGTTACATTTTTAATTGTCTTGCTTATTTTTCATGTTTAGATGTTTGCTTTACTCTGGAAAGGAAAAGCTAAACTAGGTAAAAGAAATGCAGAATAAAGAGTAGTTCCAATGCAAAGGAGGTTTGTTTAAGCTACCATCTGATGGGTAGGCTAATAAGAAAAATAACAAAGGGAGGCAGAACTGATTTAAGCCAGGGAATGGTGAAAGGGAGAAGAATCATGATCTTTATACAAACTCTTTGCATGTGTTACTGGCTGTTCCTTTTATATGTCAGTGCTGATGGCTTAGAAACAGATAGGTGGCTTAACGCTGAATGTCAATCTAGGAATAGCTCAAAGGGACCAGATAAGCTTATGAGTTTTATAGAAGTTCCTTATATTTCCCAATCGTTGTTCAGGAGTTTGCTACACTATTTCCCAGGCCATCTGTGGTCAGGGAGCTGACACAATCCAAAATCTGCCCCCATCAACTTCCCAGCTGAGAGAATGGCAAAAAGGAGAACCCACTATTTGAAACCCTGCTTTGAAACTGCACGATGGAAGTACAGATGAAAACAAAGCTCCGAAGAGCTTCTAAATTAGCCAGTAGACACTCTTCCTAACAGGAACCAATTTTTAAATTTGATTTTGGACTGGCAGCAATAACTTCAAGTGTCTTCCTGAAGAACAGAGAGGTGTGATCAGATGCAAACTCACATGGTCCCATTCTTGCTCGACCCAATGGGCAGGGCAGTTCTTATCTCCACAGGGGTAGATTGCCAGGGGCTTAGTGTTGGGATTGCACTGGGACTCCGAGATCAACTTCCCTTCCACATTGCGGCAGGTGACCAAGCGATTCATCCGTCCCTCACCACACAAACCTGAGCACTTGAAGAAATAATGAGACTTTTTAAGGTAACTGGGTTTAGTAGTAGCCTTTGATCTAGATGGACCAATATAAGACATAACTTCTAAGACTTTTGGTACTGAAATTCTGGGCAAATATATTAGACATGCAGAAGTGGTCTTCACAGAGGTCTTTGCTTACTTTTGAAAGGATGCCTCTAACCTCATGATTTCTACAATAATTTCAGAAAACATACAGGCACTTTCTATTCTAGACTAGAATTAGTATCAATCAGATCAGGAAACTGATTCCACAGGACGACTAGAATGAATTGAGATAGGCTGCAGTAACAGACTCTTGCAAGATTGATTATGTTTCTCCTTCCTTCTCTCTTTTATCCAGTGAGACAGGAAGGAGTCTTCTGGAGTCCTTTCTCAATAGTATCTTCCTTCCCAGACTTGAGAATTTTCTCAATATTCTCTTAAAAGCCATCTTTATGCCTCTCTAAAATTAATTACAATATTTCCCATTCCCAACCCCTCCATGAAGACTCTTAATAAAAAACACACACACACACAAATCAGTCTTGACTCACCGGTCCCCAGTCAGAAGCAGCCCAGTGCCTGTCACAGGGAGGACCTAAACACTCCTTCTCATTGATGGGCTTTGTAGATTGATTGCACAGTTTGGGTTCGACTGAACAGCGCACTTCTCTTCTCATTGTCCCTTGACTGCCACACCGAGCAGAACACTGTGAAGAAGTGGGAACCAGAAGAGATAGAAGATCATGACATGTGCCAGCAATGAAGATATAATCATAAAATCACATTTACCCATCACATTTTCTTTTGCCTTGCTATACTCACATATTATAACTAATGAATGGTAACAATTCATGGGTCAGTTTATACATGCCTTCCTGACAAAGGCAGAATGAAGAAGGTGCCTCAGGCAGCAGATTTTCAGCACCCATAATTCAATTACTGTGGACTTTACTGTCAAAATGGAATTTGGGGTAGGCCTGTTTCCTGGAGTAGTGCAGTCCTCTTGAACCATGCTAGTTCAATGTTATAACTTTTTGTCCAAATTTTCTCTTGAACGTTTGCCCCTATCTCTTGTTCTCTCTCTCTCCCACCCTCCCTCTCTCTCTCGCAAGGTCAATTGTCTTCAGTTTTAGACAAAAAGCTTTGTATCACAGGTAAAATAAAATGTATCTGATAGATGCAGGAAGGTACATTAATAAAAGACCTGGTGTGAGATCTGAAATCAAGTCCTTGAAATTAATCTTCAGTGTCTTACTACTATAGTATTAACTCTCTTGATCCTCAAGCCCCTGGCTAAACTAAGAAAAATAACACCATCCAATTTGTAGTTATCACCTCAATTCAAACCAAAGACTGTGTTATGGCCCCACCAGAGGATACTCCAATGAGGAAGACAAGCTGGAACTGGGACCATCAGAAAGGGGCAGTGACATGGGGCATCTGGAGACTATGGAAAGCTCTGTGGTAGAAAGGGATGCAATCCCAAGAATGTCGGGAACTGGAATGAGTGATTAATCGCATGAACAGCCCGTGTAAACAGAAGAGGGAGAGACAGGTGAGGCACAGCGGCAGCAGGTCAACTCTGATGATGCCACCCTACCCAATCCATGGACAAGGAGAGCAGAAGGCCAAGAGGCATAGAGGAGGTCGGTGAGGTTACTTGCTAGGAAGCAGCCTTGCCCTCCTAATAAGTAGCACCCATTAAGACTCGTCCCTTTTGTTCAACATTTATGTAAAACCGCTGGGCGAGATCATCCATGGTTTCGGGGTGGAGTACCACCAGTACGCTGACAACACCCAGCTGTACATCTCCACCCCAGACCACCCCAACGATGCCCTTGAAGTGATGTCCCGGTGCCTGGAGGCCGTATGGATCTGGATGGGGAGAAACAGGCTCAGACTCAGCCCATCCAAGACCGAGTGGCTGTGGTTTCCGACGTACCGATATAGTCAGCTGGTGCCATCGCTGACTATTGGGGGCGAATCATTGGCCCCCACGGAAAGGGCTCGCAACTTGGGTGTCCTCCTGGATTCACGGCTGTCTTTAGAAGAGCACTTGACGGCCGTGACCGGGAGGATTTTTCATCAGGTTCGCCTGATCCGCCAGTTGCGTCCCTTTCTAGATCGGGACTCCTTACACACGGTCACTCATGCCCTCGTCACCTCCCGTCTGGACTATTGTAACGCTCTCTACATGGGGCTCTGCTTGAGGAGCACTCGGAGGCTCCAACTGGCGCAGAGTGCGGCTGCGCGGGTGGTCACAGGAGCGACGTGGCGCTCCCATGTAACACCTCTCCTGTGCGAGCTGCACTGGCTCCCGGTGGTCTTCCGAGTGTGCTTCAAGGTTTTGGTTATCACCTTTAGAGGGCTCCATGGCTTAGGACCTGGTTATTTACGGGACCGCCTGCTACCACCAATAGCCTCCCACCGACCAGTATGCTCCCATAGAGAGGGGCTCCTCCGGGTGCCGTCGGCCAAACAATGTCGACTGGCGGCCCCCAGGGGGAGAGCCTTCTCTGTGGGGGCACCTACTATCTGGAACGAGCTCCCTCCAGAGATACGGAGGATCCCGGATCTGCGTACCTTCCGTCGCGCACTCAAGACTTTCTTATTTCATCAAGCTGGCCTGACCTAAGTCTTTCCCCTTTTTAAATTGAAATTTTAAATTTGGTATTAAATTATTGGGGTTTTAAATTTGTTCAGCCAAATTATTTAATTCATTTTATTCTATTTTAAATTTTGTATTTATATGTTTTATTCTATGGCTGTTCACCGCCCTGAGTCCTTCGGGAGTAGGGCGGTATACAAATTCAATAAAATAAAATAAAATAAAATAAATAAATAAAAATAAAGACTGACTTAAGTGAGCAGAGGGGGTTGGTTGGTTGTTGGAAATAATCGTTCGTTTTTCAGTGCAATGTCTCCGGCTTCTTGCCTTGTTCCTTTGCTTCATCTCAGTGCCTTGTTCCTTTGCCATAGTTCATGGATTTTATTCAATACTATTTCATTGTCTGGACCTTGTTCCTGGGACTTATTATTATTATTATTATTATTATTATTATTATTATTATTAATTATTAAATTTTTATACCGCCCTTCTCCCGAAGGACTCAGGGCGGTGTACAGCCATATTAAAACAAACATATACCATAAAATTTAAAAACAATTTAAAATATATAAAATTTGGCCTTTCTACTACAAACACCCAATTAAAATTCAATTTCTAAGCCAGCCCGGCCTGTTGAAACAAAGGAGTCTTAAGGGCACGGCGAAAAGTACGTAGGTCGGGGATCCTGCGAATCTCCGGGGGGAGCTCGTTCCAGAGGGCAGGTGCCCCCACAGAGAAGGCTATCCCCCTGGGTGTCGCCAGTCGACATTGTTTGGCCGACGGCACCCTGAGGAGTCCCTCTCTGTGGGAGCATGTTCAGACTTGGGAGAATTTCCTTCACAACCATTGAAGCCAAACTGTTGGTATCCTCTTTGGTTTGCTTCCTGTCAGCCACCTTTCTCTGCTTTGTGCTCAAGCCTTGCTACTTCACGGCCAGCTGGCTGTCTTATTGTTGCCTGTGCTTCAGGTGCCAGACTGCCTCTGTTAGCCATGCTTTGAGGTGAACTCCTGGTGCCCTTGTTGGAAGACATTTGGTCACCGAGGTCACTACTCCTGAGCTCCCACAAATTGTGGGAAATTGACTTGACTTTGGGTTTTGGGGAATGCTACATGGGAGTTAGTTGTGAAATAAACATACTAAATCCTTTCCAAGTGCTCCTTGTGTGAAGTAGGACAGGTCAGATTGTGCCTGACTTCCAACTTGCCAATATGGTGTCTCCACTGAGCCACACTGGAGATGGACTTCAGCTACAACCTATTCAGGAACTAGGTTAGAGATGCAGATTATTTCACATAAATCAAAATTTATACACAAGTTGATTTTTCATGTCCCTGAAATTTTCCAGTTCTTCGCCACTTTTTGGGGTAATTTGAAATGGAGAGTAAAATACAAGGAACAAGAGCTGGGTGAGAGTAGCTAGTAGTTTTTCTAGCTCTAGTTTGCTCTGTGATATTTGAAGTTCATATTGGATCAAACAAGTTTTTACAAGCAAAGTTCAATAACATATCTTCACAGTCATTGGTAGCATTATTTTTCCCAAAAATGAAAATGCTTTCTGAAGCTACTGCATTCGTTAAAGGAAGAGTAGAGAAGGATTGGTACTGAACGTATTTGGAAAATACAAATGAATATCTTGGTCCTCACACTTGTAGTTCATCCTGCCTTGCCACAATTTGTGTGGACCCAGGATTACTACCATCTCTGCAAAACATTGAGACCATCATGCGGGCCAATATTATACAACTTTTTAATTTAAAGGCTAACAATTGGTATCCTTCTGTAAAATAGATTTTAGTCTATTAAGGAAGAATTAATCTATTATTCCATTTCCATTAAGGAAGAGGGAAAGATATCAGTGGCCAAATACAAGAGAGCACTTGCACTTTTACTATTGGATGAAAATTCCATGATAAAGTATACCTGCTAACATTTCTTCTTCTGCATAGCTAAGGAAGGATGCTGGTGCCCTGTCCTTTTCTGCATCTTTTCACATCTACAACTTGTTTCTAAACTCAGGTGTCTAAAAGAGGCATTCAGTTGCACTTCTGAAGAGATGCACACTTGACTGTTTCTTTAAGCCCATGTTGAAATTCAGGGATAAGCACCTTCATGTTCTCAATATGTTTTGGACATCAACTGCCATCAACTTTTGTCAACATGACTAAAGGCAAGGATTGGTAGAGTTCAAAACATTTGGAAAACACTATCTTAGTTTTGTGCAAGTTCTTTGGTGTGTGTGTGTGTGTGTGTGTGTGTGTTAAACCTACCCAAGAGCAACATACCTCAGACCATTCTGACAACTCCCACTGTGGCCCACAAACTTTGTTCTTGCATGATTTCCGTTCCATGGGCCTGGTTAGCCCAGCTGACTCACACATGTCATCGTAGACTGAACTATCAAAGCCTGGAGCCAGCATCTTCCAACAGCGGACAATTCGGTACTGATAACCTTCACCACAAGTTCTTGAACACTCACTCCACTGGCTGGTCTCCCACCTCCACACGGGAAGCAATGGCAAGAGAAAGAAAAAGCAGTTTGGGCATAGTTTAATGCAAAGGAAAAAATAGACAATAAAACTGGATAAGGATCTATACAGACTCCTAAATCAAAGATCCTTCCATAAAGATATATTATCGTTGCCTATCATTTTTCTCCTTGTAGGAGCAATTCTGTCTCCTCTGTAAGGAACCTTTCCCTCAAAATTCAAAACCTTTAAAACTTCCATAACAATTTTCATATATTTGCATTTCACAAGAAACAAAAGGGACAGAAAAAATATTTCACATTATCTTCTGCTAGCTTAAGTGATAAGGTTTAATTTCAGTATTCCAACTGCGCACAGGTTCCAGAATGCCTTCACAAGAGCTGGCTCTTTCCACTCACCTAGGCTGGCACTCTCGACCTGCGCAGAATTCATGGGTGGGTTCAGGACGAGTCAATGCATCACAGTAGGTTTCTTCCACTTCTACTCCGTCATAGCGGACACACATAGCATAGGAGGTGCTGATCCCTGCATGCACAGCAAAGCTGAATCATCATTAGCTGCCCCTACAGGATTAAGTGCTTCACTAACAACTATGGTCCAAAGTAGTAGCAAGTGACTGTTTATCCTGATACCTTAGATCTCATGAAGAGAGAGAAAGTTGGGATTTCTTCAGAAAGGAGAAAGATAATCTCTCCCTGCACCATGAAAAAGCACATCCTTTTTTCCATAAAGAGATGAAATGGACAGAAAGAATAACCTTGAGGAACAGTAGGAAGAACCTTTATTAAGACAATGGTGAGATAAAAAGAAACAAGAGCTGGGCCAGAACTGTAATCTGAGAAAGCATATCAGAAAACACCCCCCCCCCCAGTTCTCACAAAGGAAAAAAAATGGGGGGGGGGAGTGAAATCTCACTTTCAGACTTGTGAGATTCTGTCACTTTAACCTTATAATAAAAGTAGTATTAAGTTGGTGACTTTTGTTTCCCAGTCTGGTCTACTTTGGATGGCTGACAGGAATATACTGTATATACTATGTTCCCAACTTTCTAAAGGAAATCCAGAAATACTTAATAATTGAAGTTATTCAGTCACTGGATACACAATGCTCAAAAGCTATAGTAGTAGTTTATGTTGGGACAAGATTTAAACTGTACAGATCTTCAAAACTTCAAGCAATGCAACTTTGTTTCTATTATTTATTTATTTGAATGTATTATCCATCTAACTCTATGAACACTCTTTGCAGCTTTGCAGCTCCTGAAAGCATCTATGGCATGATTAGCTAAGCTTTGGCAAGCATTGCAAGAGAAGATGCTGCTACCCTTCTCGAGTATCACTTGCCAAGTCCTTGGTCAGCGGTGTCAGGTGATGTGCTGCTTAATTCTGCTTTGATGGTGGAAGGTGCAGTGCTCACCTTTGGTACCAAAATGATGGCAAACTGTGCTGTGAAAAGGAGCCTCTTTACCTTGCCTAACTAAAGCTGGAAATTACTTCTGTGCGGGTGCAGGATACTATGAGAAGCTTCAGGACAGCACAACATGCTTCATTAAGGCAGATCATACGGCCTTGATGCTTAAAGAAGATAATAATCTCTCTCGCACACACACACACACACACATTTTCTGAGGTTTTCGCGGGTGTTTATATGTAGGTCTTTGGTTATTCGGGTTTTCTCCTGCGTAAAATTGGAGGTGTCTTGGCAACATTTCGACGAAGTCTCATTCGTCATCTTCAGGCTGGTGTTTTCGGCTTCGTGCACACCAGCCTGAAGATGACAAATGAGACTTCGTCGAAACGTTGCCAAGACACCTCCAATTTTACGCGGGAGAAAACCCGAATAACCAAGGACCTATATATATATATATGCCGCCCTTCTCCCGAAGGACTCAGGGTGGCTTACAAAGAAAACATTCAACAATTCGAAAATTACATAAAAATTAAAATCCAATTAAAATTTATTAAAATTATTTCAATGTAAAAATCCCCCAACGGATCAGCCCATTTGATAAAAGAGCCACGTCTTCAGTTCGCGGTGGAAGGAGAGGAGGTCGGGGGCTGTCCTAAGCCCGGTGGGCAAACCGTTCCAGAGGGTCGGCGCTCCCTCAGAGAACGCTCTCCTCCTGGGGGCCGCCAGCCGACATTGTCTGGCTGACGGCACCCTGAGTTGGCCCGCTCTATGGGAGCGCACGGGACGATGGGAGGATGGCAGGAGATGATCCTGCAAGTACCCCAGGCCTAAGCCATGTAGGGCTTTATAGGTGAGCACCAGCACCTTGAAACGGAACCGGAGGACCACCGGCAGCCAGTGCAGCTCGCGCAGGAGTGGTGTCACATGGGAGTAATGAGAAGCCCCCTAACAACCCACGCGGCCGCATTCTGGACTAGCTGTAGCCTCCGGGTGCATCCCAAGGGCAGCCCCACGTAGAGGGTGTTACAGTAGTCCAACCGAGAAGTAACAAGGGTGTGAGAGATGGTGAGGGCATCCCGGTCTAGGAAAGGGCACAACTGGCGCACCAGGCGTACTTGTGCGAAGGCCCCCCTGGTCACGGCCGTCAGATTATCTTCTAAAGATAGTCATGAATCCAGGAGGACACCCAGATTGCGAACCCTTTCTGAGGGAGTGAGTACCTCCCCTCCTATCACATCATGGGACTTTCTTAGTGGGACTTGTGGATAGCCACTGAGGAAAAAAGTCATGCAAGATTGCTGTTACACGGTAACAGCACAAGGCCATTATATAGTATATACAGTAATGGAGGACTACTGAAAAAGTGGATTGTGAAGAAGTTGGAGTTGTCAGAAATGGTGAAGCCTGACCTTTTGTGGTGAGAGATAAAACAATATATACATTTTTAAAAAGACGGGAAAACTTTTATGGACTTTTTGCTGAAAACAGAGAAAATGATGAATAAAAAAAGGACTACACTAAAGATTGAAGGGATTTTTGTAATATTAAGGAGGGAGGTTGATAATATGACTGTTAATTTCTGTTGTAAAGAAGATCAGAGGTCACTTATTTTTCTGACTTCAGTACTCTTCTTTCCCCTCCCCCGCTTTCTTTTTTTTTTCCTTTGCTTTCTGTACTTTCTTTTTCTTATCTCTACTTTTATATACCTTCTGCTACTTTTTGTTTTAGGTTTGTCCTTTACTGTTTAAAAAAAATCTTTAATAAAATTTAGAGAGTAAAAGAGAGCAGCAAGAGAGAGCAAGAGGGAATGTGTGTGCACGAGAGAAAATCACATCATGTTCACAGCCAGAAGCGCCTTGTGGTAAGAAATCACTTCATGCAGACTTAATAAAAATTCGTGCAGGAAAAAAGACATTAAAATTAATAAGAACAATATTAGTCCTAATTAAACCCATCTGCATTACAGCCCCTGAGTTGTTGGGAGACTACACTGAAAAGCTCAACAGAAACACAAAAGCGGTTAAGGCACTAGGCTAGAAAGCAGGAGACCAAGAGTTCTAGTCCCACCTTAGCCAGGAAAGCCAGCTGGGTGACCTTGGGCCAGTCACTTTCTCTCAAACCAACTTACCTCACAGGGGAAAATAGGAGGAGGAAGGTGCACTGGATATGTTCACTTTCTTGAGTTATTTGTAAAAATAATAAAAGCAAGATACAAACAAGCAAACAAATAACACAATTCTATTATGTATATGCATGGAGTCTACAACTGTTCACAAGTTTCACCTGATATAATAATAAAGTAACATCAAGGGAAGGTGTTTTTTGTAATATTAAAGGAAGTAAAGGATACATTCAGACGTAGAACAAACACAAATATACAGCAAACAGAATTCAATACACTACACTACACGCTGTTGTCCATTTCTGAAGAAGTTCTCATGTGGGCCCTTCTATATGCTAGAAACTGACCACAAAGCAGAATCCTTTATAAGACGCAAAACTACCCATACTAGTATCCAAAATTTCATGTTGTTTCACCTGATGTGCATGTGGAGCTGCAAGGAGCATAGGCTGATACCTTCCAGCGATACATGTCAGCCAAGCTGATGTCCTCACGGCCAAGGGGACTCAGTTCAAAGTCATTGCTGCAGGGGAAAAAACCCTCAGTATAAATTTCTGGATGGATGATTTACTACAGGAAGGGAAATATGCTGTTCTTCTCTGGTTTCCACAGAGGCTAAAAGGAATCCCCAGATGGCAACATATTATTTCTCCACATTTTGCTTATCTACAGTCTGTCACAATTGTAGGGATTGTAGAGAATTTAATCATCTAAGAGCAATGTTCTTCAAGTAAAGGACACACTAGACTGCATCAAAAATATGCAGTTTAAATACTAATAGAGTCTTCCCAGTGGAGGCTTCCCATTGTGTCTCTATGATTTACTGCCCCAGTGTGCAATGTTCCAATCAGCTTCCACTAAGCCTATGTATTAGCGCTGTGTCTCTGAATCCAAACTAAATGATCAGCACATCATAGCTGATACAATTATCCAATGAAAGAGAAGGCTATCTTTTGCATCTAACAGTACCTCTTCCAATCAGAGTAGTAGAACAGCTGATAATACTGATATTCACGTACATAAAACAATCCAATCTACTAACTGAATTGAATTCAAGAATGAAGATTCCCTCAGATTTCCCAAGGATAGAAAATAATTGCTTTAGGCCATTTAAAACTAGAGTCATTTGAAGAACCACATGTAATTAATTTTTTAATACTGTATTTAGATAAAATCTACATTTTCTCCAAAATAATTTATTTTTAAAAAGGGATTGTCATCTTAGATATGCTGGGAAAATTATGATGAAAGCAGCTGAGAGGGTTTTTTTTTCTAAAGCTAAACAGGTATACAGTGCATCTTAATTCTGGGGCTGAGGGAAGACTGGATTTAGTTTGCTCTCCTTCAAATGAAGAATTTGAAAGGAAGCCAAGCTTCCTCCGTTGCCAAGGTTCCTCCTGAATACTTTCTTTTCACATTACATCACTTTTTTTTCTTAGAACACTCAACCCTTTTCTTCCAAATCTATTTTTCTTTCTCACCTTTCAGCACCTGGACCTTGAAGAGGCTCTGACAACTGCTCGTTCCCAAAATGGATTGGAAGCCTGGAGCTGGAGCTAGGGTTGGAAGAAATTGCCATGACAGTGTCATTTGTTGCTTTATTTATTGCAAAAGGGTCGACATTCACTTTGTCTGGAAAGTTCTTTTTTGCAGGTTGCTTGGGCAGTCCTCCTGGCCATTTGATAGTTGCGTGAGCCCACAACCCGACTGTTGAATTCTTTCTTCCAACCTTGGCTGTCATGTAATGCAATGCCCTACAAAAAGCAGCATTTTGTGGATCCTGGAGACACAATGATCTGAAGAGATGCTGTCTGGATGGACCAATCTTATTGGCTTCATGGAGTTCAAATCTTGCTGCACCATGTGGTGTGGCTGTGCTGATCATAATATTATTGAGTCTGAGGGCTTAAGAAGAATGAAAATGAACCAAGAGGCCCACAAAATTCACTTTACTTTCTACAATTAAAACAGCTTTTGTCCCCCTAAACATTTGGAAATGCTCTCATTTGACCATGAGTAATCTACAGTAGTTTCTGTATCTGTTTAAGTATGATCATCCTTCTTTCAGCATTTGAAAATAATTTTCTGTCTTTAATGACTACACAGAAAAATTGCAAACTTTCATTTAAGTAAGCTAACATACTAATGAAAAAGTTCCAGAGACAATCTGTCTCATACATGAAATTTAATTTGGAATATGCCATCTGAATGTACAACTTGTATGTCTTGCTTTCTTTGACAAAAGGACTTTGATCCTTAGGCAACCCTAGAACCTCTTTGTTATTCAATAAAGCAGCTGCATCTTTTCATTCAGACATGTGGAAATCTGCAAAAAGATAGACTGCTTCAATGAAGAGGAAAGATACTATACTTTGACAAGGTACCAAAGTTAATATTATGAGGTATTATTTTTCAGGATTTGGGTAATATTGTTATAAATTGCAGTTTACAAATATACATATATATTTGTGTGTGTGTGTATGTGTATAGAAAAATAGAGAGGAAGATACTATAAATAAATGTTGATTTAGTTCAGTATTCAATATATTTTGACTATCACTATTAACATTGATTTAGATCATGATACGCTGCACTGAAATCATGATGAGAACTAAATTTCAGTATTAAATTTTTGAAAATGTCAGTATTCCACATAAACATGTTTGTTTTTTGCCAGGAACTAGCAAAAAGAATCCTATCCTTCAGTTTTCCATCTCCAAATAAGAACCTTGAATATGGAAAAGTACAAAGGGTTTCACAACTAAGAACATGTACGGTACGAGCAACACTTTGAGTTGTTTCTGTGGAGCACTTGAAACACATGTCTCACCAACCACTTCCCATCAACCTTGTACTGTAGATGATTGAGTAAGTAAACTTATGAAAGGATACTAACCCAGATCTGCTTCTTTGTCAGCTGTCACTTCTTCATCTTCATTTGTTTCATAAAGTTGCTGGAATTGAAAGCTGAGATTTTCCTCCTGTGCCTCATGTTTCCAGCCCCATTCTTTGCCTTGGGGAGTGGAGTTATTTAGGAAGAAGTTCTGGCTATTGAAGGACATGCCCCCAGGTTCTTCTTCTGTGTCATCTGTCATCTCTGTGACAGAAGCCCAAGAAGCATTGAAATCTTGGGAAATGGATGAAACTGCATCTTGGTAATTTTGGCTAGGCTCTGGTAAGTGAAGATAGAGAGGCATCTTGATGGATGGCGGAACTGTCTGAACAGCTGGTGACAATGCTCTAGGTACAGTGTAGTCATACGTTACATGTGGCATTTTTCCATTGAAATTGTAGTACTTTTAACAAAAAGAAAAAAAAATAACCAAGCTTACTCTCACTTTGAAATTGTGCAAGATTCTACTATAGTTCAAAGAACTCTGAGAAAGACTCTTCACATAGCAACTGTATACAGTAATCAGATGTGGCTGTGTGCAAAGTGATTTGAAGTCTAAATTTTCATTCAAAATGTGGTTGTGAGTCTGCAACATTTCCCACAAGGTTTGGAACAACATTTCTAGTAAAATAAGGTTTAAATAACAAAAGGTATTTCAAGCTTGAAACATTTTGCACATCTGCTCAGATCTCACAGCCCTCAAATCTACTAGATTTGAAATCTAAGAGTAAACTCCCAGAGTACCTCTTTGAAGATACCATTTTTATCATCTCTGTTTGTTCTCCCAAATTTTGCTTTCCTAAAAATCCCCATGGAAGAAGAAATCAGGAACAAATCCAGGAATACGATCATTCCTCTTTCCAAGCCAGGTAACCACCATCTTAAATTCCCTTCAACAGTATCTGAGAGAGGAAGTTCTGGGAGTCATCAAGGTTTGTTTGGGAATAATGAAGTGAATTTCAAACTTTGGCCAGACATAGAAGCATACTTCTATAGCTATCCCTTTGCATTTTCTATCTAAAAATAGCATGATTCCCTCCAAACATTTTCTCTAGGCCTTGTTCTCCATCCGATTATTACAGTTTTACCCTTAGATAGGTTGAGCTGAAATTACTTCTGATTAGATGATCATGAAGTTATTAGAACCCACGCTTTAAAATCTGAATGTGTTCATCAAATTAAAACTGCCTACTCCTAAACTACTCCTGATCTAAACTGCGATATGTCACAGCCTAAGATTCTTCACAGGAGCTTGAAATATTAGTAGAAGCTGGGAGGTAGCAATTCCTGTTACTGGAAATTCTTGTGAATAATAGTAGAAGCTGAGAATACACTGTCTCACAAATATGAAAATTTCCTATAGAAAAAGCGGGTAAGTGAGGTAATGTTATGCAGATAGTCCTCGACTTACAACAGTTTGTTTAGTGACTGTACAAAATTACAATGGCACTGAAAAAAGTAACTTATGACCAGTTTTCACACTTATAACCATTCTAGCATCCCCATGGTCATGTGATCAAAATTCAGATGCTTGGTAATTGTCTCATATTTATGATGGCTGCAGTTTCCTGGGGTCACATGTTCCCCTTTTGTCATCTTCTGACTGCTTGTCAAGTCAGTTGATTCATTTAGCAACAGTTTGACTAATTTAACACCTGCAGTGATTCACTTAACAACTGTGGCAAGAAAAGTCCTAAAATGGGGCTAATTTGCTTAACAAATGTTTCATTTAACAAAAGAAATTTTAGGCTCAATTGTAGCCGTAAATTTGGGGACTCCCTGTATCTAGAGAGCTAAGGAGAAATTTCTGGGGAAAAGAAAAAAAAATCAATGACTGTTGATTCTAAGATGGACTAGGCGATTTGAACTACTGAAGACATATCGGTTTCACTGGTCCAAAGACCAGAAGAATAAGTGCCGAAGGAATATTTCTATTCAAAATAGATGTTTCCATGGATCAGGAGGACATGAAACGACGTGGAGAAATGGTTCAGGTCTTGCCAGTCTGAGAGAGAATGCCAGGCAGCCAGTATAATTATCCCCTTTGTTTAATTCTAGGTAGGAACCTAGAAATGACAGTACTATTAGGTAACACTGTAGGCGGAACATTGTTAACTTTAAAGTTCTTGGCAGCTGTGCATAAACCAAGCATTTGTATTATTACATTCCCCTACTTTACAGATTGCAGTGAATCAAGAGAATGGGCAAAATGAGTCCAACTTTCGTGGCTGCTGTAAAGAAATACTGCCTGAATTGTTCTCTATGCCTAAAAATGACACTAAAAGCTTGTCTTGTTTTGCTAATAAAAAAAAAAGGGGGGGGGAGGGAATTATGATGTGCGGTATGGTGGCTGTTGATCCAATCTCTTGTGAGCCTAAAAAGCATTTATGACATGCAGTAGAAGATTTATAATCCTCGGACAGCAAGGTTAGTTTGTTTGAAATAAAAGAAAGTTTGTGCGCTGAAAAATTTTAAATCATGAAAGGGGCAGGAATTGGCTCTTTAAACATACCTACTATCTATTGTTGGTTGGAAAAACTAAATGTAAGAGAATCATGGTAGTTTAAAACAGACAAATGAATTATCCTGAATGTATCTGAGAAGAATTTAATTGTGCTTCTTGACATATTTTTTCTCCAGTTTTGTGCAAATTAAGAAGTTGTGGCAGAAATGGGAGGAACAAAATGTTCTTTTAAAATATGAAGAAAATGTATAGATTCTCGTACACCTGATTTCAAATGGGACTATGTGGGAGGAGGCAGTAGCGAACTTTCTCAAAAAGGAAGTTTAGCCAATGATAAACTCCCAAAAATAACCAATGACTAAGCTCGAATTATCTTATTTCAGACACATAATGCGAAGACCCAATTTCCTGGAAAAGGCTCTAAGGCTGAGAAAGGTAGAAGGAAAGAGAAGAGGATGACTAGCAGCAAGGTGAATGGACTCCAGTGCAATGGTGATATGTGCACCATTGACAGACTTGAAAGAACAGGTTAAGGACAGATCATCATAGAGAAAAATCTATCTATGTGGTTGCTAGGAGTTGAAAATGACTTGATGGCACATAATCAATTTAAATAAAACAGTTTTACTCTGTATCCATTATTGTTCCTTGCTTTCTCCCCTCCTAGCCCCTGGCTGTTACCCCTGTTACCTCTTTTCAGCCCTCATAGCCTGAAGGAGATAAATATGCTAAGCTTCAGAGAGGCTGACATCCAGAAAAAAAACCTCTTTACAGGTGCTAATTTAGAGACAAGGCACTAATTCTTTATTAGATCTGTTGAAATATACTCAGACATGGTGTAACTGCTGTGAAAACGTAGTCTAAAAACCAAATGATTTTAGATTAAAACAGATGTAGCCTGTCTGACGTTCATTCAGTTTTGAAATGTTTAATGATCTTGCATTTTAGATTAGGTATCTGGTTCTATTTAACTGCCAGATGGTCACAAAATGTAGTAAGAAATAGTTGGACCGTAGTTTGCCTTATTTACCATGATGTTGAGAGACTGATTAGTGGGTCCTTGTGCAATAATGTATTCCAGACCATCAGAATGTAGATTAGAAGGACGGCGGTATTTGAACACGGTGCCAGCCACTCTAAAATTCTGTGGATTGTCAATAGCAGAGTTTCCATTGAAGAAGAAATGTCCCAAATCATCAGCCAGAGCTACCAGGAAAACAGAAATGAAACGAGAATGAAACATATCTATTGTGCAAATATTAATTTAGATATGCATAGCTGGAAACCAAGTGACTCAATCCATCCTAAGAGGATTTCCACTGGTTTAAGTTTAACAGATCTGAGTTGCAAAAACCACTAAAGGTAAAAGTAAAGGTTCCCCTGTACATGCGTGCTAGTAGTTTCCAGCTCTAGGGGCGATGCTCATCTCCATTTCTAAGCCAAAGAGCCAGTGCTGTCTGAAGACAGAACACTGTTACCTTCCCACCAAAGTGGTCCCTATTTTTCTACTTGCATTTTTTACGTGCTTTTGAACTGCTAGGTTGGCAGAAACTGGGACAAGTAACAAGAGCTCACTCCATTACACGGCGCTAGGGATTCGAACCGCTGAACTGCCAACCTTCTGATCGACAAGCTCATTGACTGAGCGACCACATCCCTTTTGCAAAAACCACTAGATGCCAGCAAAAACAATGAGTTTATTACCACTCTCTGCTACCTGGTGGTCATTGAGATGTTTACATCCAAGTTCTAGTAGTTCCACATTGATTCTTAGCCTATTTGTTGATCTCAAGAGCACTCTTCTTTAAGGTGCATATTGGGGTTTATATCCTGACCTCTTCTCCGTGATATTTACAACTATGAAGAAATGGACTCATAGAGATTGGAGCATGTGGATGTAGTGTAATCCATTAGTGGCATTTCAAGAGAAGACCACAATAGCTTGCACAACGTAATGGTTCTCACTGCCAGCAAATTCTCCAAGTAAAAGCACAAGGAACTAGACAAAGGGAATGCCCACCTCAGAAGAAGAAAAAGGACCTACATAGTTATGCAGTCTTGCAAGTTGGTGCCAGGCCAATAAATATAAAGTCTGCCAATGTATCAAGCAAAAGTATTGCCAGATGTTGGAAACTGCACTTAAAATTTTCTATGTATATGGAATGTATGTTACTTCCGAATTACTCTCTGTATTAATAGCAAAAACACTTAGACCTATAAACTGCTTCATAGTGCTTTACAGCCCTCTTTAAGCAGTTTACAGAGTCAGCATATTGCCTCCAACAATCTGGATCCTCATTTTACCCACCTCGGAATGATGGAACGCTGAGTCAACCTTGAGCTGGTGAGATTTGAACTGCCAAACTGCTGGGACATATGTAGTTATTGCTGTACATAGTCATTGCTAAAATGTTGCTAAGTATATCTGACCAACATTTGATAGTCCCACATGGGCTACACATTTTGGAAATCCAGAGTCAGTATACCACCTAATGGTATCCTAGTTGCATACATCTCCTTCACCTATCCTCCATAAATATTCATTAAGAAATATCACATGTCTAGGTTAACTTTGGGATGTAAAAAACTGATACAGACTACAGGAGTTTGAAAAAAAGATGCTATCTTGAATAAAAATGTAGTCAAGTCACATTCAAAAGCAGTTTATTTATGAAGTGAAAACTTGTCCATAAAAACATCTATAATTGCATTGCTTTAATCCTCTGTTATACTTTTGAAGATTGGAGAGTTATATTTATGCACTTTGAGTTGATCAATTTAACTTACTGTAACTGTCTGAAAATCCTTCAAGGCAGTGTTTTTCACATCTAACAACTTTTAAGATGTTTGAACTTTATGCTATCCCGGGCATTTCGGGAGTTGAAGCCCACATATCTTAACGTTGCTGAGACTGAGAAATGCTGTTTTAAGAGACATGCGCATACATTAAGATTACTGCAGCCCGCTCTCCACGGGGCTGTCCTTGAAGAAATTACAACAGGTCTGGAATGAAGCGGAACTTGGAGTATCTCTTACTTGACGTTTGTTATACCACCGCAGGAGCTTTCAATTTCTTTCTAGATGTGATTCAAGGTGGTTATTACCTTTAAAGACAGAATGCACAGAGCCTCTCCAAGACTCTGCCCATTCTGCTATGCTTGATAAAGTGGGAACAATTCAGGTCCTTTTGCTTAAATGTTGCTATCCAGCGGGACGTAGGAAGTGTGCCTTCTCCTTGCCATTTTTGGTTCCCTCTGAGATTCAACAGGCCCCGTACTGTCCTACCCTTCCAAAAAAACCTCAAAGACCTGGCTTTTTCCAGGACCATTGAGTATCCAATGTCTGAAGTTGAAGCTCAGAAAACTTAGTTATAGATGTTTTATTGGGTGTAGTTGGGGGGACTGGGAGTTGTTTTTTCTTGGTTTTCTTGGTTTTACTGTTGTTTATGAGCAACTGAAGGTATGTTGCAGGTATTTTTTGATAGGTAACTTGGCACTAAAAGAACATTTCACCTCATTGTTACATTGCATACAATTGGAAGCTACATACATTAAATAAGTACATAAATAAAATATGAAGTCCCCTAAGCATACTCTTTTTTGACCTGTCAGATAACTTGGCACTAGAACAACATTGCTATTTCATTGCTTGCCCAGATTTTCTATAGGTTAATAGTTTCTATAGGTTAATCAGTCTAATATTGATATAGGTTGCTTACCCAGGATGTTTTCTGTCTTCCTTCGTTCAATAATGAGTATATCTGTAGCACCAGCAGGAATGTTGGTGATAAATACGTATCCTGGGAAATGAGAAATATAGAAAAGTCAGAACAACTAAAATCAGATGAACAGATCTTTTTCTATAAAGCAGTTTTGTTCCTTCTGTTTTGCCTTAGTAGCTAACTCACTGAAAATGTGGAGAATGTCTGGGCTACTCGGCAGAGAGTTACAGATAATCTCTTCAGTTTATCTCCAGATGTACTGGGAATGAGATTCTCTGCATTCTTATAGAGCCTGGCCTTTGGGGAATTACAGTTTTAATGTATCTGGAGGGCATCAGGTCTATTTATGATAAACAGGCTTGTTTCATTCAAAACATTTTATATACCTAAAAAATATACAATGCATAAGAGCTTTTAATTATGCAGTTTCAATTCTTGTTTTAAAAAAACAAGGTGATGCTGTTATCATTATGTTAGATTTGATCAGAAAAATACATGCCAAGAGATTATTTTGATATGTTACTTCATGCTATTACAAAATCTCCTCTCGGTAGCTGGAGATTTATCAGAAAGTAAACTGGAACTGTGTAGCTTCCATGTGTTGATGGAGTTGCAACCCTCCCTCTACACCAGACTGACACATCCCTGTCGGAGGTGAGGAACGATGGCTCCTTTATGTCTTATGGACTTCAACTCTCAGAATTCCTGAACCAGCAGGTTCCTGAGCCAGAATTCTGGAAGTTGAAGTCCACAAGTCAAAAAATGGCCATCATTCCCCATCTCTGCTCTGTGTGAATGCCTGATGACAATGCACATTAGCATGCGTTTTCTCCCTCAAGAAAATCCTACTAATTGAGGGACAGCTCAATCCACAAGACTTCCAAGGACTGGACTGCCTGGGTGAAGAAGGACAACTAGCTCGCCTCTCCATTTACAGTAATCAAATGGATTGATAGTTGCATTTTCTTTCATCTCTGGAATCAGGACACATGCTAAACACAGCTCTGTTCTTCCAATTATATGACAGCTTGAAGTATAAAGATCAGGAACTGGGCAGTCATTGCTTCTTTTCAACAGGTATAGTAGTCTTTAAGGCTGCTTTGAAGAACACAGCCAAGCCTGATCAGTCAAGGCAGAACATGATCTAAATCAAAGCCATTGGGAGAACAATAATGATATAATGAAACACTGTGGGTATTTGTGGACTGATATAATAGTGAGGGGCTTTCTGTCCATTTAAAACATAAGACATATTTGATAAAAGATTTTACTTCTTTCAATCAAAATGAAGCGTGCCCAATCCCCTTCCAGTATTTTGATGATGTTTGGGAGAACCAGAGTTTTTGAGGTTGTTACTTGACTCAATCAAGAGCACTAGTTGCTCTCTTCCTTCACCAAAGGGAAAAAAAATATTTATTTATTAAATTTATATGCCACACATCTTATTCTGAAAAGCAGCTCTTTTCAGCTCTCTAAAAGAACTGTTGCAAGGTTATCAAGTATCTGTGATTCTACATGTGGAATATTTTGTGCAGAGCCTGATATCTCCCGCAAAATATATAGATTCTCCAATTTCACATTTGTCATTTTTCTTTCTCCTTAGAAAGAAACACATGGAAGATCTTGGGACTGCAACAATACTGTACAGCTTCAAATGTATGCAATGCTTTCTGATCCATCTTTCTGGCCTCTGTTTATCTTTTTCAAATCATTCTGTCTTACATTTTATTTCATAATCCCTCATTCAACTGCCAGTAATTCATTACTTGCTTTTAAAAATGCAGAATAAAGATACTTACATGAACAATATAATCTTAATTAGAGATGGACTTCCTCAACTAAAAGTATTTATAACATGGAGAGTTTCAGGCCTCCCAAGAGTGTTGAGCCACAGCTCCCTGTAACTTCATTATTTATGGCTAATGACAATGAAACGGCAGAAATTGTTGTTCAGAAATATTTAGAAAGTTATTTATCTGAACTGTTCCCCATTACAAAATGACATTAGCTATTCTTCGTGAAAGAATAGGGACACTGAACTTTTCTCTGTTGCCTGCTTTTTCACTGGAAGTTTCTATTCCATATGCTTTTGCCTCTGATAAGTTTTAGGCGCATTATGAAAGAATAAATATGCAAATGGAATTCAACAGTGCCATATCATGTGGCTATGGTAATGTACTGCATGTTATCATTCCGCTCTAAAAAGATGCCCAATTCATACTCAGACTCCGAAGTAAAGGCATCAGATGGGGTCAATATCCTCCAGAAGTCTTTGGTATTAAGCAATACTATATATTTTTAGTTTTTTCTTTCTTTTTCTTGCTTTAGCCTCAGGCTAAATTTATTTATTTACTAGTTTTTCATCCTGACTTTATTATTTTTATAAACAACTTAAGATGGCAAATGTATCTAATATTCCTTTCTCCTCCTATTTTTCCCACAACAACCCTGTGAGGTGGGTTGGACTGAAAGTGACTGGCCCAAAGTCACCAAACCAGTTTTCATGCCTAAGGCAGGACTAGAACTCACCATTTCCTGGTTCCTAAGCAAACACCTTCACCACTACACCAAACTGACTCAGTTGTCTAACCAGAAACAAGAGGGTCACAAAGCATAATACAAAATAGCTCAGTGCTGTTAGCAAAGTGTACCTAACTGTGAGATCCCCTTTCGGAAACTGCCTGAGACTCGGTAGCAAGTGCTTCCGTCTCCTCCACATACCCGGCATCGGTCCATCACCTGGGAAGAATAGAGGCTGCCATCACACCCTATTGGCTAGGAAAAAAAGGAAAGGCCAGTTTGAAATCTTACTAATAGATCAAGCTCTTTGTTTTTGTCCCCTTAACTGAAGTGTATAGCTCTATTTATTATATCTATTTTTTAAAGCTTGGTTCTTTTCTCTGCTCCATCTCCCTTGCTCAAAATTTAGATTCTCACCATTACATTTTGGAGTGTGGTTTTAGCACAACGCAATGCTCCATAGCGCTTCTTCTCTCACTTCAGTTGCACATACATTTCATGAAACAGACCTTGAAAATTTAATCTTCCTTCATTTAGAGATTTTTAAAATGGCACAAAAGCTATAAAATTATGCACAGATTGAGAAACATCCTCTCTGATCAGAATAGAATTCAGTGATTTATTGGACTAGATGAAAGCATCATCAGACAAATAAAACTATTGATATGATGTAAATTGGGCACATTAATGCGAAAATAGATGCCTTAAAAGTGAAACGGAAGTTACATCTCAACACCAGCCTACTGGGAGGTTAGGGAACTCTATATTACCTTTCTTGATTTCCCTAAGCCTAAACCTAAGGCCTCTAGCTTGAAATAGAATGTTAAAATAGGAGGCTTTTGGTATGTTCCAGCAGACTGTCCCTGTGTATTCTTATTATGTCCCAGTCCTAGCCAATAGATCTGGCCAGCTGAGCTCATACATCCCAAAGCTAAGAGTCATCCTACCACAGTAGGCGGCTGAGAAAATATTCCTTTGGATCATACATGAATCTAGAGAGCAGCTCCTTTGATCAAAGTTGTACCTCACACTTCCCACTGATACAGACTCCTTGGTAAGCCCTATCCTTGCACGATGTGCCATCCTGGGCTTGTGCCATGAGTTGTCTCTCTCCATTCCTTGAAGTGCATTGGAGATCACAGGGCTTGTTAGAGATGCTGGTGTAATCATCTGTAGAAAAGCACATAGAAAAGGAAACAGGGAGGGTGTACAAATTTGGGTCAAGAGACTTACTTACAAGATGTTAAAACTAATTAAAGAATGGAAATTTTGAAACTTCCTAGCAATCATCATCGTCTATTCTTATTGTGGCTTCTAGGAGTTGTTATTCAGCAACATGTCCATGGAGATTCTCAATCATCCAGTCATGGATGGGACTTTTCAAAAGGCAACTGGACTTAGTTTTTTTCCGCGAAAAATGTTTCACTTCTCATCCAAGAAGCTTCTTCAGTTCTGGCTGAATGGTGAGGAAGGGAAAGATTTATATTCTTAGCTGTCATCTGGTTGTTAGCTTTCTGAAAGTCATTGAGGCCCCTTGTGGGTTTATCTGTACTCTCAGTCTCCTGAATTAGAGTACAAATGAGTGTGGAACCTTCTTGGTCCTCTGAAATTATTGTGTTATAGACAGGATATAGGTGGTATTGTATCCCTCCCCCTCTGTTGAGAGAGGGCTGTTCAGTTTTAAAATAAATGGCCTGTTTAAAGAAATAAAACAACCACTTCACAAACACATGGCACAACACCATATGTTCACCAAGAGAACAAACCAACCAGGACAAGACTCAGAAGGCCATTGGCATTTGAAAGACAAAGGTCACTCTTTTGAAGGTAGCAAAATCCACATTCTGAACAGAGAGGACCACTGGTTTGAAAAGGGATCAAAGAGGCTATTTATATTAAAAATGAAAAGACCTCTCCCAACAAAGGGGGGTGGGGATATGACATCACCTATCCCCTGTCTACAACACAGTCAGTGGTGGGATTCAAGTAATTTAACAACCGGTTCTCTGCCCTAATGATTTCTTCCAACAACCAGTTTGCCAAGCTGCTCAGAAAGTTAACAACCGGTTCTCCCGAAGTGGTGGGAACTGGCTGAATCCCACCACTGAACACAGTCCTTTCAGCAGTACCAAGAAGCTTCCACATCCATTTGCACTCTGATTCAGGTGACTCTGAGAGTACAGATAAACCTTCAACTCTCAGAGAGCTAACAACAAACCTTCAAAGTATTAATGACTAGATAACTGCTAAGAATATAAATCCTTCCATTCCCCACAATTCAGCCAGAACTGAAGAAGCTTCTTGGATAAGAAGCAAAATGTTTTTCAAGGAAAAAAACAACAAACTAAGTCCAGTTGTTTTTTGAAAAGTACCTTTGGGGTATTCAGCAACATCTAATGAGTCACACATTTTTCCAATTCAGAATTAAATAATTCTAAAAAATCATTGCTATTTTTTTTAATCTTACCTAAGATCTCTTGCTGGGTAGAAGCATATACATTGTATTTATCTTCCAACATAAACTAGAACCTGACTAAAATTACTACTTTAAACACACAGCAACGATATGTGATATCATTGGATGGGGATTACCAATTTTCTTTAGATTTCTTTTCAGCACCTATCCTCGACCAACCCACACAACTCCCCAACCAGCACTTCACTTCCCAATGACCCCCACCTGGCATGTCCTCCCCATCACAAGACCCTCACCTGACATGACCCACACCTGACCCATCACAAGAATCTCAATTGATGCAACCCACACCTGACCCATCATAAGAACCTCACCTGATGTGATCTCCTCATCACAAGACCTACTGACCACATGAAGCCCTTATAAATAGAGGAACAATGTCACTGACACCCCTTAAAGTCTGCTAAAGATATTACGTAGCGTGGTAACAAAATGTTCAGAAACCAACCTACAAGCTCAGAGAATGAACCCCCAGTCTCATTTCTTTTACTCTTTGGTGTATATAAGAGTGAGCTGGAAACAAACATCTCCTATTTCCATATTTAACAATCTTTCTAAAAACCTAAAATATCGTTTAAAATTAGGTCACCAAAGTTTGCCAGTAAAATGGCCAAAGATCAATTATAAGTAGTCCTTGATGTACGACCACAATTGAGCTCAAAATTTCTGTTGTTAAGTATTAAGAGAGCTGTGCCCCATTTTATAACTTTTCTTGCCACAGTTATTAAGTGAATCACTGCAGTTGATAAGTTAGTAACCCGGTTGTTAAGTGGATCTGATTTCCCCACTGATTTTGTCAGAAGGTCATAAAAGGACCACATGACCTTGGGACACTACAATCGTCATAAATATGAACCAGTTGTCAAGCTTCTGAATTCTGACCACGGGGATGCTGCAATGGTCACAACAGTGAAAAATTGTCATAAGTTACATTTTTCTGTGCCATTGTAACTTTGAACGGTCACTAAACGAACTGTTGTAAGTCGAGGAGTACCTGTATAACATTTCAGACTGTTTTGGGGAAGGGCTTAAAAATGAAATGGTAAACTTGCCTTTCAGATGAAACTTGCTCCTATTTTCACTCTTAATGGGAATCAGATCATAGAAAACCTATGCTGCTGAAAATTGGCCATTTGGCTACTGAATTTCAGTAACAAAATGATTGGGGGTGGGAGCAAATGACCAGAGAGTTGCCCCTTCCTATTTGAAGGAAACTTGGTGCTCTTAAGGTCTATGGCTTCCTTATAGCTCTCAATTCCATGGCCCTCCTTCATCTATAGCAGCAACTGTCAAGCTTCTTCTGAATAGGCTAAAATAAAGTCAATTAAATAAGCACACAAGAATTCAGCCATTGAGGCAAGCAGATGTTACTGCAGCAAACCTAAGAAGCCCTTTTAATCACTCCAGTGATTGTGGTGTATTAAATGCAAGCTCTATTTATCAATGTTCACTTTTCTTGGGGTTCTTTCTCTTGCCAGCTCTTTGTAAAGAGCTAGAATAAATTCTCTTTTGAGTGGGAAATATTGTTTCCATGTCTTTTTGTTTGTTTGTTTGTCTGCATAGTGGCAGAAATAGCATCAGGTCATTTACTTTTGACTACATGAAAATTAACTTTAACAGCAGTTACTGTTAAAGATAAACACATTTATCTTCCTAGCTCGAGAATTCTCAATCAAATACAGTGCTGTCATCCCCAATCCAGATGTCTCCTTGATTTGTGACTTCTTGGAATCCCTCAACCACACTGTCATGATTGAGAATTTTAGTACTTAAAATTCAGACATCTGGAGTGTCTCCAGATTGAAGGAGGCTAGTATACAGTACTAAATTAAAATAATTGAGATAGAAAAATAATATTGTCAGATATAACTGTTGTAAATTAAACCTTTTCCTATTTTTTAGGAAACAGGAATAAGAAATAAGTAGCTTTATTCCCACATCATTTACCGTACCTTTTTTCTCTATATCTATGTTATCTGGACACTAAATATAATGCTTGCTATATCTCAGTATGATTTAGTCAATAAAAGCTTATGCTACAATGGATCTTGCTATTTAAAATGAGGATATTTTCTTGTTTTCTGGGAATAAATGCTGTCTTCAACTTCCACACAGTCTTGCAAACCCTCTTACCTCCTTGTCTTTTGATCTATAGCTTCTGCTTAGTAATTTAGCAAAGGCAAACCTGGGTAGAGTGGCATCCAATGATAATAGTGTTTCCCAAAGGCCTTGGCATTGAAACTGGCACACTGATGTTGCTTGAAACTGGCTGTGTTGGCAGGGCAAAGCTGGGGAGAAAAGAAACATATATCTGGTGCTTGTTCCATTGCCTCTCTATACCAGATTGACATGGAATTATTTCCAAATAGAACGTGAACCAGTGTTTTCCAACCTTAGCATTTAAGATCCGTGGACTACAACTCCCAGAATTCCTCAGCCAGCTGGAAAAGGTTAAAAAATAATGGAGTGAACAATCCGAATGATATTATTTAATTGTATGGAGATTTTGAAGTTTTCAGAGAAATGTAAAAGTTTAGGACAAAAAGAGGTCAAAGGCCACCCACATCATTAACAACCAAAAAAATTGTTTGAAAGTAAATAGCATGTATGAGTCTCTTCATCAGTCCTTTGTTTCCCTTCTTTCCACTTATTATATTTTTGTAAGTGGGGTTTTAATTTCTACCAGAAACAAAGACGTCACATGAATAAATGAGTGGTGAAAAAACATATACGTGGAAACTACTATCGAAGGAGCAATATCAAAAGGGCATGGCTGTTCTAATAATTCACGAAGAGGTTTTTATCTGCAACCTGTGTGTTTTAATGAACCTCTCTTGAGGATTCTTAATAGGACATGCAACCCTGTTACCTTGTTAGCATGTAAAAGCTGGAACGGACATGCCTTTTCAAATTTTATTCATTAAAGAGAATTTACAATACCTGAAGAGAAATGATTTCTCTGAAACAGATATGTGGTGTAATGGGAAAGCGTGTGGCTCCAGAACAAAACTAATTTTGTGAACACTCCACCGGAGCATCCATAAAGATCTCCTATCTTTTGCTTTTCAGAAGGACCTTGAGTAATTGGGCTTTGGTCACATGGCTCTGCATAGTAGGCTACATTCTCTTTCCTAAGCTCATGTTCTTCTGATAAAGAACTTTTCATTGGGACAGCAAGCTTATTAAAAATACTAACCCCAACTGCTGACCAGTAGTAGGATATTCCATTCTGTCATCATGAGACTGTCATTTCCTTCAGCTGCATCTGTAAGTTGTTTTTCTACCCAGTACCTCTACGGTATTTCAGTCGGTTTTTGAAATACAACAAATTTGTGGAGAGGATTCCACCAGGCAAATTTGACAGATATAGGTAGGAATAAAAATAAACCTTCCAAGCAAATTCTCTATGCTAAGTCACTTACTTATTCCTCAAATAAGGACAAAAGTGTGAGATGGGGGGGGGGATACTGAATTACTGAACATTTAAGAAAGTCTATATGCCCTTACAATGATCAAGAAATATGAAGAATGAGATTAAATTATACACAACCATAACCATTTGTAGTTTGAAGGAACTGTGTTTTCTGTTCTTTTATTTTGAAATGCTAGGAAGCACTGCAGGTATAGTTAACAATAAATTGTAAATAATGCCTGAGAAAACCTCTTCCCATTTGCCCCCATACTTCACGGTTCAAAATTTTATTAGTTTATCAAAACAAAAATATAAAGAAAAATGAAAATAAAGGTAAAATAGGAGAGGAAAGGGGGAAGAGAGAAAAGTGTTGGGTCAAGGGGGAAAAGTAAAAAAAACCATTGACTTCTGACTCTTTTTGGTACAGTACAATAAAGTAATAACATGAAACTTCAACTTTTTACTTTTCTATACTAATATAAAATAGCCATTTATATAACACCAAACCTATCTAATCAGCCAAAATCAAAGTTTTATTTTTTTCCCACTTCAAGCAAAAAGTCCAAAAGTGGTTTCCAAGTAGAACTAAAATTAACTGTGTTCTTTTCTTTAATCAAAGCAGTCAATTTAGTCATCTTTGCTAACTTCATCAACTTTTGCCATTCTACCATTGTGGAAATCAGTGTCCTTCCATTTTTGTGTACAAAGTAATCTTGCTGCTGTCAGCATGTAAAACCATTTGCCTCCATACTTGTTTAACTGCTAGTTGGGCTCTGCAGCACACAAAGAATCAAATTCATTCTTGAAGATCAAATATAGCATTTATAAAAGATTAGCTTACCTGCTGTTGGCATAACTGATAGCGTTTTGACTGACCTAGGCACATGCTACTATTTGTCCCCTGAGATACGTGTAGCCTGCAATAAAAGAGAATCCTTCTTCAAAAGAACTTAAAACGTTGACTTCAGAGAGGTTCTGGTTTAGAGTATGAAATACCATTTGAAAAGTCTTTCTGAAACTGAGTTTCATATATATGGTAGTAATGTGCTATGATTTTTCAGTTTCCCAGTCTAGTCTATAAGTCTGGTCTTCTATCCAAGTTCAGTACTACCTGGTATGGCTGTGCAAAGTTTCATATTTTAATGGGAAAATAGAATCTAAAGTTTGAAGAATTTATTAGTACATACACTGCATTAAAGAAGCCATGTTTTTTTTCTTGGGCTTACACAGTTGGTCATTACAGCTCCTTTGCAATCCGGAACAGGAGCCTGGATAGCTCTGCAGACTAAAGCACTGTCATTTAACACCAGCTGTCTGCAATTAAAGTAAGTTCGAATCTTGCCAGGCTCAAGGTTGACTCAGCCTTCCATCCTTTCTAAGGTAGGTAAATTGAGGACCCAGTTTGTGGGGGCAATAAGCTGACTTTGTATAAAATATACAAAAGTATGAAGGCTATTGCTTAACGCACTGTAAGCCGTCCTGAGTCTCCGGAGAAGGGCGGCATATAAATCAAATAAAATAAAAAAAAAAGGAGACACTTGCTTTAAAATGTTTTTTAACAAGGCAAGTACAGATCCCATGCACACTCCAGATCACATTGCTTCTTCAAATCCAACACAGTTTTGTTAACTAGATCCAACACCATCTACTTTTTAAAGAACCACCAAAGATTCATTTAGGTTATGCCATTATGACATCCATAATAACTTTTGCTATTTCCTTCTATGCTGCATTTTTTTTCTTTATTTTAAATATAAGGAAGAAGTCTGCACTGAAAACTATTGCATCCAGAAAAATATTCAGAATATCTCCAAATAGTTAACATATAAATCAAATTAAAAAAACAAACAAACCCTGTGATTTCCTTAGCATTAACTAATATTCTACTCTAGCACTTCTGAATTTCAGACTTCCAAAGCTGAATAACATCACTTTTTTTTCCAGAGCTAACAGTGAAATAAAGTCAGCTCAAGATAAATAGAACTTACTCCCAGGAAACAAAATATAGGATTGGACTTTAAGCATGTCCAAGCTTAACTTTATCACAATATCAAATTCTACATATCAGAACAAGTTGGAGTGTTGTCAAAGAAGCTTACTTCCCTGCCTAACTTTGATCCTAAAGTAAGGAAGCTGCTTGCTAAGCCCGAATAACAGGATGGTAGAACTTCAACAAGTTAGGAAGACAGGTGGCTCCTTCTTTTAGTGGGACTGGAGTACAGATTCTTGCCCTTAATTTAGTTAATGTAGGTAGTCCTTGACTTACAACCACAGCTGGTACCAGAATTTCCATTGTTAAGTGAGTCACATCTGATTTTATGACCTGTTTTGCCACAACACAGACATTTTTTTTAAGTTGGAGACAAACTGTAGGTTGCAGATGATCCTGCTAGTTGGTTCTTAAAAGAAGAGCCTTGCCAAAAGTAAAGCTTATTTCTAACTACATTGAGAATCAGGATTATTTCCAGGAAGAGCCTCAGCATATCCAGACCTCAGTTATGGAGCCACGCCACATAAAAGGACACACATAAACTCACACAATTTTGACAGCAGGAAAGAGGAATGGTTTCACCACTGAGAAGTACGTTTATGTAGAATAGGAAGAAGAAATGTGGATAAGCATAGTCGAGAGAAGTCTCCAATGCTGGTTCTCATTAGCATCCAGGGATCTGGAGCAGCAGGTTAAAAGAGGTGCCTCCCTAGAGTTTATTCAACTCTTGAGTGCAGGTTGAAGTTCGGTATGGTTAGCTAGATGAACATTTGAGCAACTGGGCTAAGGATAGGAGTATAGGATTCCTCAGAAAGAAATCTATCATCACCGTATACAAACTGTACCTTCCCTGCACTTTAATCAGGGAATCAACTCAGGTTGTTAGTTGGTGAATTTCAAGAAAATAAAGAAAAAAACAGTGAGGATTATGAAAATTATCTATGAAGAGAAAGTTACCAAAATACTGTAGAGCCACACAGAGAAAAAGTGATTTAGTGAATTGCTGTCATATCTCAATGGGTTTTTTTAAAATGCCAAATGTACTGTGATGGTAAAATTGGCTTATCCAACTAAAGGTCCTTGTCAAGTGGTTTTGGTCAACTACTTACCGCTGCCATAAGCAGTGCCTCTCTCTTGACATTACACCTCCTCCACAGGTGCGGGAACATGTAGACCAGGAGCTCCATTCTCCCCACCATTTGGTGACCTCTTCATTCCAGGTACCAGCTTCTTCTGCTGCCTCACTACTGTCCTGACACAAACAGGAAAAGGTTACCTTAAGAACTCCAGAATTATTCCCAGTATCTCCATTTTTCTAACCTCACAAGCTATTCCTAGATTCATATTTTGCTATATGACAATGTTTTGGTTCTTCTGATGTAGACTATTGGATATATGTATATTATCTGCAGACTGAAATAAAGTATGAAACATATAACTTGTACTTTCCTGTATATATATTTGTTTATTATTAGATGCCACCATGTCCTGAATATGCTTCCCAGGCCCAGTACTTGCAACTGATAAGTTATTTTTTGGACTCTCTCTCCTTCCTCCATAGTATTTACTTTAAAACCTTTATCTCAAACTCATGGTTTTTTTTTTTAATTTTGGCTTTTTTCATTTTTAAACATCTTAACTCGCATCTCTTTACTACTGAGGAACAGGGCTGAGGAACCTCCAATACACTGGATTAATTCATGCCATTAGGTTGACCCATCAAGCTTATGGGGCTTTGAGTGAGATTTCCTCTACACCCCAAAAATTCCTAGTAGCATGAGCCAGTGTCCCCTTGCCCATCACTTTGCTTGGTTGGGAGGATTGCCAAAGGTGGCAACAGATAGTCTTGTGAGTATAAGTGGTCCTTGGTAAACAAAAGATGTGCAGCGACTATTCAAAGCTACAATAGCACTGAATGAGTGGTACTTATTACCAGTCTTTGAAGTTTTGATCATTGCAGTGCTTTGCAGTAACATGATTGTACTTCGGGTGCTCAGCAACCAACCTGAATTTCTGACTGTCACTGTGTTGCATGGTCCCTGCTGGCTTTCCACTAAATCAATGGGGAAGCCGGCAAGAAGTGGGAAGGTCTGATTATGTGAGGTCCTCACTTAATGACCCACAGTGATTCATTTAATAACTGGGGACTAATGGAACTGCTGCCACTGAGCAATGTAGTTATATGACATCATGCTTAGTGATGGAACTTCTAGTCCCAATTACTGTCTTTTAGCTAGGACTATCTGAATTTCTCTTATATCACCTGCAGCCATAATACCATTTTCTAGCATTGCTCTGGATGGTTAGATATATATGTGAATAATACACAGAAAACAGAATTGATTGAGATACTACAGAGCTGTGATGGCGAACCTATGGCATGCATGCCAGAAGTGGCATGCAGAGCCATCTCTCCGGGCATGCAATCCGTCACCCATTGGTCTTCTGGGTTCCGGCACGCTGGCCAGCTGGTCTTCATGCATGCGGGAGCACCAGAAACCAGAACAGCAACCACCCGGTGCACATGCACATGCCAGGCAGCTGCTCTTCCGGTTTCCGGCACGTGCATATACACCAGCCATCTGGTCTTCCAGTTGCTGGCACACATGCGCGCACAAAAACCAACTGGTACGCATGCGTGCTCCGGAAACCGGAAGATCATCTTCCTGACATGCGCATGCACACCGGGCAGCTGCTCTTCTGGTTTCCAGCACACATGCATGCGCTCCCGTTTCGGCCCTTGGTGCTGAAAAGGTTCGCCAACACTGCTATAGTGAAATAAAATAGGCTTCATTTGAGCCTCTGCAATCAGTTCTTGACAAAATTATCTATCACATAGGGCACAGATACTGTAAGCTATGAATTCCAGCACATGAAAGACTGTCTGCTGCAGATCTGTATGAGTCACTGTTCTGAATCTTCCAGAGAGTGGCAGTGAGTGTGGAAAGGAGTGGAAAATGCAGAGGAGCTGCTATATCTCCTGGAATGTTAGTATCGGTAGTTGCTACAGCAGTACAAAGAAGTGGCATAATACATCCTGATTACATTTCTATTCATGAGAGATGATGATGTCATTATCACTGCATACTGCTTCTGTTTTTCTGGAATTTCAGGAAAATTAATGCTTATGTATCAGTGCGAGCATTTGAAGGAGGCAAGGTGATGAGGAAAGGAAAACTTACCTAATGACAAGTGTGCATCTATTTTGAACACAAAGAGCTGGAACATCTTTCCAGCTAGTAGAGGTTTGGGGTTCTTGCATAAGAAAATCACTGAGATGCATTTGAAAGGAGCAGCAGTGCTCCCCATCCCAGATAGAAAAAGATGTGACTCTTTCTTATTCAAAGATTGGAGGAGGGTTTCCTGTGGGGTTTCTGAAAAACAGGGCTACAATGGGTTTAGTGATCCATGAAATCTAGGGCAGCTAAAGCAAGTGGACTAAAATGGGGAGGGGTTTCCTCCTTCATCTAATGGCAGAAGTAGCGCTTGATGGCCTGGATTCTCAATGGGTGTTCTGTAATAATGAAAGGGTGTGATGGAGAACTTTTTAAAACTGTGGGGAGACAGGAAGAGCATAGGACTCTAATTGGAACTTCAGTTTGGTCAGGTCAGAAGATATGTCTTTGCATGTCTCACAAAAGGCTAATCTAAAATGGAATAAGGAAAGTCTGGCAGTTCTTCTTAAAAATGTTCTGAGGATAAGCAATCCAAAAGCTAAGAAGAAAGAAAACAGGGGAAAGACCTATTCTTCTTAAATAAACATATAGTTGATTTTTCCACAAGCAAAATCTTTTAACATATTTAGCTAAATTATTATAACTGACTACATTTGGACATTACCAATTGTAAACATGATACATGAAAGAGAAAGCAGTTAAGATGCATGAACTGGGCTTGTGCATGACACACCCTTATTTCCATAGAATTTTGTTTCCCAATGGTGTGCAACATACTTAGAAAAGTGCATCTCAACATTCTTTAAAATGGCACAGAAGGTTACAGGAGTCAGGATAAGCCACTTCTCTGACCCATGTCCTGAAAGTTTAGATGCTGCAGAAATAGGTACAGCAAATTCATTCCTACTATACCTTGATCATCCCCACATGTGAAATGTTCTTCTTTCTATAAAAGGTACTATATCCAGGAGAAGAATAGGAATGTTCAGGTGCAAATATCCTGCTAGTCACTGGATGTTCAGATAGGACATTGAACCATATATTCAGAAGGTATTTTGGGCATCTCGTGTTCGACACCCAAATATGATTTTCTATTTTACTTCTGAAACTTTTAAAGATTTACATGAAATCACCAAAGTTCTGGAATGGGATGCCATCAGCAAGATGATGACAGCCAGTTCAATCTCTCCCTATCTTTTAATTTAATGCCTTGCAGTGAGATGGGCAGCTAACAAATTTAATAAATAAAATAAAATAAAATAAATTTCAAGGAAACAATCAACATGATTGATAAATGCTTAATTTTGATAATAACCTGAATGAGGAAAAATAAGCTGAAATAATATCCAGACAAGACAGAAGTGCTATTAATAAAAAGAAAACTGGACTTGGTTAAGGTAAAGTTTATTTTCCTTGGGAATCAGAATACTCTTTGACCACCACTGTCATTGGATTGGCAAAGTGGCTGTGGTGAAGAACAAATATGCACAACTGCAGCTAGCGGGCCACCGGAGTACTTTTCCTGAGCTACTTGACAGAACAGCTTGGTTACAACTCATCTTGATATGTAATGCCCTTTATGTGAGGCTACTTGTGAAAAATATCCAGAAGGTACAAGGTGCAGGGGCCAAATTATTGATTACTACATGGCTCTGGGATCATATGATGCCTGTACTACCGTAGAAACATTTTCACTGGCTGTCAGAGCTATTGGCACAACCTAAGGTGTCTTTTTGATCTTCAAAATCCTAAGTAGGGATACGGTTTATTTGCTGGACTGCCTGTTCAAACATGAATCTAGCCAGTTCCTGATACAAGCAGAAGAGTTCCTTTGAAAATGCCCCTCCTGTCAAAAGATGGACAATCAGGGACTTGGGCAAGGGTCTTCTGTTGAATATGTCCAAGCTATACAATGCACTTCCTAAAGAAAGGAGCTTGGCTCCTGCTGTCCCATTATTTAGGAAGGTGGTTAAAATGCATCTCTTTGGCAAGCTTTAACTTCTTAATTATTTTAATTAATTTTGATTTTGATTTTAACCGAATTAATTTTGATAAATAAGGAAATTTTGTTTCCTTATTCCTATTTTTATTGCTGCAAGGTACCTTGAGTTGAGTGTTAGTATAACACCCAAGTAAGATTTAAGATTCAATAATTAAAAAAAACACACACACACACCAAATTCTGAATTTTCATGTAGGACAGGGTTTCGGTGATTCAATCCTGTACTTGATAAACCACAAATCACCTACGCCTGTCCATTTTCTGCCCCAATTCGAGTCGACCAGAGACGCTTTTAAAGTCACTAGTGACAATGCCATGAGTTGTAGATAAGTACTAGCTGCAATGAGCAAAAATAAAGTGTTTCGGAAGCAAAAAAATAAAATAAAACCCCAGCCTGAATTATATAAAGCAGACGCCGCGGGAAGTTTCAAGAGGGCAGGGCAGGCTAAACCAGCGTCGTAGTTTCACGCGTTTGTCTCCTTGCTCAGCACTGATTACAAAATTTTAAAAGGAACGGGGCGGGAAAACGCCCTAGAAAAGAGGTCAATTTGGAGCCAAGATTCGCGCCTGGGACAGCCATGAGAACAGATTATTCGGGGGCATTACTTTTCCGAAATGGGGTACCGGTGGCTACGGCCGGATGCATCTGCTTGCAAGCGAGCAAGCCCAGCTAGGGGTAGTCGCGGCGGGAGCACATCGCAAAACTGCCTTTCAAGAATCCTTGGGGAAGGGCGCACAAAATGCCCCCAAAATGCAGCGGCGGCTGAAAGTCGGCCACCGCCACGGCTTGCCCCATATTCGTCGCCTCTGGCCCCTTACCTTAGCGCGGAGTGCACAGGCGAACAGCAGAAATATGGACTGCAGTATAGGGAGCCGGCGGGCGGAGAAGGCGGGAGGCGCGGCCATCGTGCTCGCTAGCGCTCCATGAGCGGCCAAAAGGCGGCAGCGAAGTCCCGGCGGCAGCAGGAGCAGCTGCCTGAACCCAAACCGGCATGGCCGAGTAAGTAAATAATGACTTTCCAATCTGATGGGTGTCTGCGGGAGCGCGGGGCAACCCTGTGGCTTCTGGGCAGCGGTGATTGACAAGGCGACCCGAGAGCCACCCAAAGACGCCGCCAGTGGGACGGAAGGAAGGAAGGAAGGAAGGAAGGAAGGAAGGAAGGAAAGAGTGGGGGGTCTTCCTGTCTGGCCCCTTCCTCCCTCTTCAAAGAGAGACAAAGGATCCCGGCGCAGCGGGAGTTTTCCTACCGCAGCCTTTGCCCGCCGCTGGCCGAGGAAAGGAAGGCGGGAGAGGCCCACATCCTCTCCTGCTTGACTGTCAAAGAGGCCCTTCAGCAAGAGCTGCCGGATTAGGCAGCGGGGCGGGAAAAGTAGGCAAGGTTCCAGGGAGGGCTGAACTCTTTGGAACCATGTTTTCTTGCACCCAAGGGTTGCAGATGGATGTTGGAACTGAGATTAAATCTTTTATTAGATGGTGGGGGTGAGGTGGGGGCAGTGTTGGATTCAACAATAAAGAGACCTTTGCCAAACCTTTAAGGGGTGGGTGGGCATATATGGATCTGTTGTAAGCGTTAACCAAATGGCTGTCATGGGAAAAGTGAACTGGTCAACTTAAGCCAAAGGTCCAAATTTAACCCTGAAGTTGTTGATATAGCTTGAGCTGTGTAAGGGACTAGGAAGTTATTGTCAAACAGGATAGGCATCAGTTTCCAAGTTTTTCCTTTTTGCTGACCATTAATCGTTGATTATTGTTGAGTGTACTACATAAACAATGTTTTTGCATCATAGGGCCCCTCCCCCAATGGCACCCGTGGGATCCTGCTACTTAACCTCTGAAGTACAGTTGTTTGCTTCAGTGAAGATGAAAGCCTTTTTGGCCTGCTCCTTTCAGGAATTTAAAGGGAATTCACTGGAGCCAGTGGAAATCCTATTTTCATCATAAAGTGTGGATTTCTGTGGCTTAAAAGAATGGAACCATCATGCATAAGGAAAATGATCATTTAAAAGAATAATAATTTTCATGTATTATTATTTTGTATAAGAAAATGGAGTTGGTATTGTTTCTAAAAAGTGGATGCTTGATATGTCAAACAATTATAAGCTGTTTCAAAACTTGTTAAAAACACTTTGAACAAAGGTGGAGAGGGCTTTTAGGAGAATTGAGTAGATGTGTCAAAAAGGGGAGGGGGAAATGAACTTTTGTAAGGGGATAAAAGCTGATGAATGCTTTGTTCCATGTCCACTATCTGTGCACCCGTGTTTGCAAATACGTGAATGAACTTCTTTGCTGCTTTCAAGTTGTTGTCTCGGGTAGTTCTATATGTGTCCACTGTTTGTAACAACTAATTGATATAATAGGGCTTGGCTGAAAATCAGGATGTACACAGGCATGTATCTCTCAGCGATTGATACCCCTGCACAGGTAGTCCTCGACACAATTGAGCCCAAAATTTATGTTGCGGAGACATTTGTTAAGTAAATTTTGCCCCATTTTACGACCTTTCTTGCCACAGTTGTTAAATGAATTACTGCAATTGTTAAGTTAGTAACACGGTTGTTAAGTGAATCTGGCTTCCCCATTGATTTTGCTTGTCAGGTCATAAAAGGGGATCACATGAGCCCCAGGACATTACAACGGTCATAAATATGAGTCAATTGCCAAACGTGTGAATTTTGATCACATAATCATGGGAATGCCGCTACAGTCTTAGTGTGAAAAATAGTCATATTTCATTTTTTTCATAAATTCACATGCTTAAAAACAAAGGAAGCCTGTTTTCCCTTTGTTATATCTGTTTTATAAATGTATTTATTTGTTTGTTAAATGTATAAATTACAAAATAAATACCCATCAGATGTTTGGAAAGTTTAAATGATCTGTTATAAATGGCTTAAGGACCTGTAGTCTATAATGTAATGTCAAGAAATTTCTAAATAATAATATTTCAGTTTTGAAAAATCAGTATAATTGTTTTTGCAGAAATCAGAAAATATGTGAATCTCATCTTTGTATATCTAGAATTTTTACAAAGATACATAAAAAGACAAATAAGCAGAGACTGGTTATTCACAAGACAATCCTGCATTGGTGAGGATTGATAAACCTTCATTCTTGAAAAAATATTTAAATTTCCAAATTCCAGCACAATGAGAATCATCCAGAAATGTGTGTTACCAACTGAGATTTACTCTTCTAGTATAAGGATAGTTTGCTCAATGGAGTTTAGCAGGTTGATATATAGAATATATCACATTGTAAGACAGACAAGTGAATGGTACAATGGTTAATAAATCTTGTAATAATACTGCCAAAATAGCTCTGGGAATAAGAATTAGCATTTTGGCCTATCAGTCCTGGGTCCAAATCTTTTGCATTATTGTTTCATGGAGAGTAGATATTATGGATCAAGGCACTATCTATATAAACAAATATAGGATGATAACTCCTTATCTGTGATTAACTATAGGAAAATTGTAACTTGAAACAATCAGAAACTTCTTTCATGCAGAAGATTTTTTTCCCCTTGATTTCAATCCCTGGCCTATTGTTTTTTAGTTTATTAGGTTGATATTTGAAAAATGCTCTGATCTTATGAATCAGAGAGATATTGTTGTATTATAAGGTTTAGTTATAAACAGTGGTCTGTTGTTTATCCAATAATTCTCAGGAGAAACCTCAGGACCAAATGAGAAAGCTGCTTTTAGCTGATTGGCCATAACTTATAGTTCCCTGCATCCCACAAAAATAATTGTCTATAATTATTGCCATTAACTCAGGTGAGAAACCTAGAATTCATCATTTCTGTCTCCATGTGGTTTTTGCAGCCTTGTATACGTTATCTTACAATTTTTCCTTGGGTTTTGGTCCTTTATAATTACCAGGTATTACACAACATTTGGATTTCTTTTTCTGCAATCCCTTACATATTTTATATGTTCAAGTGAATTTAAAAATAAAATTCATGATTTAATATACGTTAAACTTTGTGAAATTATTCCAGTTAAATTGAGTTTTATATTCATTATTTATAAAATATGAGAAGAAAAATACAAAAAAATGGCTACTTTTTTTGCCATTTTGAGCTGTCCAAAATATTTGAATGTACTCATGTATAGGACAGCATATAAATTAGGGGTGTACAACTTCCATAAAGAACTTCTGAAAGCCTTGATCAAGTTAAAAGTCAGCCCTAAATTGTTCATTGAAAAAAAAAGTAAAATTAAAGATATATTACTTTATTTGAACAGCAAAATATATTTTACTCTTGATGAAATTCCACGAATGAAGACACAGCTCTGGTTAGAAAGGTAATCTTAAAGCTAGGGTTTGTGTAACAACACTACCATCAAAAACCCACTTTAGATGTCAAAGCAGAAACCAAAGAGCACAAAAAAGAAATAGTGCTATTCTCTGTAGACCTACCCAGAACCTTGAAATATAAATACTGAAAGATGAAAACCAGGGAATGAGACAACTTTTTCAGGGAAGAAAAAGGAAGAGGAAGAGAAGTACCAAGAAAAATAAACTGCTGTATTTGAGATTTTGTCTCAAATTTTGAACCTCAGCTGAACGTCTTGATTATAGCAATTGAACAGGTAATTCTTGGCTGTGAAGAAACTTCACCCTGTTTTAGGTTTGGATTTGACTGAAGGTCCAGAGACCTCTTGTTCTCTGATTTTATCTCCCCTACCATGGCTCCACAGTTGATGTGTACTGGTTGCAAAGTGCCTGAATCATGATCAGATGACCACAGGGATGGAGTGACGGATGCAACTTTGAGGACAGGTCATAATTTTTTTCAGCTGTCGTAACTTCTAACCATAACTGAATAAGTAGTCGGTTAGCAAGGACTATCTGTGGTGGTGCAGTGGTTAGAATGTAGTGTTGCAGGCTAATTCTGCTGACTGCCAGGAGAAGTTTGATTCTCACCGGCTCGAGGTTGACTCAGCCTTCCATTCTTCCGAGGTTGATAAAATGAGGACCCAGATAGTTGGGGGCAATAGGCTGACTCTATAAACAGCTTAGAGAGGGCTGTAAAGCACTGTGAAGAGATATATAAGTCTAAGTGCTATTGCTATCTGTATTCCTGCCTACTATGTTTTCCCTGTAGCAACAACCTTGTGAGATGGGTTGGCTGAGAGAGAGCAATGCCTAAAGGAGGTCTAGAACTCAGAATCTCCTAGTTTCTAGTATAGCACTTTAATGATGGTCACAAATGACGATCATGTGATACCAGGTTTTCTCTCTCTCTCTCTCTCTCTCTCTCTCTCTCTCTCTCTCTCCCTCTGTATACATTGAAGAATGCTGTTGGAAAAGAGAGGAACTTACTTAGTTCCTCTCTGCTACATTAGACTTGAACCACATCCCACTTTAGTTCTATTGAAACCAATGAGACAAGGTAGTGATGACCATCTTCAGCGTGTTGAATTCAATGGGTCAAACACATGACTAACATAAGTTAAAACCAATTTTATAGTTGTATAGTGGTTTATTATTGTGCACTTCGTAAAAACATAAAAATTGTCTTGAATTGAGCTTTACTCCTGGTAACTACACAGATCTATTCATGCAGGGGGTTTTGGCACTACTTTGAAGTGGTATGCCACTGTTTTATTACAGGTTTCTGTGGTCCTATTAATTTGAAAACAGAAATTTTAGTCTCAGTGCAGACTGGCATCAATAGGTGTTTGCATGAGTTGCCCTACTTTCATATTGCTCATCAATTTAGTCAACTTGAATCTGAAGAGCTCTACCTAGCACCAATCTGTGCTAAAAATAACTGGATCTTCAAATGAAAATAGATTCAGTTTGCTTGTCCAGGAGAAACATTTACTAAAAGAGGATGGAGATTCTCATATAGATTATAACTGTCACAAAGTATAGAAATATATGTAGCATGGTTTGCAAGGGAAGATTCCAATTTCTTGTATTTCATTTGTAATAACATTAAATAAAATGAAAATAATTTCTATGTACTGCAGCTACCATAAATTAAACTTCAGGCTGTCAATTCTTTAAAGACATCTGTATATTTGTTAATCCAGCATCACTTCAGTAAAGCAACTACATCATTTTAAAAAAATCTCTGAACTTTGTAGTCACTAACTAGATACTGATAGTCCCAATTTATTACTACAATGGAGTTGAATTATACTTATGTAATTTCTAAGGTAGCTTTTCCAACTATACCCCTTTCATTTTTTTTTACAATAGCAGTTCTAAGAACTCTCAGCCACCTTCAATGCCAAGATATCCAGATAAATCCAAGAGTCCTAATCAGTAGCTGAAAAAATACTAAATTAGATGAAATGAGATATACTGACTGATCATGAGGCATCATATTCTGTTCCCAATAGGATATTTATATCGTACCTTTGGAAGGAATTGCAGTTTGCATCATAAATTAAAAATCACCAAAATTGAGAAGAGATGCAATATATAACAGCTTCTTTATATAGAGAGTAGTGTATCACATTATAGTAAAACCTATTTTTAGAATTACCATTTAGAAAATATGCCTTAGATGCACAAATACAGTGCATTTTACTTAACTGACATCTCAATCTATGGAGTCTGTATTAAAAAAAACTTTATAAATTCAATATATTAACTGCATGAATTCAGAAAATTACGTAGTTTATTTTGCAATTAGCTTTAATATCAGCATCTAATTTTCAGTAAGTTGACTGAATTAATATGAGATCTTGTGCAAATACGCTGAATTTTGTAGTGTTTGCTTAGGAGTTCACATAATCACTAGTTAATTACTAGAGTTCTCACATGCCAATTAAGAGTTCTAGATTAAGCTATCCATTCTATTTATAAAAAACCGAAGAAAGATTTTAAGAGTAGTCTTTCCATTTCCTCAAATGGCAAATTTGTTCTGAATATATAAATGTGCAAACTATACTAGTTACCCATCTTTTAAAATATTGCATTAAATTACATTGCAAATGCCAACTCAACAATAAAATCAATTCAGTAATTTCTTTTCTGGTTTGTTATGAAAGCCATAATCAAAACCAACATCACAATGCATGATTTATTTAAAATTAGTTTGTTTTCTCTTAATACCTCTAGTCCTTTCAGCAATCAAAAAAAAATCTGATTTGTGCAAATCTTTCAGAAAACTGCAGAAGGAAAGTGGGCTCCTCTTTTTCCTTTAATTTTTAAAAGTGAAGTCTTCTTTATTTGCCACTTGTTGAAAGCAACCATTATCTTCTATAAATGGCACAGGACAAACAGGCACGACTAAGTGGGATATACGGCTCCAGAGCCCACTTAGCTTATCAGTATCCATAAGGTCATAAGAACTGGGTGAATCAGAGTTTGTGAATTTGGCCCAGAGGAAGTCCCGCACATTTTCCTCCACAATCTGTAGACCAATGGTAGGATCCAACTTCTCATTCTCCAGCAAAACTGTCAAAATCAGTGCCACATCTTTGAAAGCAGCACTCTCATGGTCACAGTATTTGTAAAAGATTAAGGTGGAACTTGCAGGCAGGGATTCAAACTGATGTACTACTGCTGCCTTTCCTCCTCCATGGAAACCAACGCTCAGCTCCTCATCAACTGCTAGCTTTGCAAGATCATTGCTTAGAGTGGATTTAGAAATTCCATCTACATGAACTGTGCTGCCTCCCAGGGATGATGAATAGGCACTGGCAATCTGGGTGCTCAAACACTTCAGAGTTGATTTAGCTTCCTGGGCAGCAGTAAAGATTAAGATAGCTGGTTCAGTGTGATAGGATGTATTAAGGTGTTTCTGCAATATTTTCCGTACTCGTCCCCAAAGATGAGGACTCTGACCTGGGAAGATGTCTTTCAGTGGATTGAACTTTGATAGGAAGACCTCCACCACTGGATTTTTCTGCATACTTGGAGGGTGTAAAGTGTAGTAATAACGGCAATTTATGAAAATTGCAATCAATGCCACCATTATTGCCAGAAAAACTCCATAGTGGAGAAAGCCTAATAATTAAGGGCAGGGAATGGAGAGTGAAGAAAGAGAAAATCATTCAGAAAACAACATCACACAAGGAAAAAAGTCACATGCCAAAGACTTAAATAATTTATTATTAATGGAAATATCTCATATCTCAAAGACAAAGGGTCAATCTTGAGACAGTAGTAGTAACTAATTCCCATCCCCAGGCATGCTGCAGTCTCACTATCTTCTAAAGGCAAGGAGCAGTTAAGCCTAACATGTTGGGCAGTTAAGCCCAACATGAAAAAACAGCAGAGTAAATGAAGTATTGCTTTGTTTTACAAAATTACACATGCACAGACAAAATGCATGATTAAAATATCATGTTTAAGTGATGATTTAATGATCCCTTGTTACAGCAAGATATTGCTTTTTTCATTTTACTGGATTTAGCTATAACATCCTTTTTTTACCCAGTAAAATAAGTCTACAAATAAAATAATAAAATAAAATAAAATAAAGAGTGAGGATTACTACAAATATTATCGGGACTTGAATTTCATTATTGTATGGCTTATTTGATCAGCTTTGTAAAAAAATCAAGAATATTCTTACCATTATCTTGATGAGACTGAAAATTATTTATTACTAGCTTTTTCACTGAGTTCTGTTGATTTACTTCTGGTGAAAAGCATTCAATTGTCTTCCGAGAATAGACTTCAGGCACTAGTTTGGATGTCGTATGTTGTACATCTTTTAAGAAAAAAAAGCATAGCAGTATTATGAGAAACAACCTGTCCAGTTATAAATCTAGTTATACAATTTTACTAATCAGTACAGCAAGCTTTTTCAACCATTGGTCCCAGATCTCCTCACTAGCATGTCATTGGATATGAGTTATGAATATTACAGTCTAATAACTGAGGAGTCAAAGTCCAGAAACCTGCCCTAATCCAGAGTTCCGCAACCTTTCGGACGGGTGGAGGAGGAGGGGGGATGGTTCTGTGCGAGTGGTCAGCAAGCTGATACATGCAACTCCATTTGCGCGAGCAGTGGGCACGCACACATGCCACTCGCACAAATGGGCTTACGCACGCTTGCCAGCTGCTTCTGTGGCCTGGTTTTGAACAGCTCATTGCCCAGTAGTGTGCCATGGCGCAGAGGTTGGGAATCCCTGTCCTAATCTGTAAGTAATCAGTGAAAGTTCAGCAATAGTTCAACCTTCTCATGTCTTGTGGCCATTCTATGTTCCTAGTTGAAACATCATACCAAACCATTCTATAATTTCTTTGGATTTGCTCCTAATTTGTTGTGTGAATCCAGTCACAGCTTAGCAAATTTTCTCAGTGTCCCAGTCTTACTATTTTCTATAGATATGCAGCAGTTAAGAAGCCCAACATACACAATTCCATTGAAACAGCAGATGTAAATGAAATCTTATGTTTTACAATATTTCAATTTAGACATTTCCTGGAGTACAGTCTCCATTAAAATACCATTTTAAAATCAAGATTTCATGGTCCCTAGTTATAGCAAGATTTTTTTTTTTTCATTTTACTTGATTTAGGTGGAACACCCTTAGTTTTACACAATAAATAAAGAGTTATGATTACTACAAATGATATTATCAAGACTTGAATTTCATAAATTACTGCATGGCTTATTTGATCAGCTTTGTTTTGATTTTATAGTAAGTGTACAAAACTAAATAGGACACTCAAGTCTATAGGGCAGTGATATCTCTTTCCTTAAAACATCTACTACCATAAAAAGAGGGATTTTTAGCAACCTTTACTCTTTATAGTTTATAAATCTTACCAAAGTTCTCATCTGAAGAAACACTGCAACAAAAGTTTACTTATTAGCGCTAACTGCAACTAGAAAAAGTGTAATTCGAATTATGTTTATGAAACTTGGACCAATGTCAAATATTTTATTCCACTTGTCTAATTTGACATGGGAGTTTGTCAACCCCATTTGTCTTATATGTTCGCAGTTAAAATATATTTGATACATTTAATATAGAATATATTGTTGTATTTTCTCATTAATTGTTTTACCTGCAACCGGGTATGTCTTCTCTATGTGTTCATTTTGAACTGTTTCGCTTTCCTTGTCCAAATCATCTTCTTTTGTTTCTTCAGTATGTTTCGGAGAGTGCTGACTTTGCTGGCCCTGTGAATTGATTTTATCTTTTGGAACAGTCTCTGTTAAAGGTTTTTCCTCTTTCTGAGAATCTAGGAGGTCAGTATGGGTGGAACACTCTGTCTTTTCATGTAGAGAATTCAACAAATTTGTATCTACACAACTATCAGGTAAACCAGCAGAATCAGATTGAAGCCTTACAATGCACTCTGTAGCATCCCCATCCTCTGTAGTGTCACTATCCTCTGTTCCAAATGGGAGTTCATCAGAATTTGACAGTTTTTCTCCCAAAGAATCCTCTTTTGTTTCTTCAGCCTCATCCTGTTGAAGACTGGCTGAGATATTTTCTACATTTGAGGGCTGAAGAGTCATCTGCCTTTCTGACATAGACTTTTCTTTTTCTTCTTCAGGGAAGTCTGTATGGGGTAACATAGAAAATATGGTTTCAGTAACTTTTAAGTTGTTATGTGATCAAAACTATTTGCTTTCTAGCATAAAGGAAGCAAAGTACTGTATTTCCAGTGAATTATTATAAATGCTTATTTTTCACCAGTTTCTAGTTTTCTTTAAGTCAGGGGTGGGCAACTGTGGCCTTTTACAAGCTGTGGACTTCAACTCCCAGAATTCCTGATACAGCCAAGCTGGCTCAGGAATTCTGGGAATTGAATTCCACAGGTTGTAAAAGGGCCACAGTTGCCCACCCCTGCTTTAAGTGTTTTAATAATTTTTATTTTCACAATGGCCTTGTTATTCTTCAGAGGCCACAGTCGAAGCTTTTGTCTGAAACACAGCTTACAAATATTTTATCAGTCAAAAAAAAAATCACTGTTTTTGCCAACCAATGCTCTCTCTATATTTATATCCTACCTTTCTGTCAAGATTTCAAAGCTGTAAAACTCTTTTAAACTTCTGAGTAAAAACCAATTGTTTTAGGATTTTAAAGATAGAGTTGATTTCACTTATGTCTGTCCAGTAACTTCAAACTAGACATTCTACTGACTCCAGCTGAATAAATGATCTAAGCACGATTCCTCCAGCTTGCAGCTATCAATTTGCCTCACATTTAGACAGGAAAAAAACCACTTCATAGTGGAAAGGTCTAGATTATAAAACAGATACCTACCACCCACTCTTTGTTAAAGTATCTTTACATGATGCCTAAATATTTTGTATTGCAAGTGACTCAGATCATGTCTCACCTCATTAAAAAAAGGTAGCTCTGGATGGATGAATTAGATCAGCTGTGTCCAACTCATATCCGGTATGTGCCCCTGGATAGCTAGTAATGCTCCTCACAAAACAACAAAAAACAACAAAAAAGATTTGTTAGCTATTTCGGTGTATAAGATGCAGCTTTTTCCCTATAAGACGCACCCCCTAAAAGGGGGTGTATAAGACGCAACCCGTAAAAGGGGGTGAAAATTTAGGTGCGTCTTACAAACGGAATGTATCCCCGCCCACCCACTGGCCCCCATCCTTTGGCCTCTGCCTCCCAACAATTACCTTCTTGCAAGCAAACAGCAAGCAAAAACAGCTCCTTTCAGCTTCAGCACAGCCTAATTAGCACAAGTTGATTGGAGGGCCTCTCGACTCTCAGCTGATTTGCTCTCAGCTGTTTTGCAAAGGGCTCTACTGCTTGCTTGCAAGGAAGAAAATTGCTGGAGCAGATTTTTTTCCCTTTTGCTAATCAAACTATGCTGAAAACGAAAATGAAAGTAAAGCAGGCTGTTTGCTGTAACTAGGCAACATTGCTCAGAGGCAGAGGGAGATTTCTTTTTCTTCTTTTCCTCACCAAAAAAGGTAGGCGCCTCTTATACTCCGAAAAATATGGTATATATATTAACTATATTATATAGTTTATGGGCAGCCCAAGTCAATTCCTCTTCAGTCATTGCAGCCCAGGTAAACCAAAGGTTGGAAAACAATGAACTAGATTATGACCATAATATAGAGAATAACAAAGTTAATGGGAGATCCTGACCAGGCAGTTCCTCCTCAATTCTTTGCCCCAGGATGCAGGAAGCCTTCATTATGTCCCTAAATTATTCCCCGATTAGGCAGAAGCCACACTTATTTGAAGTTGGGGTGTGGTTTGTTTCTAGACACGGCTGCTTCCATGCATCACGGAAGACAGGAGAATTAAAATAGCGAAAGAAAGAGCAACATAGTTGGAGACAGTATTTTAGATTTCTCCAATTAATTAATCCAAAAGTTATGAATAACATTCATAACTGTCCAAGCCGGTGAGAAGTACTTGAATGGAAAAGAGAATGGTCTTCTCTTAGTTTTGGGAAATTAACCTGAAACAGGAAAAAAAATATCTAAAGAGTCTTTCACGTGTTATCGCCCAGGAAGCCTCCAGGAAATCGCCTCCAATTCTCACCTTGGACTCGCCCTGGCCACGTTAGCGTATCACCCTTCGGCGGGCGCTAAGTCCAAAACGCCTCTCTTACTGTCCCCTTCCTCCAATCCGGGAACTCCCATTTCTATCAAGAGACTGAATGGATCCCCTTCGCTGATCTGCAGAGGGTTCCAGAGATGCTACTTTTTCAGCTTTTAACTACCTCGAGCTTAGTGCTTACTAGTAGCCTAAGACTGGAACAGAAAGGCATCACGGCAAAGGCTATCCTTATGCAGGAGAACTGCAACGGATCTCTGCCTGAACAGAGTTGTGGGAATTTGGAACCGCGTCCTTCTCCTCCTCCTCCCCTCTCACCCCCCCCTCCAAAAAAAACCCGAAAACCGAGACTTACCTTTCCTCATGAAGTTAGTCATGCACGTTGCTCCGTCCTTCGTCGTGTGAAAGGAGACAAGGATTATATTCAGATCCTATCTTCCTAAAACTAAACTGAAACTTAGACAACTTCCTTGAAGCCGAACATACAACTATCCCACAATCCTTAATTCTTACTAATGTCCGACTGATTTGTTCCGCAGTACAAGGCCTTGCAGAGGGATGCTGGGAGGTGTAGTTTTCCCCCCCTATTCTTCCATGACTATGAGAGAAAGCAATCCACGGGAGCCGCCTTTTCAATAGCTGATTCGATGACGTTTCTTTGTAAGGTTGTCGCCTCGGCCAATGTCCATTCCACTTTGGAATGTTCTGTTTTATGGAGGATTTTTCCCTCACTCAGCAGCGCCTCTGTTATGCCTTATCTCTTAAGCAAGGAGGGGATAGCTATAGAGTGCTGATAGCTTTCTTTGGAAGGACAAAATATTGACTTAAAAATGATAAGAAGTAAATTAGGGTGTCTGTTTTTTTAATAGTTATGTACATATGGATGAAAACAATCTAAATGTTGCTGGTTTTGGATGAATTAGAACTGTAGGGTTTTGAAAGCAAATACATTGCTGATTCTTTGTCCCAAGTTGATTCCTGTTCATAAAGGAGGTGTGTTTGCAAGAGACAATGAAATAAACTTTGGATATAGAATTCTGAATTATGGGTCTTTGCACTCAGCTATGATGGATCATAGCTCACATGAGTGTGTCAAAATAAGAATATGCAAATATGTAAAGACAGCTGGGTCTCACAAAGACCAATACTCTTGTCTGACTTCCTTTGGAAGTCAAATACCAAATAAAATGGAGGATTGGGGATGAATGGCAGAGATAGTAGCAGATGAGAATTACTGAAAGGAGAAATTATCATGCTTGTCTTAATTTCAATCTTTCTGCAGAGTTTTGGTAAATAGGGATAGATGAAAGGCCATCATTTTCCAAGCTTTGTTTCTTTCTCAACCATTTCTTCAAAACTGCAAGAAATTGTCCCAATAGAAGAGGATTGCACTATGGAGTTTTCATTCCTTTCTAAATTTGTTTACAAGAACTGTTTCAGGATGTATGATATGCAGTTGTTGGCCTGAACTGAACTCTGTTCTTACTGGCGTAAATAGCCAATAAGTGATGCTGGAACAAGGAAGGAAACTTTCAGCTATTACTTTCATTCTTGGGACAGAGATCCAAATTAAGTGCTGTAAGTAAAAGACAGCTCAGATCATTATACAAAACATTTCTTTGTTGTTTATAAACATCAATCTGTTTGATGTTTTTTCCTCCCCAAAAAGGTTGATGACTACCTTTATCCCTTTTGGTACAAATTTACATTTATTGTATTTAATACAAGATAGCAGAACCTTCCGAATCCTATCATTGTCAGGAGTTTCCTGCTGCATGTTTCTGGTTTGTCAGTTTTGCAAGGAAGCCAGCAAAGAGGGGGAGCTTAGATAATCCAATAGATAATTTAATCAATTCTAACTTTTGTTGGTTTGTTTTACATAATTTGATCAATTCATGGCTTGGTGTTGAAAACATTATTTGAGGCCTTTTCTTATGAATGGGATTCTTTCCTATAGAAGTTATTGCCTTTGTGGTTGCTCCCTTAAAAAGAGGGGACATTCTCTATTTAAAGGATTCCATTATTTTATATTCATCATGATTTTATATTCTTAAACTATCATCAAGTTATCACCTTTGAGGTATAGAAAAAGATAACCATCTTGTGCACTTAAGCAACATACGAAAGATCTGGAAATCCAACAAGTTTGGACTGTTCTTCCCAAGAATCTTTATTTGAGCAGTCAAACTCCTCCTTTTAAAGCAGTAGGATATTTATATCGAATAACCATCCCAAAAATCCAATGGGCATTAACCTTACCACGCTACAACAGGACTTCCCATAGCACTTTTGGAGGGCTATTACAAAAAAAAAAAACCTATGAGCTGAGACAAGGGGACAAGGGGCCATTGAAACAATAGCTCACATTCTGCTATAGTACTGTATCTTCTATAAGGATTCATGGACTCAATTTATAACACCTTACCTAATAAAATATCTGGGGAATACTGATCTCTTTTATGTGCAACTGCTGTTATCATATCAATATGAAGTAGTTTTTCTGAATGTGACTAGTTTTTATTATGCTGAATTCAGACTCTAACTGCCCACTGATAACCCACCACCAATCGCAATATATTAATCTGACATTTATTTTTTTACTATTTTTAATGCTTTTATTTGTAATGTCGGTTTGTGACAGTAATAAAAATTGACTTTCAATTAGATATTTCTAGGCAGCCTTTTGAGGGGGTAATTTTTTTTGAATAATATAGGTTTTTTGGGATAAAATAAAAAAGTTTACATATAAGAATTTATTTAGGAACAATTAAGGCTATGTCCAGGCTAAATAAACTCTGACTATGGTGAATTGTATTTGAGAAACTTAAGATACAATAATGATAGCAAAGCATGAAAAGAATATATTAAGTACAGAAAAGTATTAATTCTGCACTCCTACATATATTCACTTACTAAGTCCTATTGATCTCAAAAGGTGTTGAGTAGACATTTATAGGATCTCACAATAAGAACAGTCTTGTGCATACTTATTTGAAATCACAGTTGTGCATAGAAATCTATAGAAAAATGTGCACTGGTAGAATTTTAAAAGGCAAGAAATAACTACCATAACATGCTAAATATTTAGCTTGGTCTCAGTTTTTCTAATGTTGAATCTCATAGTAATCAAAACAGATACTATTGAATAAAGCTATCATTTCAATGTGTAAAGCAGGATCTGAGATGGATATCTTACCAAATATTATTTTAGAAAAATGGTTGCATTGTCCAGCACACATCTGTGAACTTCAAAAAATACTGAGACCCTAAGCATGCTAGGATTGCTGCATAATAAACCTATTGAAGTTTGTAACAGTTTAAGAAAAGTCTAGTTAAGTTGATATTAACTCCTGGAGACTACCTAGACACATTGATGCAGGTCTTTTTGGCCCCCAGATGCCCAAGTTGTTTGTCATTGTCTTTTTCTGGGGTTCTTGTTCAATTCCCTGCTTGTCTCCCTTTAATAAACGTGGTGAATATAAGCCTTGACAAAATTAGCCAGTTGCTAGTGCAGACCATAGAATCTCAGTATGTTTATATAGTAGCATGAATAGACAACAATGTGTAGTTCTTTATTCCTTGAGTTTGAATTGCAGCAGCCTTCTTTGGAAATTGCAGTTTCCAAAATATTGTTTTCCAAATATGTTTTCCTTATTAACAGATGGTATACAAAGATGCAGAATGAAAGGATTTATTTATTTATTTGGTTTGGCTGAATCAATTGGGAGGTTACTTTAAAATTTGTCTCCTCCCGGTGACCTATTTACTTTTTTAAGCAGATGCTGGGCTGAGCCAGTACTCTTTACTTGCTGATTGTGGACTAGGTACTGTGTGGGATACTTATCTGGGCTTAGTTTTCGGGGCAACCTTTTTCTCGAGACAACTCATAAAGAGGACAGGGGGGGGGGAGAATAAAATGTAGCTGGTCTTACTCTTTTTTGTTGCTGTCCTTATCTGTTTGTTGTTCTCCTCGGAAAAGAAAAAAGCAGATGACCGGACCAGGAGCGGCTGTCCGTCAAAAATACAGGACCTTGAAGAGGATCAAGTTAACTTTTACCAAGGGAAAGGATTAAATTGACCACTTTGCTCCTGCTAAGAAGATACAGGGGAAGAGGACGACAAATAAGGGGGGGAGAAAAAACGTGGAAGAGTTGAGAAGGACAACTAAGGAACAAGTGCGAAGGATTAAACCACTATAATATTGGCTTTCATTTCTCTTTTCAGCCTGCAGCGTAGAATGAAAGTTGGTTGGTGGAAATCGATTAAAAAGAAAGAAAGAAGACGGCGACGCTGAAGGTCAGTCCCCGGGGTGGGCGCGCACATCGGCGATAGAAAAACCACCCAGAAACGATTGGCGAGGTTAGAACGGACCGGAGAGACAACTATGCCCGGTGGAAAGTCAGAAGCCTCCTCTGACTCCCCCCGCCAGAGCGAGGCGGGCGGGGACGAGGAGAGGACGTTCCTGTACCACGTGACGCCCAGGCAGCCTCTGAGGAGAACCGCCTCGCAAAATGGCGGCAGCGGCAGCTTTCGAACGTGCGCCTCCATCTCTCAGGGCAGCGGCGGAAGCCATCGCGGTGGTCGTCGGCGGGAAGTGAGGTTTTCTGAGGAAGTAGTCGAGCACTCGACCGCGGGGACCACGCCGAGGCCGCACGGCTTTGCGATGTCGGGAAGACGGCTTACCAGAAAGGCTGCGAAAGATGAAAAAGAGGCGGCGGCGGCGGCTGCAGAAGAAGAGGAAGAAGAACGTAGCGTGGGGTTCCAACCGGAATGGCTGGCCGAGAAGGAAGCAAGGACCGAGCAGCAGCAGCAGCTCCCCAGAGAGGAGCTACTAACTGGATCTTCCAAAGGTAAGAAATCAGCGCTGGCTTTTCCACGCCTAGCTCGCTCATTGATGCCAGCCCGAGGCCGATCTCCTTCGAGTCAGTCTAGACAGCTGGTGACTCCGACCTTGGCTTTATTTGGGTATTGTTACCCAAAGTGCCATTTTACTACTGTTACTAAATGTCTTTCTTTTAGGAAAATTTCCGATTTCTCAAATCTACAGGTAGTCCTCGACTTACGACCACAATGGAGGGGGTGTTTCTGTGGCTAAGAGAGACAGTTGTTAAGTGAATCGCTGCGGTTGTTAAGTTAGTGGCACAGTTGTTAAGTGAATCTGGCTAGTCAGAACATTTCAAAAGGAGATCCCACATGACCCTGCAACACCGCAACCATCATAAATGTGAGTCAGTAGCCAAGCATCTGAATTGTGATCGCGTGACTACAAGAATGCTGCAAAGGTTGTCAGTGTGAAAAATGGTCATCCCTTTTTTCTATGCCGTTGTAACTTTGAACGGTCAATAAATGAAGTGTTGTAAGTTGACTACCTGTACTTTTTGGTTGACCTCCTATCCTAGTAATGCAGGCCAAACAGCCTTAGAAAGGCATCCCTGACCAGATGCTGTCATCTGAAAACTGATGCTCAATTTCCAACGTATAAGAAGCTTGCATTTTAAAAGTGTGACAGTGAGTTAAAGAGAACTGTAGGGCGGTTTACTTAAGTCTGTCCTTCTCCCTTTATGGGAATTGAAAGTGCAAGCTAAATCTTCTGATTTGGTTTATTGCAGAACTGATATATAATAGTTCTGCTTTTTAGAAATTTGATCTAAGAAGCTTGCGGGAACAATACTTACTGTGATTTGGCAATGCCTGATTGAATCTATTTGTCATAACTTTCCAAAAATAAAATTACCAATATGCTGCTGGTGATTTATGAATTGATAATTATATTCTATAGGAATATATAATAAAAGATACAGTTAATTGATAATATATCTTTGTTTTTGATTCTTTTAAAAACTATTGGTAATCCCAGTATATTGTTTTCCAGTGCAATTGTTTCACATATTGCTAGCAATAGCAGTTCAGTTAAATTCTTAGGCTGTAAAATTGTATTGGTTTGAAAAAAATGTAAAATTAGCATTCTACTCACCTATATGAACTGTCCTATAGAATTCATATCTCCCATACAATAGTATGCATTGTTTAATTGTTCAAGTAGGAGAGACTTGGTTTTTAGTGGAATTATTTTAGTTGAGAAAAAGCAGGTGACTAAGGAACATCTTTCTATTGTTTTTTTTAACACATCCTGATTTTTCAAAATGAAAAAATATCCCTGAGATGATATGGTGCAGGTTGCATTTTGCTAAATTGGTGAGATTTGGTGCAATGCAATTTGCTAAAAAGCCTTGAGAAACAGTTTAACTTGCCTTTGGGTTATCTTTTCAATTTTCACCAGTTTTTGTCAGTGCAAAAGGGAATGAACTATTATATTGAACCAGAATTAAATAACTAATAAGAAAAGGACGTGTGAGAGAAGTTATCGTGAGGAAACCATTATTTTGTTTTGAAAGGTTTTTAAAGAAACATTTCTGAAGTATAGAAACTCTTTTATTGTGAATTATGAACTAATTTTTCCAAGGGTCCCACAAACATTTTAAGAGCCTGTTCAAAGATGGCTTTTGCAAGAGCCTTAATTGCATATAAAATGGCTACTTTGGACATACTAGCACTCATTCAGACTGCAAAATACTAAGAATTTGGAGCCCTTTACTTCATATCACATTTATACGCAGGTTCTCTTTTAAACATTTCTGAAATATAAAAAGTGAGGAATTGGTAGCAAGAACCATAAGAGGTGTCCAGAGATACTTTAGCGCCTATGCATACAGCATTTCATAGGACTAGGAGTGGTATAACCGTCATCTCTAGAAGAGATGGGTGGCACACAAATCAAATAAATAATATCTGAATGTTTGCTTGTTTATGCTTTATTTATAAAGGACTTTTCCCTCTCTATTTAGAAGAATGTTCCTCAAGCGAAGCCAGAAACAGAGCGTCCAACAAAAATTTTAATGGCAAAATGCAAACACAGAAAGGTAATCTTGGATTTTCTTCATGATAATGAACATTTTATTAATGATATCTGACTTAACAAATGTTTCACTTAGGAACAGAAATTTTGGGCTCAAATGTGCCCAATTTTGTAGCTCAAGAATGATCTGTACAAAGATCAGTTTCCATTTCATTTTCTAATATTGAACATACTGAGTTGTGAGGACAAAGATGGATTATGAGTAAAATCTTGAAAAATGTTATTTATCTTACACATATTGCATATTCTTTAAAATACATAATTTAGATCTTTTTTTTACTGTTATTGATGGGAAGAGATAAAAATTTAATGCTAATAGAAGATATTGGATGTTTTTTTCTGATGGTATCTTCAGTCTGACTTGTTCTTACATTTTTAAAGATTTTTTAAAAAAAATATAAGTGATTCAGGATTGTAAACATTCATAATAGTTCTTCCTCTTAGACAAGCAGACTTAATATACAGGTAATCTTTGACCTACAGCCATTCATTCTGTCTAGCCACCCTGCCATAAAGCCCAGATTGGGGGAAAGCTGCAGTGATAGTTGTCCTTCTGGAACTCAGTCCCATCTACACACAGATCTCTTGAGTTCAGTCAGAGTAAACACAAGGTTCTTGGTCACCTCTTTTACCGAGGCCCTTCTCCCCCAATTGCTCAGTTTGACCAGGCAATCAGCTCTTGGAAGAGTCCTGGTTATGCCAAACTTCTTCCATTTAAGAGTTATGGAGGCCACCACTCAAAGTTATGATGCTGAATGAAGGGACCTATGACCTATGCCTGAAGATACAGGTGTTACAGGTACCCCCACAGTCACGTGATAAAAATTCAGGCCTTTGACAGCCTGCCTTCATTTACAAGCAAAGGGGTGCTGCAAATCTTCCTGTCCGTATATTCCTCCCCATATCTTAGCTGTCCACTGGACCCACCAACCCAAGCAAAGATGGCCAGATCCAGGAAGCTTCATTGCCATCCAGTCTGCCAGTTTAAGTGAGGCAAACTTATCAGTGCAAATAAACTGCCCCGCTGTTTTTCTGCAGCTGCTGATAGATGTGCCCAATCTATGCAAGGCAGAAGGAGGTTTCTAAAGCACCACGAGAATAGAGCCCACTATCATGGTGCTTCAGAAGCTTTCTTTTTTCCAAATTGGCCAATTTGGAGAAGGCAGCTTTTGAAACACCACAGGAGCAGGCCCATTCTTGTAATCTTTTGAAAGCCTACTCCTCCAACTGGCCCAATTTGGAGGAGGCTTTTGAAGGATTTCTAAGCATGGAGCCTGCTTGAAGGATGGTGCTAGGTGGCCTTGGTATATAGTAAAGACAACACCTCGCACAAACTGGATCTTCCTGTCAGCAGCTGGAAAAAAACGGCAAAGGTAAGTGGGTCACTGTGCTTGCGGGCCAGGTGGGCGGGGAGGCAACACCTTTCCAACTGTTGTGTCCTGCATCAGGCTGTCTAGGGCCTTCCCCATCTCCCTGAGGCATCCCGTATTCCTTAACTGGGACTGTTTAACAATCATAACCAGGAGTGTAGATTGAGTAAACAGTCACGTGACAAATTGCTTTACACCACTTTGCTCAACAACGAAGATTCCAGTCCAAATTGTAGATCATAAGTAGAGGATGTCTGTATCAATCTTTTTGCTTTGGTATCAACATGGGGACAAGTACGCATTATATACAATTTCTGACCATTTTTTTCAAGAGATCAGTTTTGTAGTGTTTGGTACCAAGATCATAGTGTTTATGCATATGTATCTTCAGAAAGAGGGATACATACATGTACATGTAAATAAGTTCGCAGGCAAATATAGTACACAAAAACATGTACTTTTTTTTTTACATACACATAAATTTGTAGGAAAAAAGCATATTACAAAAAAGCCTAGTGATTTTTTAATATATAAATATGTATATACTATTTATTTCTCATATTGTCAAGTGGGAACTAGAACTATAAGTTGTTTTGTCAGATAGCTCTAGCTGTAACAATTTTTTATTTCATTTATTCCTCCTTTCTTTGGCAGAAAATACAGATAACATCAAAATGTTGAGTGTTGGTCTCACTCGACCTCCTATTAGGGCTTCAAGAGAAGGTAAATAAAACCTCTGGCAATTTAACAAAAAATCTGTCATTTAAAGGGTACAATTATTTAGGTTCTCTTCCGATTTGATAAATGTTTCCAAAGGTAATTCTTTTTTGTCATTTAATAACAAAGTCTCAAAAAAGGTACAGAGCTTCAAAAGGGGTGATAGGCTGTGACTAAAAAGAATCTCTTAGGTAATACAAATAATAATGCCATAAATTGATTAAGAAGGGAAAGGCACAACTTATTTTCAAATAACAATTTATTTGAAAAATAAATTCCAAAATATCTGCTTTACCAACAATGAAATAATTGCAGCCCCGTACCTCAACTGAATGCCTCACCAGTTGCTCCAAAGCACAGCTTCTGAAGTTTTTTTCAGACCGCTGCCGTAAGGAGAATTTTGTGAGGACTAGGACTCTCTAACCCAGGAGAATTGTATAAACAAAAGGAATCCTGTTCCTTCTGTTAGTAAGTTGAAAAAACAAGAGTCCAAAGAGAAAACCTTCTCTGGGGCTATCAACCATCGGCCATGTTCACAGGGAATCCCTTATTAGGATTGTCATAAAGATTAGCCGAGACACTCTGCATGAATAAATCCAATTGAATTATTTTCATTTGAATTCAAAAGACTACCCATGTTAATCTGTAAGAAAAACCCAAAAAAAGTATTGTCCTTAAAAATGAAAGTAACTTTCATCACCTAATTATTATATTATTATTGTTATTGTTATTGTTATTATGTTATTATTATTTTATTATTATTATTATTTATTCAATTTATATACCGCCCTTCTCCTATTGGACTCAGGGCGGTGCACAGCCAAGGATAAAAACATACCAATACAAAATTCAAAATCAATTAAAAGAATTATACAGCTTTGGCCCACAATTTAAAACAATCCAATTAAAACCCAATTTACACTTAAAAAGCTAAAAAGAGCTAAAAAAGAGCTAAAAGGGGGGGGGGGGTTCACGCCAGCCTGCTTGATGGAAAAGAAAAGTTTTTAGGGCACATCAAAAGGCCCAGAGATTCGGTATCCTTCGTATCTCCGGGGGCAAATTGTTCCAGAGGGCAGGTGCTGCCACAGAGAAGGCCCTCCCCCTGGGGGTCGCCAGCCAACACTGCCTGGCCGACGGCACCCTGAGGAGTCCCTCTCTGTGGGAGCGTACTGGTCGGTGGGAGGCAATCGGCAGCAAAAAGTGGTCTCACAAATACCCAGGTCCGATGCCATGGAGCGCTTTAAAGGTGGTGACCAACACCTTGAAGCGCACCCGGAAGACCACTGGAAGCCAATGCAGCTCACGCAGGAGAGGCATCACATGGGAGTGCCCTCTTGCTCCCATAATCCCCTGCGCGACCGCATTCTGCACCAGTTGGAGCCTCCAGGTGCTCCTCAAGGGGAGCCCCATGTAGAAAGCATTACAGTAGTCCAGGTGGGAAGTGACGAGCGCCTGAGTGACTATGCATAAGGAGTCCCGATCCAGAAAGGGCCGCAACTGGAGAATCAGGCGGACCTGATGAAAAGCCCCCCTGGCCATGGCCGTCATATGCTCTTCCAAAGACAGCCATGTATCCAGGAGGACGCCCAAGTTGCGAGCCCTCTCCGTGGGGGCCAATGATTCGCCCCCAATAGCCAGCGTTGGCACCAGCTGGCTATATCGGGACGCCGGAAGCCACAGCCACTCGGTCTTGGAAGGGTTGAGTCGAAGCCTGTTATTCCCCATCCAGATCCGCACGGCCTCTAGGCACCGGGACATCACTTCAAGGGCATCGTTGGGATGGTCTGGGGTGGAGATGTACAGCTGCATATCATCAGCGTACTGATGGAACTCCACCCCAAAGCCATGGATGATCTCGCCCAGCGGCTTCACATAAATGTTGAACAGAAGGGGCGAGAGGACCGACCCTTGCGGCACCCCACAAACGAGGCGCCTCGGGGTCGACCTCTACCCCCCTGCCAACACCGACTGCGACCGGTCAGAGAGATAGGAGGAGAACCACCGTAAAATGGTGCCCCCCACTCTCAACCCCTCTAACCGGTGCAGCAAGATACCATGGTCGATGGTATCAAAAGCCGCTGAGAGATCTAACAGGACCAAGATAGAGGAGCAACCCCTATCCCGAGCCCTCCAGAGATCATCCACCAACGCGACCAATGCCGTTTCCGTGCTGTACCCAGGCTGGAAGCCGGACTGGAGCAGATCCAGATAGACATATCTGGATCCAGATAGATATTTATTGGTCTTTATTGCCCAATTCAGCAGATACATAACAATTTCCTAATATAGGTAGGTCTCAGTGAGGTTAATGAGTTCCATGAAATGGTGACATTATTCAAATTCACACTGTTCATAGTAGTATTTTTATGGAAAATATGGTAATTGGTTTCAGCTTGAGAAAAATAATAAAACTTTTCAATCATAATTTTTATATGAATATTAACGAAATGTTACAGTAAAGGATAAAAAAATAATATATCTAAAATTTAAATTTGTGGTTAACAAAATCACAGAATAGTTATAGAAAACAAAGTAAAAAATATCTACTGTAGATTCAGGCATTCCAAGATATCCTATTTTAATCTTTGTATGACCACATTCATGTCATTCAGTTACATTAAATTTTTGCTCTAATGTAATAACGAGCCTCTTCTTTTTAAACTTGTACTGTTTTCCTCTGTATGAAAATTTTCTTTTCTCCATTTTGCACAAATAATGATTAGCTGCATCTAAAACTCACTATGCATGTGCTTTTTTCAATTGCACAAACACTAGACTCCCATTAACTGAATTTGTTGTCACATTAAATGTGACTTGGTATCAATTTACAATTCTCACTAAATTGAATATTGAGGGTTTTTTGAACTTGTACTTACTGTAATTTATTATATAGATAATCCTCCTGCCCTGCCCCGAACTCCTGAGCTCAAGAGATCTTTGAGAGGTAAGTAGAGAGGAGGTTCTAGGGCTTGGTGGGATGGGAAGCAGGCCTAAGGCCTGTGGGAAGCCAGTGGGAGGAGGAGCGTGCCCAAAAATTGTGGGGATCCTGCACAGCGGGGGAAGTGAAGCACAGAAGAGTCTCAGGGTGGGGAAGGCCTGGAGCAGAGGCCCCCATCCCCATAAATAACTTGCAACTGCATTGTTGTTAAGAGAGCAGGGAGTGGAGGTTGTTAAGCAGGTTCCATTATGGTCATCGGTCAAGGACTACCTCTACAGTCCATGTAATACTACAATAATGTGGAAATAATGCATCTCCCAGCATCTGTTTTAATCAGTATGTATTTTATGAGATTGAAATTGGGTGACTTTGCAGTACTTATTGAACTGATTGAACGGATAACAAAGGTTGGTAATTTACCTTTTATGCATATTGGTGGGCTCTAGGAGACAGACAGACAGAGGAATCTGTGATTTTATTTTTGCATGCCTAGATTATGTCAATAGTCTCTTGGCAACTGTTCCGAATTCCTCTCTCTGTTCCCTGATCTTAGTGCTGTTTGGAGCTGCCAGCCAATACTCGTGTCTCATAGCACAGCCTTTTTTTACTAACTCCCTTTTCAAGCCAGAAGCAGCTTAAATTATTAGTACTTGTGTTTAAAGTCATCCAGTCACAAACTTCAAATATCTATTTGTCCTTATTTTTCCTACAATCCTATCTACTCTATAGGTTTCTTTGAGCAGAGCTTTCTTTCTGTTTGTTGTTCCAAGAATACAACCTTCATGTTGTGTTCTTAAAGGAATCAGATCTTTCTTTCTCTTAAAGCTTGAAGAAAGCTTAAAAAGAGTTTAAATACCTGAATATTTGACTAGTAGGATATTGTAGGGCATGGTTAGTCATCCTACTGTCATTAATCTTGGCAATTCCTAGGTTAAGGCTTGCTTTTTTTTAATTATGGATATTTTTCATATCTTAAGAAAGCTGTTTTAAGTATACATGGTTGCTGTGTTTTGTCTTATTTTTTGCTGATTTAATTAACTAGCAAATTAATTTTGGATGGAATTTTGTAATTGGTGAATAAATACTTTTTAATCGATATCTGTTCTTGCATTTAGACATAACTGTAGAGTATGTCAATGTCTAATGAAGAGATGGGACCTCTTGGATTATATCTCTAATATGATCATTTGTTCTCCTATTGAGGTTCTCTTTCAGATTCAGTGCAGAATTGGGAAGAATTAAGGCACAGAAAACAAGGTATTTATTAATGTTGTACTCTGTCATATGTAGAATTATGTTATTTGGTTTAATATTTCATATTTATATTAACTATGTGTTGTTTGTATGATCTGACACTATAAATTTTAGCATTCTAGTTTTAAGGATGGGGATAGGGAATCATATTTTGCATCTGTAGTAGGGCTTTTTAAAATCAAACAAAAGTCTGTGACAACCCCCCCCCCCCCCCCCGAAGTTATTTTAAGTGTGAAGATTTTTCTTGTTCTAAAGGAAATTCCCTTTTTCTTGTTTTGACCTTGCGTGAGAGATTCTTGGTAATTATCTTTGTTTTGTTTTTATTTATTTTCAGGCCTGCTATTATTCCAAATTTCTCTATTTCTAGTAGGAATTTTTCTCCTGTTTCCAAAGAATCCTCTAATATAAATGCCATGTCGTCTGCAAAGGCCTGTGTTTTGTATTCTTCTCTTTTAATTTTTAACCCTTTTATTTCCTTATTCCCCCTTACCTGTGCCAATAATATTTCCAATGAAAGGATGAATAAGAGTGGGGACAATGGACAGCCTTGTCTAACCCCTTTGTTTATATTGACTTTTTCTGTAAGTTCTCCATTGACCATAATTTTTGCTGTTTGCTTAGAATAAATTGTCTTAATCATTTCTATAATTTTTTCACCAAATTTCATCCCAATTAATTGATTAATTAAAAACTGCCAATTCAAGTTGTCGAACGCCTTTTGTGCATCTATCATTATTACTGCCAATTGTTTTTCTGGATGAGCCTCATAGTATTCTAAAATATTCATGATAATCCTTGTATTGTTCTTAATTTGTTGTTTGGGTAAAAAACCATTTTGATCCGAATGAATTATTTTATTTAATATCTTTTTTAGTCTTTCTGCTATTATTGTTGCCAGGATTTTATAGTCGGCATTAAACAGCGAGATTGGCCTATAGTTTTGAATGAATTGATTGTCTGTGCTTTCCTTTGGAATTAATGCTATATATGCCTCCATCCATGAATTTGGCATTTTGGCTTTCTCTAATACCTCGTTATATATATCCAACATAATTTCCTCCAAAACGCCTGAAATTTTTTATATACTTCCACCAGAATTCCATCTGTCCCTGGTGTTTTGTTATTTTTCTGTTTTTTAATTGCCTCTCTTAACTTTGTTAATGTAATTTCCCCATTCAACATTTCCCTATCTTCATCTGTTATACTTGGCAAGTTCCTCTCCTGTAGGTAACTTATGATATTTTCTTCTTTAATGTTTTCTTGACTATACAGTATTTGAAAATAATTTTGAATAATATTTTTTCCCCTCAATTCTATGGTGCAAATTTCCTTGCTCATCTCTTAAATATTGTATCAATTTTTTAGCTTTTTTTTTTTTCAATTTGTGTCCGAGCCATTTCCCTGGTTTATTTGCCGATTCAAAATAGTTTTGTTTTGCCAATTTTATATTCCTTATCATTTCTTCCTGTTGTAGTATATTAATTTTATGTTTCATTAACTCTATTTCCTTTCTTATTTCCCTGTTTTGGGGATCTTTCTGAAATGCTTTTTACCACAAAGTAGTTCTGGCAACCTAAGATTGCTAGTTTGTTTTGTTCACACATGTGCTCCATCCATGGTACACCACAGAGTTTTGCACCAGCTGGCTAGCAGCGTTTGGGAGACTCTACTAGATCTAAGATATATAACATTTCAAACAAGCCTCTTTTTAATTAAACTAATGGGGTTTGATTTTAGAATAGTTGGATTAGAATATGTTTTAAAAACTTTTTTATAAGTTTCAAAATTTGTCCCCTATTTTAACTTCTTAAAGAACACAAAAATATTTGAGAGAGGGGCCATGATTGAGGATGTGGGAGATATCTTTGCATGTAAAGCCACAGCTCTATCAGGATTACTTCCTAATATGCTTGGATAAATAGCTGTTGGCCTGTTTAAGCAAATTGGAAAATTCAGAATACAGTCTTAAAGGGCTCCAGCTTCTGCAAAGCAGGGTCATTTGTACTACTCCTTTCCTCTTTGCCTGGACAAACAAAGCTCAAACCCCATCTATCTATGATCTATCATTTTCCTCCCCACTTTGCTGGGAAAAGTTGATAACCACCTTGTCAGAGTAGCAGCAAGTTCTTTCAATGATCCGTCTTTGTCTCACAAGCTGGAATCCTGTCACAGCCAGATCATGCTGACTGTTGGATTATTTATGTAAAGCAGAGAGGAAAACATGGGATAAGGTCTGATCTAGCACAGTCTTTACAGAAGTCCAGCAACCCTCTTGGCATGTACAGTCAAAACTGGATAGTTTCTTTCCTGCTAGACAAAGTGGCAGCAAAATTTGGATTTTCTACAATTGCTCCTATAAAGAGCAAATATTAACACAAAATATATTTGGAACCCAAAAGTATAAGTGTCTGTCTAAGAATTAAAACACAGATTTTACAAATTATATAAAATGAACTCAAATTGATTCAAATTAAAATTATTTTTAAATTTGATTTTACTATTGCTTGTTTCCAATGAAAACCTTTTACAGTTAAAAAGTTGCAAAGTTCATATCGTTTTGATACATAAATTAAAAAGTAATTACTGAAAGTGATGTATTTTTCTCTTGCTCTACCCAAATTATTAGCAAAGGCTGACATAATATTAGGGGATCACAGAATCACAGATCACAGAATCACAAAGCATGAGAAGCTCAGTGCTCTACAGAAGAAGGATCTACAGACTGCTTTAAAAAGTAAGACTCATTTTTAATCCTTTAGAATTATATATGGTGATAACCAATATAGTCTACTATATATGCACTCGTCTGAAATATCTGAGGAATCTGAAACTCTCTGTAATGAGACAAATTCAGATGTGCTTGGTTATGCAGAATGACTTAACTTTCTTTTTCTGTTTTGAAGCCTAGGGATACAATCTAAGAACTAGATTTCAACTGCCAGAGAGAAGCAGCTAGTGATAAGATGAAGTACATATGGGACAGCAAGGAGCATAAAAGAATGCAATTTACAGTTTATTTATTTATTTATTTATCTATCTCTTCTCCGGAGACGCAGGGCGGCTTACAATGCGTTAAGCAATAGCCTTCATACTTTTGTATATACCTGCTTGGTAGGGCTTTCGGCCCCCCCAAGCGGTGTTCTTTTTTATACAAAGTCAGCTTTTTACCTACCTCGAAAGGATGGAAGGCTGAGTCAACCTTGAGCCTGGTGAGATTTGAACTTGCAGTAATTGCAGGCAGCTGGTGTTACTTAACAGCACTTTAGTCTGCTGCGCCACCAAGGCTCTTAAGTTATCCCTTACTTGGCTTCTGGATGTAATTCTGGGTAGTTATCACCTGTAAAGCCATTTAATTGTATAGACCAGTGACGGCGAACCTTCTTGGCACCAAGTGCCCAAACCGGAGCGTGCTTGCATGCATGGGTGCATGCCGGCCAGTTGGTCTTCGGGTTTCCGGCCTGTACATGCACGCCGGCCAGCTGGTCTTTGCGCATGCCAGAGCACTGGAAACCCAAAGACCAGCTGGCCGGTGCACGCATGCCTGTTTTTTTGGTTGGTTCGTGCCCTAGGTTCGCCATCACGGGTATAGACCCTAATAGAGGGGCTGCTCGATTCCTGTAGTGTCCATCTGCTTTGTGTGCTCCAACAGTATTAACCTGCTTCAGGTCCCATTGCTAAACAGTGTCATTAAAAGGAAACGGAGAACAACTTTTTCTGTTGCTCCATTTATGCTGTGGGATAACCTCTCTCTCCCTCTGAGATCCATATGTTCTCTATCATGCCCATTTTCAAGTGTTCTTTAAATTCCCAGCTTTTTCCTAGGCCTTGGGTTAAGAGTGATTGGTAGGCCCTTTTGAACTGAAGGGAGATGATTTTGTTCTCTTGGGTAGCTGTTTTATTAATGTTGTTTTTATGGAGTTGTTATTTTAAATTTGTGAAGTCACTTTGTTTATAGGATTGGGCAATTTAGAAATTTAATAAATAATAAAACTGCATTTTCAGATGTTAACACTGTACATTGATTGTGGAGGGTATAGATTTGAGTCACTTCATCACAGAGGTTCTTTGGTCAATATATTAGCAACAGCCTAGTATATAGTGATAAATAATGGACTGCATGCTAAATCAGTTTGGTTATTTGTGTAGGGTGTGTTAAAATCTTCAGTAAAAAAAATTATATACTTTATTTTGACTGAAATGTTTAATTGACATTTTCCTAATGAGTTAGAGTTCTTTGCAGTCTGTTTTCTGGAACACTTAAGTTCTTAGGATAAATGTTTAGAAAGACTCAAGTAAATAAAGATATACACTTAATATAATAAAATATGACTGCATTACTGAATTTTTTTTTCTTCCCTTCTTACATGTATGTACCAGTTTCTAAACCTGAAAGAAGATACTCACTCACAGCAATTGTGATATTTGTGGCAGCTTGCATTGCTGCTGGTGGATGGTATATATTTTGGCATTCATCAATTCATGCTTCGGAAATTGATTATAAAGTTCTACAAGCATTTAAAAACCAAATGAAAGAGCTCAGGAACACCTATCCAAGTCAAGACGCAATAGTGTGGAACAGAATCCAAGGTATTTTTGAGAAACGTCTAAATTTTTCTCACCCTCATTCAGAACCAGCTATTTTATTACTCACCGCTTCAAAAGAAGCCGAAGATGTGTTGAAGTGTTTAAGCAACCAGATTGCTGATGCTTTCTCATCTTCTCAAGGTGCCCTTACAGTTAAAATTGATGGGGCCAGCACAAGAGCTCAAGATAGTGATGTTGTCAAACTTACTGTTGATGAAAAACTGAGCTCTGGTTTTGAGAATGGTAACAAAGCAGCGGTAGTCCATCGGTTTGACTCATTACCCGCAGGTTCCACCCTCATTTTTTACAAGTACTGTGACCACGAAAATGCAGCATTTAAAGATGTGGCTTTACTATTAACCGTTCTTCTGGATGGGGAATCCCTGAATAAGAGCTTTTCCTTGTTGGAAGTTGAGGAGAGAGTGAAAGATTTCCTCTGGGCTAAATTTACTAACTCAGATACACCAAAGTCTTATAACTACATGGATACAGACAAGTTGAGTGGCTTGTGGAGTCGCATAGCCCATCTAGTCTTACCTATATGGCCGGAAAATTTCCTCCCTCAGGAGAAATGCTTGCAGATGAAATAACTTAAGAAAAGGGAGCAAGAAGAAAACGAAGAAAACATGAATTGTATAAATCTGTTAATGTTTATATAATGAGAAAATTGCAATTTACTAATCAGAATTACTGAAGTTATAGGTGATTCAATATCGGAATAAGATGTCTCCTTTATAAGGAAGCTGATAATCTGTAAAGAACTTTTAGACCTTTAACACAATTCTAGTGATTTATTGGAAATCAAGATTCTATACTAAGGGGAAAATATCTTGTTGCTCAGGCCCACCCAACTTTGTATAATACGAATTTTTTAAAGCATCAAAATCCTTTTGGAAAATACTGTGATTGTGGGCAACAAGGTAAGGCATTATAGTACTAGATTCTATCTTTCTGCTTGAAGTTTAATGGACTGCAAAGTTGAAGTTGAGACCAGGTTTTCCTATAGCCTAAGAATAATTCTGTCTTACTCCATTTCCCAAAACTGCATTTTAAAAAATCTTGTAACTGTAGATTCTGTAAGTTTCTGCTTTGGCTACAAAATTATGTAAAATGTAAGCCTGTGTCAATTCAATGATAGACTGTTTTTCTCATTTGAAAATGGCCTGTAGCTATGTAATATGGTATGTATGTTTTCAAATAATTATAATCACATCAATCTAAAAACACAAGCCTCTTCAGTTTGTTCAGTTAGACTATAACTACTAGACAACCAAAGGCTTCCTTCAGATTTATGAGAAATTTGAAATTTTTATTTGAAATCTATTTTTTTATTCTGTCAATGACCAGCAACATTAAATAATAAAATGAGCTATATAAAACAGTGATAGGAAAGACAATCAGGATCAAGAAAGAGAAATAGGTGCATTATATATTAGCAATTATAAAAGAAATCAAATATGATATACTCTATAAACACCTTATTACAATAATGCCCTGTTTATTTATCTAACACTGGTAAAAGTGAGGGGTCCTTGGTGTTCTCTGAGCTTGCTTGTTTTCTTGCAGATGTTTCATCACCCTAACTAGGTAGAATCAGTGCTACGACTAGCACTGATGATGTTACCTAGTTAAGGTAATGAAATGTCTGCAAGAAAACAAGGAAGCTCAGAGAGGACCAAGGAGCCCTAATTTCAACCCTGAGCTACAAATATTCTCCTTTATTAGTACTGATAAAAGTAATACAGGTAGTCCTCAACTTACAACTGTTCCTTTACTGACCATTCAAAGTTACAATGGCACTGAAAAAAGTGACATGATTGTTTTTCACACTTATGATCATTGTAGCATCCCCATGATCAAATTTTGAATGCTTGGCAACTGACTCATATTTATGACAGTTGCAGTGTCCTGTGATCACGTGATCATTCTTTGCAACCTTCTCACAAGCAAAGTCAATGGGGAAGCCAGATTCACTTAACAACTGTGCTACTTTAATTACTACCATGATTCACTTAACAAATGCGGAAAGAAAAGGCATAAAATGGAAAAAACTCACTTAGCAACATAAATTTGGGGCTCCATTATCATAAGTTAAGGACTACCTATTTAATAAAACTATATATTAAAATATATGTTCTCTAAAAATTACCAAAAAATAACTAAGCAAAGTATTAATAAAAATAAGGATCTTTAGTGCTTTAACCAGTTTTTCCTTATTATCATTGCAGCAGTACAGAATTTTGCTACTGCACGAGTGGTGCATGGATTCAAATACTAAAGAAGATGGTTTACAAAGACATTATTTTGATTTCCCTAGAAATCTATCTATTAGAGGGAGAATGTACATTGATGTCCCTGTAAAATGTGCAGCGTAATAAGATGTGATATATCTTCACTTCCCCATTCTCACATGTACATATTCACTCAGCTATTGGGGCTTTGGACCTTACTCCAAAACATGGAGTAAGGTCTCACAGGGATCTAGCATAGTCTTACAGCAGTCCAGCAATCCTCATGGCATGTACTGTACAATCAAAACTGGATCATTCTTTTCCTGCTAAAGAAACTGATAGCATTGAGATTTTCTACAATTGCTGCTATAAATAGCAAATATTAATACAAAATATAGATTGCATTAACTTTTGTTAAAGCCACTTCTTTGTAGGGTTGGGCAATCAAGAAATTTAATAGATAATAAAATTGTATTTGCAGATATTAATACTGTACATTGACTGTGGAGAGTATAGGTTTGAGTCACTTCATGAGAGAAGTTCTTTGATCAATTCAAAGAGTTTAATTTTTTAGCAAAAACCTAATACAGTGATAAATGATAGACTACATATTTAATCAGTTTGGTTATTTATGTATGTGTGCTAAAGTCTTCATTAAAAATTACTATATTTTGACTGAAAATGTTTCGTTTTAATACAGTTGACACTTTACTAATGAGTTAGAGTTCTTTGCAGTCTGTTTTCTGGAACATTTTAAATTCTTAGGATAAACTTTTAGAAAGACTCAAGTAAATAAAGCTATACACTTAATATAATGAAATGTGAATGCATTACTGAAAAGTTTGTTTCTTCCCTTTTTACATGTATGTACCAGTTTTTACACCTGAAAGAAGATACAGCAATTGTGATATTTGTGCCAATTCTAGCATACTTAGGTTAACTTCTTCACTACCTGTTTGGGCAGATAGATCTGTATGCTGTTGAATGGCTCCCAGATGCTCCAAGCGGATAGTCTTGTCCTTTGAATAGTCTACATTAAACCTTTAATCACTAACATGATAACTACCAAGGTTGCTGCTTCTTCACTCCCAACCTTGAGAGAGCAAGAGTGGGAGTCAGTCAGCCTTACTTGACGAAGATTTCTCAAGACTTCAGAAGCTGGCCTTATTAATGCTTTCGGCTCTTTAGCACAAAAAGAACAAGACAATATACTGCTTAAGGTAGAAAATCTGAAGAAAACTCTGTTGGTCACAATCACCATAACCGATCCACTTATAGACCTTGTATAAATGGTACAGAGTCAAATGCAGCATGATCTCGCAACTCGTGCCCACATGATAACCCTCCTGCGTGAGCTGCATTGGCTCCCAGTGGTGGTCTGGGTGCGATTCAAGGTGTTGGTTACCACCTTTAAAGCGCTCCATAGCATAGGACCCGGGTACCTTCGAGACCGACTTCTGCCACCAATAGCCTCCCACCGGCCAGTTCGCTCCCACAGAGAGGGTCTCCTCAGGGTGCCATCAGCCAAGTTATGTCAGCTAGCGACACCCAGGGGGAGGGCCTTCTCTGTGGGAGCCCCTGCCCTGTGGAATGAATGCCCCCGGAAATGCGTAAGATCTCTGACCTCCGTGTATTTCGCTGTGCCTTCAAGACCCTGTTGTTCCGCCAGGCTGGGCTATCAATGTAATGATTTTTAAATTGGGTGTTTTAAATTTTGGGGTTTTAAATTTGAGCCAAAATTATTTAATAATTTTAATTATTTTTAACTGATGTCTGTCTGTGCTTTTAATAGGCTGTACACCGCCCTGAGTCTTTTGGGAGAAGGGCGGTATAAAAATAAAATTATTTATTTATTTATTTATTTATCTAACATCTCTTTGCCCAACGCCTCTGGAGGAGACACCCCCTCCCCCAACAAGGCAAGTGTTGTTAAATGGTGTCAAGTCCCCAGGAGCTGATGTAGGACTTATATGAGTTAAGTCCACTAGTGGGTTTCAATTTTGGCCACTACTGGTTTGCTCGTGGGCGCATGCAACGCTTCTGCGCATGTGCAGAGACGTCTGGGCAGGTGGGTAGTATTGCTCTACAAAAAGCAATAAAAATGATCCATGTAACTACCAGCCCATTAATCTATTGAGGTTGTTAGCAAGTTGTAAGCACCTAAATAACGAACTTCAAAATTGGATAATTGCAGAGGGCATGATTAAAAACAGAAAAGCTGGATTCAGGGAAGGAAGATCAATAGTTGACCATATTTTGGTACTTCACCTGTACAAAAATATACGTATAAAAAGAAATATTCTCTTTTTGCAACCCTCCTTGACTTTAAATAGGTCTTTGATTCACTATCCAGATGTGCCCTCTGGGATAAATTAAAAAGTACTACTGTCGTTAAACGGGTCCTCTATTTCATACAAAAATTATATTCTAACTCCACCTGAAAAGTGAGGTGTGACCCTCAAGGGACTTAATCGGATTTATGAGAAATTTTCTCATAAATGTATTTTCAGTATGAATCTGAATAATAAAAAGTTCAGCTACCTTCAAACGTTTTTAAAAATCTTATTAGTTATATTCTGGAGTAAAAAATTAATTGAAGGGGATGTGACCAACTGCATTTTTAGTAAAATTAAATAATTTGATTATATTAAATTGGCATTTATAACATGAATAGAGGATTCCTGAGCCATAGATTGGAAAACTTAAGACTATAACATGTGGGCACCTAGTAGAAGTAAAAGAGTACTGTGCGTTTGTGTAGATGAAAAATTTTTGCGAACATTTTTTGCCCATCTGCCGAGTTGCTTGAGTTCTTTGTATTTTTTTTTTTATTTGATTTATATGCCGCCCTTCAGAGACTCAGGGCGGCTTACAGTGCGTTAAGCAATAGCCTTCATACTTTTGTATATTTATACAAAGTCAGTTTATTGCCCCCACAAACTGGGTCCTCAATTTACCTACCTTAGATAGGATGGAAGGCTGAGTCAACCTTGAGCCTGGCGAGATTCAATCTTACTTTAATTGCAGACAGCTGGTGTTAAATTACAGTGCTTCTGTCTGTTGAGCTAAACCAGGATGAATTGTGTTGTCTGTTATACCTGTGATTTAGCTTTTGTTTGTTGGGAGGATGGTGATAGTTTGATCCTTCTTTAGGGTTTTGGGGGATGCTCCTCTGCTTTGAGTAGATTCCAATTCTGTATTGTTCGGGTCTGTTGTATGATTGTCTGCCTTCTGTTTGCTTGGGTCAGCCACTATGTAGGACAGACAGGAAGAGCACATCCATGAACACCAACTAACATCAGAAGACACAATGAAAACTCCTTAATCTCACAACACATGGACAGACTTCATCATAGTTTCAGCTGGTAAACTCTGATCATCCTAGACCAAGCTAAATCCAAAAGTGTTAGGGAACTTCTGAAAGCCTGGCATTCAGACAAACCAGCCATCAATACACATAGAGATAAACCACATTTACACACAATTTAAAAGAGACAATAAAAAAGGCTAAGAAGGAAACCAAAAGACCAGAATGTACCCCCTCCAGCAGCCCACATGCTGATAAGCAATCAAGCATAAAATAAAACCCTAAGCAAGGTACTACCGAGGAGAAAACTATATACCCAACACTGGCAAGGCAAAATACAGGTAGTCCTTGACCTATGACCATAACTGAAACCACAATTTCCATTGTTAAGCAAAGCAATTGTTAAATGAGTCACATCCAATTTTATGACCTTTTATGGCCAAATATGAATTTCCCCATTGACTTGTCAGATGCTGGCAGGGAACGTTGCAAATGGTGATCCGTGGGGATTCTGGTTGTAAGTGAGAATACCAGTTGTAAGTCACTTTTTCCAGTGCAGTTGTAACTTTTTTTTTTATAAAGGTTTTTTTTTATTTTTTTTAGACAAACACACATACAAACATACAATGTATTTTCTTTGAACAGAGTATTTGGCCGGTTCACAAATTTAAACATTTAGTCATTTCAATTAAATTTACAATTTCTATATTTCCTTTTTGCCATAGATAGTCCATATCTATTTTTTTTAAAAAAACCAATAATACTCTTCATTCTCATCTCTAATCTTAATCCTTATCAAATTCAATTTTTCCCTTCTATCTATATTATATCCTTTCCCATTGTCATCTATTTTTATATCTATCCTCACATTGGTTGGTTATGTAACATTACAATTGTTTAATATAAACCCAACATTTTAGTATAAATCAGTTAATTATATAACTATTTTTTTGTATATTAATCAGTATGAACATAAATCTTCCAATTATTTCCATGCAATCCAATTTCTTAAAAGTCAATTAGTTATATTTACCAATAGTAATAAACCAAATAATTTCCCCCCTTATGTTACTCATTAAACTCTCCCAATAAACCAAATAGCCCATATAATCCTCCAAATCACAATTTATTCATTTCTACAAAAATTCAAAAAAAAAAAAGAAAAACTTGTCATTATCTAGATTTCAAAGATACTGAAACAAGTATTCCAATTATTAATCATTTCATTTTTACAATTGTATGGTTTCCCATTTGTTTCTTCCTACTATTCATATTTCAATTCTAAATATATATAACATCTTTCTCATTTCTTTTCCTTTTTCTCCCCATTTTTATTTTTACCTTTTTTCCCTCCTTTTTTCTTTCTTATTTCCCCACTATTTATCCCACTGTTTATTCCAGTGTAATCATTCTGTATTTCACAAATCTGGACTCTTCTATTTTGCCCTGCATTGCCTGTTGTTTTCCATCCTTTTCCTCTCTCTTTTTTTCTTTTCACTGTTAATCCCAGTGTAATCATTTAAGTTTTTTATATTCTTTCTATTCCATCCTTCATTCCTTCTTTGTCTCTTTTCGCCCTTTCTGTTTTTTCCATTGTTAATCCCAATGTAATCTCTAAAAACCTCCTTTTTATTATTACTATTTACATATTCAATTATTTTTCCCAAATTAATCTCATTGTCTTTATCTTCTTTATATTCAGTCTCTGTGTCTTGCTTCTCTGTCTTTGTTTCCTTGTTAGCTTGAGTGTGCTCTGTCTTAATTTTTGGGTCCTCAAGTTTCGATTCTCCATGTAATATTGTAATTATTCCTCTTATTTCCGCTTTCCACGACGAATACATCATTTCCATCATTTCTCTAATTTCCTGTGCCATTTTGTTCTTTCTGTGTTAATATTGTTCCAGTTTTAAAAGTTCCATTGTTTCCTTTTTTTTTCTAAAGTCAAGCCACTTGCAGACAAAGCAATCCTCCCCAAAAGTTCTCACGACTATTATCACTGATGCAGTTCAAAATTTTCCAAAATAAAGATTCCAAATTGCAATGCTCTTTTTTCTCCTGAAGATGTCTCTCTACAATCCACAATTCTCTTACTTGTTTAACAAAGTGTCCATTTTGTATCAGTCCTCATTCCCATTCTTTTTTCTTCTTTTTAACTTTGAAAATACCAAATCAATTTTATAGTCCAGTCCAAATTAAACAAATACTTTTTGCTCTTTTTCCCCCCCTCCTTTATTTTATCTTTCGGTATACAGCACTTCTGTTGTAGGGCTTAATATCCAATTATCTTTCATTTTTCTTAGCTTTCAAAAAAGAAAGGATCTATTTATTTTCTTTCCAAACCTTTAATCAAAGTTGGGGTTACCTCTTCTAATTCT